CTGAGCAAAGCAGCTCAGAAATACGGGGTGACCTGAAAGGCTGAATTAGCCAACAGCCACAGTGGCAGTTTAACTGACAAAAGGCAGAATTAAACTAAGGACAAAATAGCCTGTGGCTATTAACAGGGTTTGATTTATGTGGGTTTCCTTCCTTAAAAAAAAAAAACCACCAAAAAAACAAAAACCAAAAAAAACCTAATCAAAAACCACAAAAAAAAAAACCAACAAAACTTTGGATTTAATTGACCACGACTGAAAACAGATTACTTCTGCAGGTCACACAGCCACGTTGGCTGTTTACAGTTGTGTGCCCTGCAAGAATCAAAGCTGATCTGAGCACGGCATTTGGAAGCTGCTGGTGAAGGGAATGTTACCTGGGAGGGGCTGTGCTCCACTCCAAATGGAGAAATCCTTCACCGGCAGGGCTTGTAACATCAGGCACCCCAGAGAAATGCAAGAGACAATGAGGCCTTTGGAAAGAAGAGAAAATGTTACAATCAGGAGATTATAATCATCTTGAAGTACGTTTTCTAAGCAGTGAACTTAATCCACTTGTTTTCAAACACTGGGTCACTCACACATTTCCCCTCACATCTGACGTTTTTGTTTCTCAAGTGAGCTGAGAATAAAACAGCCCCAAACTCAACATCTGAACCCACTTACCAAGGATGCTACAGTAAACCTGGAGATAGGAAACTGTGAATATAAATGTGAATATGAACGATCTGTGCTCTTCACTGACACGTACAGCAGCTGTACTTGTAAATATTTCTTCTGTTAAGATATTCAGCAATCAGTGCAACTCGGGGTTGATAACAAATGTTCATTAAACCATTTCCAGATACACTCCCATATGGCAGTGAGCAGGTTCTTCTTCTCCCACGAGGCACAGGGTGTTCCTGGTGCTGTGGTGGACATTGAACACCACCATGTTACGGCACTGGGAAACTTTATTAAAGCAGTTTTGTCGCAGCTACTGTCAAAACAGTTAGCTTGGAGTTGTGCTGCAATTTTCTAGGTTTTTGAATAGCAAACCCAGAAACACTTTAAGAAACTTTTCACAAAGAAATGCTTTGATAAGTGGCCTGGTCGCATATCACCCCTAAATCTAAACATAAACAAATCTGCAACATAGGATCATATAACGCGGCACACCCTTTCTCCCCCACAAATAATTGTGTCTGCAAAGCACAGCGTGGTCACTACACATCGAGGCTAAAGGAGCCCCCATCTCTGGGGTGAGCACGCAGGTAAGCGAGAAAACACATGCGAAAAACTTTCTGTGTCTTATGGAAACAACATTCGAACCCTCCCCACCCAACCCCGGCCGAGCTGCAGCCTCTCGACCCCAAGCCGAACGCGCTCCCCGTTCCACGGGGTCAGGCGGCCAGCGGGGCGGGATTTACCTGTCCCAGCCTCACCACAGAGTGGGATTATGGCCGTGAAACCTCTCCTCCCTTCCTTCAGCCACTCCTGCCCGACTCCCGCCTCCCCGAGCATCTCCTGCGGGGCTGGGGAGCCCTTGTCCTCCGCAGGACGAGGGAGGGCGCCGGGAGGACGCGGGGGATGAGGGGACCCGGCGGCATCGCGTGCGAAGCGGCGGCGGCGGCGGTGCCGCTCTGAGTCAGCGGAGGCACCGCGGGCGGGGAGCGGAGGGGAGCGGGGGAGAGCCGGGGAGAGCCGGGGAGAGCGGAGGGGAGCGGGATCTGACTAATCCCGGCCGCCCGCCCGGCACGCAAGGCGTCCCCCGAGCCCCTCCGGAGGGAGCGCTGCCCCGCAGCCACCCGCTGCATCCTTGTGCCTTTTTTTCCTTACGGACTTCTCGTACCCATGCGCACGCCAGGGCCCCGTTTGTGATTTTGGCATTTACGTTTAAAAGCTGGGAAAGCCTCTTTGGCAAAAGTCCTTGGGGGAAGGACAGAACCATCAGAAGGATGAACGTGTCAGCTCTGCGCCTTAGCGCGCGTCCAGCATCTCAGCTCCTTCCCCTCGCTGTGCCTGCCCGCACGGCCCTCACCAGAGGACAAAAACTGCGGTACCCTGAGATGGAATGTCTGTGTGTGTGTGGGGGGGGGTGAGTACCAGCCATTAGTTTCAAATATTTTACAAGACTTTTTCCAGCGCTTGCCTTCTCAAACATCCTGCGCTGGGCTTTCCGCTGCTGGAGGAACTTGGGCTGTCCGTCAAAAAGGACAGCAGCCACTGCTCAAAGCAGCACAGAGCCCGAGGTGTTCATTCCCTTAGCATTAATTAGTGATTTTTCCGAGTGTTGAAGAGGTGAGGGGAGCTAGAAAGTGTAAAAGCTATCAACACTCTGAGACACTGAAAATGGTGTAAAGTACCCCATAATAAATACTCTGCAAGAAACGGTGTTTTTTTGCAGAAATCATGAACACACAAAGGGTTATTCCCCCAGAAACAAGAGAAACCTGACATTTCTTAAGATTTCATTTTAATTGACTCAGTTGAACCAGTGACACCACAAGCTTTTCCAAATCTGCAAAGTGAATGATAATTACTCAACAAGAAAGTTTCTATGACATGAGTCTCACTGAAACGAATGCTTCACTTACATAGCCTCTCCAAGAATCTTGAAACACTCAGTGAACTCTGCAACAGACATCACTTCAGAAGTGATTTCTGTATATATTTTAAAAAGAAATTACAGATTAACTTGTTTATTCCAACTGAAAATTGAGAGTAGGTATGAAATATTTTAACACTGAGAGATAAAATGACACTCTCATTACATGTCCCATGAATTTGCCCCAGGGTCCTTTCTGGGATAAAAATCTTCTTTTTACCTTTACACAATCCCAGCCTGAATGCTGTCTCAGCTGCTATTTTCTACCTTAAAGGATGCCAGTAACACCAGGGGCAGTGGAAGGTTGCCTACTTTGCTCTTCATAGGTTGCCCCACATTGTAGATTGTACAAGAGATTAACTATCTGGAATGTTTTCTACTTATTTTTTTCAAGTGTGAAAATGCATAGATAACTAACTACATGATCAGGAGATTGAGTACAAACAAACACAGAGATCTGCAGTCTGATTCTGTTTTGCCCATCTGCTAAAATCAGACATCAAACTGCTAAACAGGATTCATCTAGCTTGGGTTTTCTGGAGGTTACATTACAAAGAAGCAAAAGGATATAAATAAATGCATTTAACAAAATGTCAACTTATGTTAAGTTTTAGCGCAGAATTAATACCAGCTACTGCACTGCTCCAGCTCTGGTACAGTACAGAAATGCCACTGGGTTGCATTGGTGAAGTCACGCAACAGGTTCAAAATGCAACACTTTCCAAACTTTTTCTACTCTTTTTGGCAGTGCATACAAGTAGCTAGAAAAGGCTGAAGCACATTGTTCCAGAACACCAAATTCTTAAGAACACATTCAGGCTCTTTCAAATGACTCATGACTTTCACTCTTTCAGAAAGAAATACTTTTGAAGTGCCAGAAGAACAAAGTCTATTCTGAGAAAATTATTCCTTGGCATAAGAGGGGATTTAAGTCGCAGGGCTTCTCCTTATAAGTGTTATATTTGGGGAAAAAAAACCCAACCACTGAACAGACACATGCAAAGCAAGCAGGAAGGAATTCATCCCTGTACCAAAAGAGCTAGAGGTCCTGGATTTTTCATGTGGTAAATGGTCTTATCAGCCAAAACTTCTGCTTTTCTGAATCTCCTCCTAAATACTGGTGCATTTACATAATACATGTGCATTTACATATGTAATACATATCTCCACCATTCATTGTGGCTGGAGAAGCACAGACTAAGGGAAACAAGCAGCAATGAATAAAACCTGCAAAACAGCTCTGCAGAAGTGGTGAAGCCACTGGAGATGGAAGAACTTGCTGCTCTGCATGGGGTCACTGATCTCAATGTGATTGCACATGGCAAAAAGGAGCTGCTGGGACAAAGAAAATGGAAGATGAGGGGATTTTATACCAGGCAAGTGGTTAAGTACAAGCTCATAGCTCATCTGACTGATAATTAAAGAAACAAAACAAAACAACAAAATAATGGGCTTGCTTTAGTCTCTGCCACGGTCTCCCACTGCGATTTCAGAAAAATTGCCTACTTGTTTCTGCTTGCTTATGAGAAAGAAGATGGATTCCTTTGTCCACTGTGGGCACCTGGGCTGATGCAGTTACACAGGATTGATGAGGACCTGCTAGGTCTTCATGCACAGCACTGGACATAGGTGTTCCTCTCATAAATTGGTCAAGATAGTGAGAAATTTTCCACTCATTTCTCTTTTGGAAAAGCTCATTAGTAGCCTCTCTGGCTGGCCAATGAAACACACTTCCTAAGTCCTGTTTAGGTTGATGGACAGTTTAATTTAGTGGCACTTGTTTTCCCAAATTGTCTGAAATCTTCAGACACGTGATACAGGTGCACCTACTTGCTTCCTACCTAACCAAGGAGCACAGTCACTTGCACAATCAATTGTGGCTGCTCTGGAAGATGCTCAGGTAGTGCCTCCTCCACCCAAGAAGAATCTGAGCTTGGTTAAAAGTGCCTGAACACTCAGGGTTTCTTAGCATTGCCTGCAAAAACTTATTGTGACTCACAGCTACGTTCTCAGCAGAATGGGAGCCAAGGTGAGTCAGATTCCGTAACCGTCAATACAAACAAGAAACTTAAGGAAGTGTAACAACCAACATTTTTTTTATTAGAGGGGCAATGGCCAAGCCATTCAGGAGGAATTAATTTTCAAGATTTGGCTACAGAAGAGCTCTACAATCTCTATATTGCCTTCCCCATGCTCAGCCGCTTGATTTTTTTTTTCTGGGGAAGCTTCAGCAGATGCCTTCAGCAGACGCCTTCCATCTTTTGGTCTTTGAAGGTGGGTTCCCTCTAGTGGCATTAAGAGGAGCATCGATTCTGCCTTACTGACTGATCTTGGTCCGTAGGAGGGGCAGGGGGAAAGAGGACACTGCAGGGTGTTACACACTCACATCAGGAAACACTGACTTGTCTTCATTTGGCTAATAGCCTAGGACTTTTGTGTACCACAGGTTCTTTATTTTTTCAATCAGCTGTTCAAACATTATACTGACTTTAGTTGCTTCTTTGGCGATTCTCTGTCTGCAGGAGACAACAGAGAGTGTGGTAAGATACGTAAGTATGTGAGTAAGTACATAAGTAACATCTGCCGTAGTTACCACCCTGCCTGTCTCTGAGAGTGCAGAGCTCCTCAGCAGTCCTAGAGGGGTTTTCCTCAGAAGACAAGAATAGGCAGTACATGCGTGCCATGAGTTACATGAAACTGTCTCTAGGCTGATCATGCTTTTCCTTTTGTGAGGAAACTCATTCCTCTGCCTTGAGCAAGACCTATGCACAGCTAGAGACTGTTCTGTGATTTGCATCAAGTGATGCTGGCACACTGAATACTCAGCCCCTCACAGCACTGCAGCACCCTTCCAAAGGAGCTGATTCCCCACCAGCCAGCAGCCCCTTCCCTCACTACCCACGGATAAAGAGCAGTACCCGCCATCCCTGTGAACACTGTCACATACAATGCACCTCCCTGGGAAGAGCTTGTGCTTTCACAGGAGACCATATCACCTCACCCCACCTTCCAGCACCTTGCTCCCTTGTTATATCAGGCTTTGGTTGCTGATTAATTCCCCCTCTGATCTGCCCATATAGACAGTTGATTAATCTATTCTTTCCCCCACACCTCCCTCTCCCTTTTCACACATGGCTGTTGGAATGTTAGTACAGAGAAGTTTTCCGTACCTGGCCGCAATAACTGTTGGGCTCTGGACAGTATCCAACAGGAACTGACTGACTTTGGGGGACACTTTGTTCACAGCTTCATAGAAGTAAGATGCAACAGTCTCAGGGATGGCCAGCAAGTCACGACGGTCTCTCTCAAAGATGGACTTTGACTGCACTTCTGAGAAAAAAAAGGCAAAACCCCATGAGGCTTCTCATGCCACTTGTGTCTCTGGTATCTTCCCCTAGGTGCAGGGGAAGAGATTTGAAATTCAGAACTTCTCCCAGAATTCGCTCCAGCAGCATCCAGTATTTAAGTCATAGACCTTCCATGGCAGAGTATTTTCACCAAGTATGGGCAGTTTTCATGCTAGATCTCTACTGACTTGTTCCCCGCTGCCAAGCAGTGTGCATTCGTGGTGTCCAGCTGAATTATTTGGCTTCAGTCCCACTTCATGATATGTGAGAACCTGTAGAGCTGAGTTTTGTCTCAGGGAAACAGTAAAGCTTTTCAGACTTACCAGGGAGAGTGGTGCTAAGGAGCAGAATCAGAGCTATCACCAATGCCCTGGACTGCAGCATGGTTTGAGTACCAGTTCTGCTCTCTACGCAGAGAGACCTGCAGGAATCAGCATACAATGTTTGGGTTGTTTTCAGAGAAATAAAACATGGTGGTTAAACACCAGATTTTTGCCACAAACCTAGCCAATAAACAAAGACAAGAACAGAAAGATCATGGTGCATTTTCTCTGAAGAAGTGAGGAAAAGGCAGTATGAAAATAAAGGTATCCTTTTCTTTGTATAATCACAAATATCCACAATAATAACTTTCAGAGCTCAAAGAAATATGGGCAGCTAAAGCTAGTTCTTTTATATGACAGCTAAAATCCCGCTTCAGCACATGAACAAACCAGTAAAAGTGCCAGAGGTCAGAATAAGTTTCCTACATGCTTAAGTACAACTGAAATATTCATACTGTGGGATTTCTTCATTTGATTTGTTTTGGTAAATTGCTCTAAAGAACATTGTGCTAGTTAGTACAACACATACGATAATCATCTTCGTGACCCAGTGATCTGAGTACTTTGTCTTGCTTTAGTTGAGGAAAGTCACAAGTAGATAACTAGGTTCCTTTGTCTTTTTCACTCTGGTATTAATGCAGCAGACTGTAGCCTCAGCAGAACAAGTTTCCAAAAGCGAGCGACTGCAAAATTTAGCTTCAGCTGATTTCCTTAATTTTTGTCTTTTAAAAAAGTCAGACTTGGAGAACTGAAAATTTCCTTGGTACTCTGAAAATACCACATTAAATAGAAACAAGCTTTCAAACATGCTGCACTAAAAAAAAGTGTTTAGAAACTAAAATTGATTTATGCTCCCAATTAGAGGGCTGCATCACTCAGAGCAATGTGAAGAAAACATTGAACATAGGAATGCAATGGAAAAATAGGCTGAAAGTCTATTTATATGTGAATGCTTTGCTAAATCCTGTACCAGGTGGTTACAAGTCAATGTTCCTTCTTATCCCACAATAAGGAGATTTCCATCCATTTTTATTTCCTTCTGTTACAGATTACCTACCACCCAGTTCATTAGATGTTTGCACAGTTGCTCCTTTATTACCTTCCCTTGATTCTTAATCCCAGAGCCAGTTTCTCTCCGTGTACACAAAAGGCAGAAATTTGCTTTGCAGGAGCACGGACAGGTGCTCTTACCTGCTTTAGAACCTGCAGTCTTTGTGGTGAAGGCACCTGGGAAAAGGTAATGTATCTCCCAACACTTGAATTCTGCAAGTCCCACCATGGGCTTGACCCTTCTATGAGTGTCTTACGGAGCATCCATCACTCAGCTTCAGAGCAGGTGACCCCAGGTACTGCCACCCTCCTCTATTTCCACACCATTCCTGGCCATGGAGCGTGAGAAGGGCTCACAATTTGGTTTGTAGTAGGAGATGGGGCAAACTAGAAGACTACCTCCACTCAGTTGTCTATGATCTAGATACACCAGTCACAAAGTCCATGCCACCCAAACAGAGAGTTCAGCTCTTACCTGTCCTGCTTTCTCTCTTTCTCAGGCCCAAGCTGAGGTAGGTGCTCATCTGAGACCCCGGCATTTATGCAGAGCTAATATAGTGGTAGCAAGGGATCAAAGGTCCTGCTTTGTTTCCCCATGTGCTCTTTTGCAAGCACATCCAGCTCAGTGGGACAGACAAGAAGTGGTGGAGGACTCTGGACCTGTTATTGAGATTTGGTAATGGAGGGTCAGTCTGACCTGAGCCCAAGAGATGTGGAAGGCAGCTTCTGGGTCACTGAGACCCCTACTTTTCCAGGCAAACCATGTCATGGAGGCCCCTTTCATAAACTGACCGAACTCCACATTAATAATAGCTAGAGATGGACTAAATTTTGCTCCCACTCTTCCTGTGCTCTAATGCCACTGCTCTGACCATTGGCATTTACCTGCAGCTGTTACAGCAGTTTCCTCTCCATTTACAGCAAATGCATTAACCAAATGGTGCACAGAGGTGTGCACCCCTCTCCCACTTCTTTCCCCATGACCAACTGTTTTTGCACAGGATGACTAGATGAGAATACACCTGAGACAGCTGTCAAAACTTACCAGGAGGAACACCCAGCTACGGGATCCCCAGCCCAAGAAACACAGAGCCGTTAGAGCGGATCCAGACGGGCACAAAAAATGATCGTGGGGTTGGAACACCTCTCCCATGGGGAAAGGCTGAAAGAACTGGGGCTGTTCAGCCTAGAGAGAAGGCTCCAGGGACATCTTATTGCAGCTTTTCAATACTTAAAGGGTTCTTGTAAGAACACAAAGACTTGACCAAAGCTTGTATTGACAGGAGAAAGGGAAACAGGTTTAAATTGAAAGAGGGTAGATTTAGATTGGATGCAAGAAAGAATTCTTTACTGTGAGGGAAGTGAGACAGTGGAACAGGTTGTTCAGAGAAGTTTTGGACACTGGAAGTATTCAAGGCCAGGTTGGATGCGGCTTTGAGCAACCTGGTGTAGTGGAAGGTATCCCTGCCTAAGGCAGGGGCAGGGTGGATGAGATGACCTTGTAAGGTCCCTTCCAACGCAAACCATTCTTAAGATTCTATGGTAACCTCTTCCGAGGCTCCCCAGTCCCAGTCAGAAAGTGGCTGCGCTGCTGCTGTAGGGAACGTTTTCTCATAGCTTGTGGTCCAAGTGGCCCTTGGGTCTCCAGTAGGTCCTGTCACCTGTTTTTGGCACATGCAGCCAGGGGTAGGAGACAGAAAGGCTGCAACACTGAACTACAAAGGGTGCCAGCTGGGGGAATGGGAGGACAGAAATTGGGCCTACTGTGTGAGACCCAACAGATTTCCATTCTCACGTCAACCACTTGTTTATTGGGTGACTCTTGCATGTGGCAAGTGTGAAAAGCTCAACCAGTACCTTCATTTATCAGCCAAACAAGATTTCTAGAGGACTTTTCCTCTCACAGTGCTCCAAGTGCTTTAGAACCAAACAGTAAGTGTTCTTGTTTTACAGACATGGCAGCCAAGCTACAATGAGTCACATCATTGAAGAGGGCTGACAGTGGTTTCCAAACATTCTTCCACTCTCTAGGTTTTTATCCAAATGATCTTTTTTCTCAGAAAAATAAAGAAAAATAAGTCTCCCAAAATAAGAAGAAAAAAAAATCCCACATACAAGCAAACCATTTTGCATTTTTGTCCAATAAAATAACAGCAGAAGATTCTTACTGATGTGTAAAAAAGTTAACTCAAGAAATAAGAACAGAGACTTTTCAGTTCTACTTCTGGTGCAAACACTAAAAAGCAATTTATGGTCTAGGAAGAATACACTAGAGCAACTGGTTAAAAGTTCTCTTATATTTCAATTACACATTAGACAGTCATTGAAGACAATCTACACATGTATTATCTTCTTTTACAGCTGGAATAACATTCAGAAGACCAGCACAAGGCACATCATAGGCATTAAACTTAGCAGAAACAGGAATGAACAGTCATTACTTGGAGGGGTTAATTTAAGATAACTTCAAGTGTCATTTCTTTCTTATGTCAGGTCAACAAATGGGAGGCTCTAAGATGATGTTTTAAACTGATGTGCTGCAGGAGGTAGTAACAGAAGGGACTTAGCTGCCCTGTGTGGCAATTCATACTGCTAGAGCTTTGCATTGCAGGTGTTACACAAGGCAAGTTCCCAGTCCTGAAGTCAGTCTAACTTTAGGCAGTGCTATCATGAATACAATCCCAGAGATAGCAGCTGGGTGTTTCAGCACTTTCTAGTGCCAAACAGGCACTTGCCAAGACCGCAGATCAATGATTGCACAGAAGCAGCCCTTGCTCCCCGTTCCTGGAATGGCATTCCAGAATGGCAGGGCGCTCTGCAAATAAGCAAGAAAGCCAGATATTGCAAGTACTTTCTTAATCAAAGAAAAAATCACACGATTCTTTATCTCTCTTATGCATCTCTGGTCTGAGGTAGAAAGCAGCTGACTGTAGCATGGGTGACCTTATCTGGCCCTGCATGGCATGGTCACTTACTCATTACATTATTTTAAATCAGGGTAACACTGGTGGCTATGAAAGCTCTTTATCTGCGACAAAAGATTCATTCTTTGGGGGTAAGGTATTTTCCTTGTTCTTCTGGCATGAACGGAAGAACAAAAATCTAGAATAGCAATATCTTCCATATGTGAAATATTCAACTTTTTCCATCACAAATGGGCTGAGATATGAAAATCAGCTCTTTGGAATGGCTAAAAAATTAAGCATGAATAAATTGCAATGTAAAAAGAATGGGGCTAGGATATTTCCTACTGTTATTTCTTTCAGTGTGCTGTATTGGAGCTGTTCACTCTCTCTCTTAAAAAGTCAAAGACCCTGTGATCTTACAGGAAAAGGGTCCACGTTGTATTGTACAATGCTGCCACAATGGGTTTCATTTATAGCCAATTAAAATCAGAAATAAGCATCTAAGGCAGAGCCCATTTCCTTCCCACTTTTCTTTCTGCTTGCAGTTGTAAAGCACAAAAAGATAGATTTCCTCTGTCATTATTTCACAGCCCACCAACTGGTGCTTTATGAACCACACTGGTCCGCAGACCAGTAAGCCTGGTATAATTTCTGCTTCCCCGCTGGATCACCCAATCTGCTTCTGTCACAATTTAAGAAGTTACAGAATTAACACAGAGATACAATCAATTTTCCCTGAAGAGTTTTGTTTAACGTTTCTATAAACATGAACAAAGTCACTGAAGAGGAAATCGAATATGATATAGATAAAACCCTTCAGACTTCACAATTTGTGAATTGTGTTCAGAAATCTACAATTAGTCACCCTAGCTCAATTATGGGGACTACAGGACCAAAGAAAGATGGAGGGCTCCTTCACAGGATGGATATAAAAAAGCACCACTTCTGCTGTTGGTGTGCTCATACTCCAGCAGCTCCAATACCTACTCCTGTTACAGAGAGAGTCATCTTGCAGTGAGTGGCTTCTTGCTCTTGGGAAAACTTGCTGGATACGTGTTGGCTTGTACACATTTGAATGTGAAGGAAAGTGAACTCCTTCCATGCAACTATCTTGGAATCTCACTGTGTGTCTCAAATAGTCTCTACTCTTTGATGGAGAAAGAGGCAGCCCTTTCCTGAAGCCTGGACATTTGGGCTAGGACAGGAAAAAGTTGTCTTGCATAATGTATGAACCTATTGGAGGCACAACGAAAGAGTCAAATTCCAAGTTACCAATTCAGCTTCCAAGGGTAGAATCTGCAGGGCCCTGGAAATCTGCTAAAAGTCAGCAGAAGGTAAATATCTAATAACATGTAAACTGGTTGCTAGTTTTGGAAGAAGCAGCCCCATATAATTTTCTGTCATTGCAGTCATCATAAATGCCTCTTAACTAATAAAAATAATCCATCATACAAAAAGGTGGTTCATAAAATCTTAAGCATGTTACAAAATTAGAAAAAAATGATCCACAGACAGTGGCTGATAGATACAAGAGCGATCCTAGCTTTGCAAGTTCTGCAAACACAATTCCCTGTATTTCAAACGTGACTCATGGGTCAATTCACACTGTTCAGTCTGGGCCTAATGCAGACAAGCACAATGCTAATTACAGCCCTCCTTTCTTGAATTAAAACATTGGAGTCAGTCTTTTGGCTCTTTTTTTTTTTAATTTTTGTGATAGCCATCAACAGTAAGAAAGAGACCCTCTGTCTTCAAAAAGTAGGCCTCCAGTGCTGAAACAAAGTCAACCAGAGAAGGTCCTTGGTCCTCCTACTTTATCTCCATAGGCAGGAATTAGAAATAAGCATGTTCAGCCAAGAAACTGTAGGAAGATGAGCACTCTGACTAGCCCTCATTTGACCAGCAACTACACTGGAAGCTAGAACCACTTGTTCAAAGTGTGATGTTTCCCATCATTGTCAAAAGAAAAGAAAAAAAAAAAAAAAGGTGGAGAAAGTGAAAGTCTCTCCACGTTTTCCAGGGAAAAGCATAAGCACATCAGTAATTAGGACATTAAAAACCAAACAGTAGCAAGTGTAACAGTAGCAAGTAGCAAGCCATGTGGGACAGGCTAGGAAATAAGCTAGGCAAGACAGTCATTGGTACTGGCCAATCTCCAGTGCCTCTGGGTTACAAAAAAATTCACAAGATTCTCCAAAAGCTCCTCACCAACCAGAGTCTCTTAAATCCAAGAAGCGCCTCTGGCAAGACAGCTTCCCGTGGAAGCAGCCAGCATCCACAGAACTCCTCTTTCTCCAGCACATTTTAAATTAAAACAGTGGATTAATCTCATCAAGCAGAAATGACAAGTTCTCCTTCACAACTGGTCTCAAAGCATGGAGAAATTCTGTATTGTAGTGTCAGGGTGGGAACTGAGGAAATCCTACAATCCAGCTCCAGATCAGATGCACCACACATGCAGGGTTGGTCAGGGTAAAGATCAAGTAAAAATGGTGACTATAAGACTTCCCTAGAGCCCTTTATCCCACCCCATGTATATGATACATGGCATGGAGAGGAAAGGGAGAATATAAAATATATGGAAAAAAGTACATGGCTTAGGCAAGATATATTCACCAAAACCATGCTTACTTGAGCTGAAGGAAATTCTGGTCCATGGTATAAAGAAGAGTAGTCATACTTTGCTCAGTCCTTGTAGGGAAGGACAAACCTTGATAAATTTAAGTTTACAAATAAATTCAATTCTGGATGAAAGGCTAGAACAAGTATCTTTTAAGGCACTAAGGTCTAGGCTCAAAGAAGAACAGGTTCTTTCAGTCAGTAAAGAGCAGATAAGCTGGCAATTTGCAGACATGCCAGTGAGACATCATTAAGGCACTCAACATTCTTCCAACACTGTGATCCTCCTGTTTGGGAGAGAGGCTTAGTGGGGACAAAAGGACACAACTGTCCCAGCTATGCTGAGCAGCCAGGCAGAAGCAACAAACATTACACATTCTGAGGCCTTAGAAACAAAGGGCCTTAGAAAGATGTTGTGCCTCCCTCCACAAAGCTCCCAGGGCACTGGATCAGATGACCTCCAGAGGCCGCTTCCAATATAAATTTTTCTACTGTCTTGTGATTTTACAACTCTGTGAACATTGGAACCTTCCTCCGGTAACTGGTGTGCAAAGCACCAGCATTCTACAGGCTGGGCTCCCTGCAGTGCCACGACACTTAACAGAGAGAACTGGTATCTCTCTTTAAAGATTGGGAATACACTGTTTAGTGAACAAATCTGCTGTTTCTACTAAAATGTTTTCAACAAACCTCAGCCCATTAGAACTTAGCCCAACCTAAATTTCCAAATCACAGCAATAAAAATAGGTTATGTATGGCTTTCATGGCACTAGACAAATATTCTTCAGAGTTGTAAGCCTAAGGGGAAGCTGCTTCATCTGTTTTATTGCTGTTTGTCTGTTCAATCAAAAGCAGCCATCCCAACCTAAACAGAAAAACTAGGAGGAGTCCAGTGGGAATCTTAGTTCTTCCAGTATTGACATCAAATGACTATGCTTCTTCCACTGTAGGAACTTCCTCTGTCCTGCAAGAGAAAATAAAAGATTCAGGAATGAGGAATGATGAATGAAAATCCTATGTCTTCCTACCTGCTCTGAGCACCACAACAAAAATCATTCATACATGTACACATTCCATCTGGAACCAGAATTACACTTCCACAACACAGAAGGGAAAATGGTAATGTGCAACATGCAGCCCCTCAAAATACTCCCACCTTGTAAAATTCTGCATATGTGTGATAAGGGACACTTAACATTTTTTGATTTAAAAGAATCTCCATTTTTTCAGGGGGAATACACTGTCTAATTTGGAGATTAGCAATTGGATATGAAGCTTTTCAGACTTAGGTTGCTACCTGAAGTCTAATCCCAGCGTGAACTGACAAGAAGAGCTGTGAACAGTAGCTGTTCACTGCCCACATAATGTATGTTCAGCTCTCAGGAGTCCCAACAAGGGAGTCAGCCTCTTCTACCTGGCCTGGAGAATGTCACATTTTTCATCCATGCCACCCATGACCTTAAAGCCGATTTCATGTAGCTTTAGCCATCGTACCTGGATGTTTTCCCATATGTGCCATCTTAAAAATATTATGCACTTTTTAAAAGAAATCAGAAATAAACCAACACCTGCAGAACAGCTGGTTACAGAGGGATGGATGCTGCTGCCAAGTCTGGAAGTGCTTTCTCCCCAGTCAGTACCAGAACATCTATTTTAACACCCATATATACACAGAATCCCAAAAGCCTCCGGATGTGGACAAGAATATAACATGTCACCCTGTAGGGGACATAACTGATTTCAGAATCACTGAATCACAGCATCATTTGGGTTGGAAGGGACCTTAAAGATCACTTGGTTCCAACTCCCCCACCCTGGACAGGGACACCTGCCACTAAACCAGATTGCTCAGGGCCCCACCCAACTTGGCATTGAACACTTCCAGGGATTTGACTTTTTACTTTGCCCCTGAACACACTACCTCCAGGCAATGCCTGTCAGAAGGCAGGTACTCAGCAGCCTCTTCATAACCATGCTGTGCAGAGCACTCCTTCCTCCTTGGCCTCTTTTTGAAAGACAACAGACTACAGAAGGTAGAAAACACTCCCTCTCAATCCCTGAACCCCACCTTTTCCCTTAGATGGGAAATCACAAAGACAGCTGACTCACCGAGCGGGTCCCTGCACTGCTTTTGTGCTTCTTGTCCTGAGCTGGGATGATTTCTAAGGAGCGGTAACTGGGGGGTTTCTCTTCTGGCCACTCCCGGGACCTGCGGTTCCTCCGCCTGCGGTTTGACACCGGGACACGGACCTGCTCCTCTGAGGAGCTCCACGAGCCCCTGCGAGAAGATGGGGGGGAGTAGCTGTGTCGCCTCTGGCCAGAGTAATTGCTCCTCCCAGCATGGTGCTCATATTCTCGCCTTCCCCCGGGCTCCTGCCTCCCACCACGATGGTGGCTGGAGCGCTCCTTGGTCTCCTCTGGATAGAAACTGCTGCTGCTCTTGCCCCTCTCAGCCTGGCGTGGGGGTGACACATCCCGTCTGGAGTGCTGGGGCCTGCCATTGTAGCCACCTGTCCTCTGCCTCTGAGGATGATCCTCTCTCTGTCTGTCCCAAGGCTCCTGACTGTAGCTGGAATGAGAATCCCCACTGGAAGGCAAGGGCCACCTCCGGTTTTCCCTTCTGTCCTCTGCTGCGGAGTCCCAGGGCCTGGGGGTGCAGGCAGCTCTGTGTGGCCGTGAGGAGCTGCTGCTGCCATGGATGGAGGAGATGTGGTCGGTAAGAGGAGGTGGCAGGATGTTGGAGCCCAGCGAGGACAGCAAGCTGGGCTGCACAGCCTGCCGCTGGTGGGGAGGCGCCCGTGGCTGGGACACATTCAGGTTTTGGATTTCAGACTCCAGATAGTCCAGAACACCGCTCTTATGGGAAAGCTGGGCTTGTGGCTGCACCAGTGCAAGACTGTTCTGTAGAGATACATCTAAGGATAAAAGCACAGGAGAACACAGAAAGTCAAGAGAAAACACTGAAGGCCCTTCTGCACTCATGATCCTGGCTGAGTTGCTTCTCTTCTCTTGCTCCACCTCACTGCAAGAGCTGTCTCAGGCACCACAACCAGACCAAATGAGGTATGGTGCAAAGAGCAGTAACTAAGAAGCTGTAGCATGATCTAACATGTTTTAGGCAGTACAGGGGTAAGCTTCCAGCATACCTGGAAATATAGTCTGTGTATTTAAAGGAACACTTTTTCCTACAGCACTGATATCATATTTTATTTAAAGATAATCAGAGAAAGACCATAATGTTTCCTTTCGCATTTCATTGAACCAGAAGAAATACTGCAAAAGAAAATGAAAATAAAAAAAAAGAAATTTTTATATGTATGCACACATACACACACACACACATCTATGTACAGATATAAACAACAAATGGAGAAGAAAATTCTTCCTGGTTCATTAAAGAGTCCTTCATTTTTTGCTGCACGCAGGCTAGATCTGTTGCACAGAAGGCAGTTTGCCCTTAATCATTTGAAGACTAGACATTTGATAAGAACTCAAACAAACTGCACCTCACTTGTCATGTCAGTTTTGGCTATAAGGAGTTGACCGTGACCAGCACAGCAGAACAAAGAGACAGTACCCTCCTCTGCCACACAAAGCAAGATAAGCTGGGTATATTTACCCTGCAGTCCCTGGGGTGTAGCACAGATACACCTTAGTTAGTGTTAAACTGCTTCACCCAGCACTGAGCCCAGCAAGACAATTAGGATACCAGGCTGTTTTTATGCACCAAGACAAGTTTTTGGTGAGCTGCAGGTATGTCAGAGCTGTTCTTCTAGATTTGCAGTCATGCTAGGAACATCCTTCTCTCCTTTCTGGTAGAGAGGCTAAAGCCTCAATGCTGAACTTCCTTAAGAAGTTACCTGTTTCTCATCTTGACTTCCCTCTGAAATGATGCCCATGGTCTCACCTTGTTGCAGCAGAGGGTTCAGCTGGTAAGAGGAAAGTTTTGAGTTCCTGTCACCAGCTCCGTAGAACATGTTGGGTGATAACCAAGGTGCAAGTGCCTGAGCCCGCTTCATGAACTGGTGCCGTTCCAGTACTGTAAAAGAAAAAGCAAGCTTACAGCACCTGTCCAGAGGGCACAATTTGCAGATCACATACCATTTTGCTTCACAGGCTGTAGCCTTTGGATACAGGAAGCTCAAAAAATTAAAATCTCTCTTCACCCTATAACAAAGGTAAATCAGAGCACAGGAAATTCCAATGCAAAGTTGTACATCTTCAAAAAAGTACCTAAAACAGAAGAAAAGCTTTACTGCCTAGCATTCTGATTCCAGTCCCAACAACTGGGAACAAATTACACTATGATTAAGTATGCAGCACATAACTAAGTTAAGACTTCTACTTGCCCTGTCTTTATGAGTAGAGCTGCAGAAAGGTGAGAAATAATGTTTCATACATCAAGACATGCGACAATTTTCTCTCTCTCAAAGTTCTTTCACCTCATCACTGGTCCTTTTCTCTTCTGGCTTCGATTTCCCACTAAATGAGACCTTTCCTTGCAACCATTATATGGGTTCCGTCCAGATCATATTTTCCACTCTACACTCCATTATTTTTTCTCTGTTTCACAAAGAGGGCACTCAGAGGTGCACTGTTCAGCTTTTCCCTTTCTAGTCTTTTGACCACTCTTCTTGTCACTCCATAATTTATCTCAGAATGACGGCTAAAATTAAATCCCCTTAGACAGTGTGGTCAAAGTGGTGAACAAACTAAATTTCCTGTTCTCAACAGCAATTTCCAGTGTGAAACAGTGGAAATTTCTCTCTTTCACAGGGTTTCCACCACTGCTAACTCCAGACCCCTATTAGTGGGGTCAGACTCCAATTTCACTTCCTTTTTTTCAGCATTTCTATCTCATCCCCTCAACACAGACAAGCTCACTTGTCTTCAATCCATAGCTCATTGCTGCCTCATTTGGGGAAATACCTAAAACATCTTACAGAAACTTAACTTTGTCTACCACAAACAATCAAAACTTAAGTTTAGAAGCAAGTAAATTCTGCAGGTCCCTGACCTGACAAAACCTGGTTTGTCTGTTATTACTAGCTGAAGCTTTTCAGCAACAGTGCCTTTAAAAATTTCTCTTTTATGGCTTTCCTTGAGTTTCAGAAGTCACAGACTTTTACTGCAGCCTCCTGTCTGGTCAGGCATGAACAAAACATTACAGTTCAAGAAACAGATAGGAATATAATTGCCTTTGAGACTTTCACCCCTCTGATCAATCTGGCTGAAGCTGGCTGATGAAATTAAAAGCTATTGGAGGGAAAGAGACAAGGGATAGACAGACAAGTTGACTGCATAAGATTTGCTTCTTTAAGAAACCAGGCTACAGCTAAGCTCCAATTAATTCTGTCCCCTGGGTTCACTGCAGTAGGCAGCATTTAGACTGCATGCCCTGTGGGACTGAGCTCTCCACTTTAGGTAGCACTCCAGTTACTAAACATGTCCTCCTTCAGCTGTTTCACTGGATTTATCCAGAGCACCACTTGCAGCAAAAGAGGGACTGACCATGCCTCTTAACACATCCTTCCTTTTCTCCACACTTCGTGAAGCTCCACTTGATTCTTCACTGCAAACTCCCTTCCCCTCCCCAGTCTGGTTTCAACCAGAGGGAACTACAAAGCTGGAAACTTCAGGGGTTTTAATCCTAATAATCTCAGTATCCTCAAAGCTGCGTGGTCTGAGGTAGCAGCTGCCAAGAACTTTATGTCAAACTTGATTCCTTTTTTTTTTTTTTTTCCCCCAAGGGATATCCTTTCAGTTTACATTTCAAATTTAGAGAATGAGAGAACAGGAATACAAAGAAAAGGAATAAACAGAAGGGGAAGGCCTTATCTCTCCTTCTCCCATTCCTCCAGTTATTACCTTGAGAATGTCCTAGAGCTTGCTGAGTGCATGTCCTAGGGGTTTTGACCTTGGTCTTTGCCTGAGGAGTAAGAGGTCCAGCACCTGTGGGCACACCTGCTTGGCATCCTCTTAAGGTAGGAAGGCTGTCACTAGGACCACAGTCATCCTGTCCCTGTCATCTTCTGATCTCTCCCTACAGCTTAACAAATCCAGAATTAGCCTTGGTCTTCCTTCATTACCATCAGCCCTTCTTCCTTCCCCAGATACTCTGCCTTCCAATTTGAATCCAATATATACTCTGATTTCCCATCTGTCAAACAGAAGTTAGAGATCTTTTTAAAGTGAACATATTTATCTGAGGAAGGTCAGATTCACCCTAATTCCAAAACTCCTACCCCATTTTGCCAGAAAGTTGTGTTGCTCCCTCCAGTTATTCTCTGCTGGAAAAATCTGTTCTTCACCTTTGACAGACTTCCAACAGCTGCTGGGCCAATTATAAAAATAAAATATTTTGCAACTTAGTGAGACCCAGGTGCAAGTATATCCTATTTTTCCTTGATTCATTACTGGAAGAAGTCCACAGCAGAAAAGGAACAAATAGGAACAGTAGGAGGTCATATGTATATTTACTCCATTGGGCTTTTTTCAGAGCTTTCCACGGGGAATGTAATTGGCTTGCTCCTGGGGCATGTCTAATATTTCTGTACATCAATCCTGAATTACTCAAACATTGCACTCCTTTTATTGCTCGCTTCAAACCCATGCTCGTTAACGGTGTGATTCACAGCACCAGGGATTATCCTGCCTCACTGGCTCCTGTGATTGTTCAGCAGATCCACGCTGTCCTCTAGTGGCCGACGATGGGGAAGGAAGCACCCACACTCGCCCTGTGATCTACACAGGTGAGGATTTCTGCCTTCTCTTCAGCTGTGTGGAATGTTATTCCTCAGCACTGTTTCAAAGATGTCCCCTGAATCTATCTTCCTGTGTTTTGCAAGGCCTCCAGTTCATTTCTTGGAGTGCCAATAGGATAAGTCAGAGGGAGGTTGTCGTAAAGAGAAGGTGTATTAGTGGAGAGGAACAGGCACATGGATCCCTTACAAAACGGATAAAGAGGGCAGGCATCTTGGATGGAAATTACAGACACAGAATCCAGCATCCAGTCAAGGAGGCTGGACTTGTCTGTACCTTCTCTCATGAACATGGAGAGGTTTAGAGAACCCTACAAGAATCCCTCCTCTTTAACAGGAGGCAGGAAATAACAGCAGCAGTCTGGGGTGAGCTATAATCTGCAGCACAGAAAAACAGAAAGGAGCTCACACAAACTCTGAACCTCTTTTTTGCTGAGAACTAGGAATTCTGGAGGTGTAAGTCTCTCATCTCCATCACCTCTCTCCCCCTTCACAGAAACTGATTTTTCTGCCAGATTTCCACAGCCTCCTCAACACTACACATTTTACATGACAACCTGTAAAGCCTCCAATGTTTAGTTTTGGGTTTAGCAATAAAAGGGATGTTCTGTTCACTCTTTGCAAGGGCTAAGCAAATTCAACTTAAATCTAAAACTCTCACAGCTTACTAACACCCAAGCTAATAACTAAATAGCTGCTTTGAAAGTAAAGGTAAATCTGAAACACAGCTCCTTCTTCATAAATCCTCTCCTTGTAGCACCTGGGGAAGAACCTGGTGATTTCAATGATAAATAAACTTATTTGTTGTATTTTGTTATTGTCAGACTGTGTAAGGTTCAGGGGGACTAGTCTAGTTGTTGCTAACCAAGGTTCAGTTACAGGAATGCAGAGGTTATATGAAATTAACAGCCAAAACTCAAACATTAGCCTTATTAAAAGAACAGGATCTGTAGAAATTTTATTACTGATAAAAGCAAATGCAACGAAGTTTCTTTTTACCCTCAAAACTTCAGAATGCACTTGCAAGGCTGACCAGCAGAGAGACCATCTTTCTCCACTTTCACTTTCTTCCCCAAAGAAAACCAAACAAAACCTTTTCCTAGTAGAAGGAGCAGCTCTGAAGAAAAGGTGCAGATAAAAAAAATCCAATTTTAATGAATTTCTTCTCAGAGCAACATACTAGTTTGGAGACTAGTACCAAGGCATTTGCTTGCCTTTCTCACACACACAGGCATATGAACCACAAGACAGGAAACAAAGTCCTGAGCTACTCAGACAAGGGAACTGATTGTGCCCTGGATGGTGTGAGAGAAGCTGGTAACAAGGTATGAGTGAGGAGAAACTTGACACCTGGACACAGAGGAGCAAGATAGATTCCATGTATCCAAAATCCCCCCTCTAATTTCAGATTAGCTGGTCATGGAGGTCACACTGGCCAAAGAAATGTCTCAGTTTATATGGATGCTGAACAAAAGAGAGAAAGTGGAGCTCAGCAAGCTCCCAGACAAACTTCTGTCTTGACAGAAGCCAAAAATGGATGCACATTTGCTCAAACCTCACCTTTCTGATTACAGCAGCACCGTGTTGGACAGCAGCCACACTGGATGTGGCAGCAGCAATACTGGGGGCAGCACTGGCACCAGCATATCCCAATCAGCAGAAGGAGGAGAAGGCCACCGAGAATGATGAGGAGTACTGTGAGCCAGTCTGTGGGGAAAAAGGAGAGAGAAAAAGGATTGATCCTAATATATCTGGCCATGGTAGCTTACTGAGCACCTCTCCACTGCTGGAGATGTCTTGGGGTGAAGAACAGGAGGAGATATCTTGGCAACAAAGCACAGGCACTTACGGAGAACAATCAGCTTAACTTCTTTGTCTGCATCACCTGAGGTATCTCCTGGTGCTTCCACAGCGCAGTAGTACATGCCGTGGTCCCACCACATGACCTCACTGATGACAAGATCTGCTCCTATGGGAGAGGGACTGAGAGGTCAGTGGGATATTTGCAGCTGACAGACACCACGTTCAGGCTCCATCTGAAAAGAGCTCTCTGCCTGCAGGAGACACAGAGTACTGCATCTCCCCTCTTCCCAAGCATAGCTATCACCTTCAAACAATCTCACTGGAGTACGCTGACAACTCCTACAAAGAGCATTCACTACCAGTCCATGTTTTCTGTGTTGCTGGAAGCCAACCCTACTGGTTTTGGAACACAGATCACTATCCCTCTTAGGTCAGCAATCCCAATGGCTCTTCTGGCAGGAGCAGTATCTATTGCTCCACGGACAGCAGGGAGCATATAACACACCTGGACAATTATGTAATACTTGGAAGAATGTACTGTTTTCTAGCTTCTGAGCTCCTCAGCTCAGTTATGCTCTTCAGCAAAATGCTCTGGCATCCTCAGCTCGGCCTTAGGTTGTAGTGCCTCCAACACCCTCAGGCCAGCTGGGGACACTGCTCTTATTCCATTACCATGTGCAGTATATAAGCTACAGATTACATTAACCATGCTCTCTTCACTTAGCAGACCCAGATATTGGATAGTTCCTGAGTTCACTGCCTGCCTGGGAGGTCACTCACGGTTCTGAATGGTGATCTTTCGCTGCTGGTAGTCGATGCCCAGCACAGGGTCCTTCTGCCCAAATTTCTGGATGACAATGCGCACCTTCCGCTGGCTGTCATTGCAGTCGTTAGAGGGGTCCTGGCCAAGGGCTAAACCAGCCTGGTATGCTACAAACACATATCATCAGAGATGTCAGAAGTTATTTCAAAAGACCAGTTTCTATCGTCTTGTGAGCAGCAGAGAAATTCTTGAGTACATTGTGTGCAATTGTTTTGGTTTAGTAATACAAACCATGACTTCAAACCAGTAAGTTGCTTTGGAGTACTCAAAAGCAAACAGAGGTAGAGCCACAGGAATGGCAGAGATTTTGAGAATGCATGAGCTGCAGAGGAGATGCCTTTCCATACTCATGACTGAAGTAGAAAGAAGCTAATGATAGTAGACTGGAAGGCAGCTCCTAGTATGAAGCTGAAAGAAAAGTCATAAAACACCCAGGAGTACTAGAACTAAAACAAAAGGGTGTTTATCTACCAAACAAAATCTCCAGACATATGTGAACTGCTCTATGGATTGTATCCCTTTCCCTCCTGTATCCTATTACATGTTGTGGAGCTCATAAAGACAGAAAATAATCCATCATTTGATTCCAGCTAAGGATTAAATGTAAAGACACAAGAGAATTACTGGAGGACTAGAGGCAATTTCTGTACAATACTTTTTTGACAGACTCACATCATAAACCAACATCGACTTTCCAAGTATTTAGCTGAGGTTTGGGGAAATGGCTGATTCAGTCAGCATATTCTGTGAAGAGCTCACAGTGAAGAGAGATGAGGACAAAGCTTGTCAAAGGCTCTTTCACTGCCATACCTAAAATGGAGCATGAAGTCCCTTTTGGGGACTATTAGCTTGAGCCTGGGCTAAAATCACTCACATTTTGCTGGGATCAGCTGAGCCAGGGACCTACCTGCTTGGGGACCAGGCTGTAGAGAACTTGGTAGCATGCCTACCCAACCCATCCAGACTGCACAAAAGAGAGTTTGGCCACCAAGTCCCCACTGTGAGCTTAGTTCTAAGTGTACACTTATGCTATGGCTGGCTACCTAAATATTCTGCAGGGTTTACAAAAAACAGAACAGAGCAGAATAGTTCATCTGGCAGGGACACACAAAGGTTACCAAGTCCAACTGTCCAATCATTTCATGATTATCTAAAATGTAAAGCAGTACACTACTGATGTAGTACTGAGCCATTCCTACACAACCTATCACTGGATACCAGGCAGAGGAAATCAGCACCTCTCTTTTCACTTCCCCTTCTCAAGAAGCTGTAGAGAGCAATGATGTCACCCCTCAGTCTCCTTTTTCCTGAACTAGACAAGCCCAATGTTCTTAGCTGCTCCTCACAGAATGTGTCTTCCAGGCCTTCTATCAATCAGCATTGTTGCCCTCCTCTGGATGCATTCAAGTACCTCAATATCCTTAAATCCTGGGACCCAGAACCACATACAGTACTCCAAGTGGGGCCACACCAACACTAAATGTAGAGGAATAATAACCTTTCTGGACCAAGTGGTTATCCTGGGATGCAGTTTATGTACCATATTGAACACCCCTGAATTAAGGCTGCCCGCAACAGAATGTCAGCACATGAAATGCTCCTGCTCCCACCACTACTAAACATTATTTAGAAACCTTCATGCCCTTCAAAAAGCATGTGTTTCTTCTATTTCCTAAAATCAGTAACACCTGGTCACAGGTATCCAGCTCCAAGCACAGGTCTCCCATTGAATCCTTAAGCCCACTTGTTGCAGGGCCCTTGCTTTCAAACATGCTGAAGCCTAAGATGGGGCTGCCAAGATTGGCTTGTGTCAACCACAGCTGAACTGCCCTGTATTCTGAGTTGATGACAAGGAGGACAAAATAGCTGCTTTGGATGGGATTTCTACAATCTCATAAGGCCTTGACATTTCAAAGGAAATCACAGACATGACCTGCATTTCCTTGGAGTGCAAGGAAATGTCACCACCTGGTTTTTGCATAGGAAGGGGTCAAAAGCCTGTACTACCCCAGTGAATCTACTTTCCCCTTTCTTCCCACTTGAAGGGGGATTCCTTGGAAGACAAGCCTGACACTTACAGGCTGAGTAGTAGTCAAAGATGGGGTCCTTGCAGAAGGATTTGAAGCGCCAGGTCACCACCACGTCCTGCAGCTGTGCTGAGGTGCTATAGTCACACTTGAGGATGACAGTCGCAAATAAGGTGGTGTAACGCTCAACATCCTGCACTGTCACCAGGAGGGAGAGGCAGCCTGCAAACAAGAACACAGGAAGCCGTCAGCCCACAGACTCCCCAGGCCTCCTATCACACCATCTGCACCACACCAATGGCCCAAGTACATCTCCTTTGGCCCCGTCCAGGACCTGCACCTACAGACCTCCCAGCCCCTCTGGTGAAGTTATCCAGGGTTACAAATCCTGGTTAGAACATGACCACATCTTTCCCTGACACAAGAAAGCTTCATTGGCTCACCTTAATTATTTTCTCCAAAGCATGAGTAACCATTATGAAACGCATCACTCTGTGCTCTCCTTCTGCATGGGGAAAATTGTCCCAGAAGCACATGGGACAGGACACCCTCAGCTTTTAATCCTAATCAGAAAAGTTTTGCAGGGCCATGTGTTTGTATAAACACCAAATGAATTTTATCAAGGTCTTGCTCAGACACTCATCAGAATGTTATCTAGTGGTGACCAGGATTAAGACAATACAACTCTCAGGTTGTAGCACTGTAGTTAATTGTTTATCACCACTTCAGAACAGCACACATCAATTACTACCTTTTATCCTTTTAAATGAAGCTATCATTATGTATTTGTTATATACTCATCATAACAACCTCCACAGCACTTTCCATCCAAGTAGCTGCACACACTCAGGGAGGTTTTACAAAGTTTCCCATAAGCTATACCATAGTTCAGCTATACTCCAGAAACATATTTATCTTATTTAAACCTTGATAGTACAGTAAGTTGTGCTTGTCGTTAACAATAGCAAAGTTATCACCAGTTGCCTTTGATAAGGGAATACAAACAGTGAAGGGCAAGTGTGGGATGCCCTCTTTGGAATATATGCCAGAGAACCAGGCAGGGATTGCAGCACTGTACTAGTTGCTTCTTAACTGCGGAGCATGGCAGCAGAAAAGTCAGGAAGAAAAGTGGGATGCTTGAAGGTACCAACTGTACAGGTCTCCATGAACCAACACTCGATTTTTATCATATATTCAAAGATTTTCCCTCTAGTCCATGTTTTCAGGATGAGAGCAAGAGAACAAGTTGCTACTACTATGTAGTAACATCTGGACCACAACTGCAAACATCATTCTTTGTCAAGCATCATTCAGTGTCCTCTTAGGCTGCCACCTCAACACTACATTCCAGGCAAATACAAGCTCACACAGTTTCCACACTGGAGAAGATGCTGCAGAGGTGCATGCTGCCTCAACAAGTCATTCTGCAGTAGGGTATTGTCAATGTAGTACTTGCTCAGCTTCTGGTTAGAAATGGCACTTCTTGTCAGCCAACTGAATTCACAGGCAGAGCAAACTCATTTGCCTTAAGAATACCACACAAACAGAGAGGGCCAGGGAAACCCCTGAACCCAAGGCTTTTCTGAAAAATAAGATATACGCACATGCACTTAAACACAAAAAAAACTAGCAGCTGTGCAAGCCTCTAGATAAAACAAGTTTATTACAATGCTGTAGCATGGCAAGGTCCAGACCACTGACAGGTAGTTACAGCTGCTCTTATTTAAAAGCACTGTAGTTCAACACATCTTGTTTCAGCTTTCATTGTGAAATAGCTGACTCTAGGGCCTTATTGCAGAAAATCACAAGAAACCAATTCAAACTCTCGAGATCAGCAAAACCTTGATCTCAGTGTCAATTAAATGAGACCCCATATGAATTATGAGTTGTCAAGGCTCATGGGAACAGAATGTTTTCCATGGATTTCCTACAACAGCATCTCTCTGACAAGAATAAAACATTCAAAATCACTGTGTGCTTTTTACTAACAAAACCCACATCTCTTTATGGAAGGGATGCTTACTCACTCTGTTCTTCAAAACAGCCAGAGTTGAAGGGGAAGTTCCTTATTTTCTAAAGAGGTTGAAAACCTACTGTTCCTCCCCAGCAAAGAGTAAGATGTTGCTGCATGTCCAGTGTTTCCCATTGACTTCCAAGAAAACTGAAAAGTTGTGAAATTAGGGCTGGACTGCATTACTCCACTGCAGGACACTATCTTTCTTATCTTGATTGGAAAGAACAAATATGGACACCACCAATCTACTAAGTTTTGGCTACATCTATGGCTTCGAAGTGAAGACACGAACCTCTGGACCCCGTGTAGCCAAGTTTTGGCTAGAGCATCTTCCAGGAACACAGCTGTCAAGCAAGACAATAAACAAGCATAGCCTCCATTCTTTTTTGCTTCCTTCACTGGTTCTCCGTGAAAAACCGAACTTCAGTATTTAAAGCCAGATTATCAGCCAAGACCCAGGCATCCAAGAAGCGAAATGATCGCTTTACTTCCAAGAGAAGGTTAGAAGTCAAGCAGCCTGCAAAGCCTGGCAGAGAGAACTCTGCTGGCTGAAGGCTGCCCGTGGGCAGGGAGGCGAGCTCCTGCCCCCCACTCGAGCAGGTGCTCAGCAGGTGCAGCAGCACTGCAGCTACCCCAGAAATCCTCAACAGGTTGTGGCTGCTGAGCCAGCAGCAAAAGCTGGGGTGGGCGCTTGCGAGAGGCCAAGGGGGATCCCCCCGTGTCCGTGCCCAGCGGCCGGGTCCCAGCCGAGCTGGCAGCATGCGACCGATACTGGAGGCTGCCAGGAAGCAGGAGGCCACTTCCTCCTGGGAGAGAGGTCAGCCGCACCTTCGGGGAGCGAAACTCGTCTCCGCACGGCTTCGTACCGAGCTCGGGAGAGCCCCGCGGGCGGGAAAGGGCACCGGGGGGGAACAGCTCCCGCCCGGATCGGGCCGCCCTTTCCCCTCACCGCGGGGCCGCCGCCGCTCCCCAACCCCGCGGCACCTTAACCGAGGGCGAAACCCGAGGGTGCCTCCCAAGTCCCGGCCCCTGCGCCGCGGGGCTGTCCCGGGGCAGGGCGGGCCGGGGGCCCGGAGGGGGCCGTAAGCCCCGGGCCGCACTCACCGGCCGGCAGCCAGGCCAGCAGCAGCGCCCACCGGCAGCGCCCGCGCGGGGCCATGGCGCCCTCTCCTCCTCCTCCTCCTCCTCCTCCTCCTCCTCCGCCCGGGGACGTCGCGCCCACTGTCCCTCCCCTTCCGTGGCACCTGTCCCTGGGCCGGGCGCTGCCGCCGGCTGCAGTCCCCTCCCTCTGTACCTGCACCCTCCGCCCGAACGCCAGACAAAATACCAGCCGGCAGCTTCAAGAACTGCTTTATATACACATACACATACACATACACATACACATACACATACACATACACATACACATACACATACGCATACGCATACGCATACACATATACACACACACACATATATATTTTTATATATATATGTAAAAAGAAAAAATATATATCTCAAAACATGTATTTATTATATCAATATATTATATGTATGTATGTATGTATGTATGTATGTATGTATGTATGTATGTATCTATGTCCTGAGCACACAGGTGCATGGGAAGTTACCCGAGCTGCGCCGCCCGGGGCAGCGCGCCCCAAGCGAAGGGCGCACGGGAGCGCACGACAAAGACTGCGGGCGGGAAGAACGTCTGGGGAATTCACGGAATCACAGAATCGGTTCGGTCGGAAAAGATCTCCGAGACCATCCAGTCCAGCCTGTGACCGAACACCGCTGTGTCAACTGGACCAGGGCACTGAGTGCCTCGTCCAGTCTTAAACACCTCCGGGGACCGTGACCCCATCACCTTCCTGGGCAGCCCACTCCAATATCTAATCATCTCTTCTGTGAAGAAATTCTTCTTGATGTCCAACCTAAACCTCCTCTGGCGCAGCTCAAGACTGTCTCCTCCAGACCCGTCACTAATTTAATTTTCCCGCTGAGGTCTGAAAGGACCTCAACCGTGGCCAAAGCAGAGGTTACTTTAAAGAAAAAACCCGAACAACCCAAAGTAAAACAACCAGCAGCCCCCGCAATTGGCCCGGTAGCGCCGCGGACCCGCCTGCTGGCTCCGCTCCCGGGGCGCTTGCGGTTGCCTGGAGACCGGAGCTCGGCGGCGGAGCGGGCCCAGGTACCGGGGCTGAGGGGAGGCCGCGGCCGCTCCGGGCCCAGGTACCGGGGCTGAGGGGAGGCCGCGGCCGCTCCGGGGACAGCCGCCCCCGGCGGGCCCGCTGGTGCTGTGAGTTGTTCCCGGTAGCCCCCCTCCTCACGCCTCCCGGGGCCTCTCTGTGCCCGCACCCTTCCCATGGCCCCGCTGGGGCTTCCTCTCCCCTGCTCGCCCTGCGGAGCGCCAGGTGTCCCTCGCCTGCCCTCTGCTATCCCCTCTACACAGGAATGAAATGTCCTACAGCAGGGATACACTGTCCCGTACTGCATCTGAAATGTGGGACCTTTTGGGTTTTCTTTGCCATGTGTGAGGCAGTTAACTTTATTGCCTGTTGCATTTGTGGTACTACTCTCATACTCATTTTTATGATTTTTCTTTATGCTGTAAGTTAATAAGTAACTGGTGATGTCACCTGCCCTTATTTCTGCGTAGTAAAAGCCTGGTAACCTTTATTCACAGGGCAGGCTTTAATAGACTTAAAACTTTTGCTTGCATGTTGTAGAGCTAGGATATGTGGATCATACAGAGGGCTACTTTAGGTGTAAGACTGTAAATTAGAGTTAGATTTATTTCTCCTAATGAAATAGGAAAATACTTTGCATTTGTGCAACATAGTAATAATGAGAAGATCAATAGCAGGGCTCTGCTCTACTCTTTTCTCTCTCTGATGAGGGAGAAGAGAGACAATGGGGCTATGATAGAGATAATGTGTCTAGATCCTGCTTTGTAGCTTTATCCTTGCTGTCTCTGTCTCTGACTAGTAAATAATTTATATACTGAACTGCTGTGAGAATTGCTCTCTTCTATTATTCTCCTTGCTCTCAAGTCTTCTAGCTGTTATAAGAGCAGCCATATTCTCTAGTATTTCTTTTTTCTTCCTTGGGATCTTGGGTTGATTGCCTAAACTGACTTTTATTACTAATTTTCTAGTGCTGATGGATAGTGATATACACACAGCACTGCTTTCTATGCCTGATTGACACTCTGCTATTTTTCTTTCTGTATATAAACACTATAAGACTTAATTTTTTTAATGAAAGTGAGTTTTGCAAGACTCTCCTCTTTGCCCGTTTTGCACTCATCAGTGGCCCAGTAAATTGTTGATGTACTTTGATGTGGTCTGAAGGCAGAAAGGAGTGCTGAGAGAGATGTTCAATGGTCTGCTGTTTTTCAAACACAAATGAAAGATTCAGAAAAAAATGCTGAGGAGACCATATTTGAAAGTCAGCTAAAGAAACAGGTCTTGGCAGATGGGAAGAAACCTGACACATCCAAAGCAGAGCTAGACTTGAGGAAGATGCTGAAGAGATGATAAGTATGGAGTTCCTCATGGCAGACACCTCTCACAATACCCGAATGCTGCACCTGTGTTTTAGACGAGTGCTACCCCCAGGTCAGAAAGAGCAGAGAGTGCAGCGTGGAAGGCTCGCAGTGCAGTGCTAAGAGGAGTCAGGATTGGAAATCCTGGGACAAACTGAGTTCCTTCATGTGGAATGAAAACAATTGAAGGAATAGCACAATCTCTTCTGAAAGAAAGGCCAAATGTCTTTCTTTTCTTTCTTTCTTTCCTGAATTCCACCAGTGTGTAAAGCTTTTCTACAAAAAAAATTAACACATTTTGGAATGAGCCAAAAAAATAAAATCCTGCAGAAGTAGCACGATATAGACATAATTTTTAATCTCTTGCTTATTGCTGGTACTTTTAGCATTGCAGTTTTATTCTGTGGTAACAGTTCCCTAATTCTACATAAACTGAATTAGCGGTCAGAACCGATGAGCACTCTTGTGTGGATGTAAAATCTGATAGGTGATGTCATTTAAACACATTTAAACAGTTAATGGTGGGGCAGAAACAGCTTAAAATAACTGTTAGATATGTTCTGTTTTCTAAAGTAAAACTGTAGGCTGCATTTTGATCATTATTTGATTTCATGTATTTTATGCAGTTGAAGTGTCAGTCACAGGGTTTATGAAGGCAAGAACTGCATTTATGAGGCTTACACATTTAAACCTCTTTTTTTCTGGAAAGAAGAAAAGTGTAGGATGACAAAATAGAAAGTGGTGTCATCTCACTGAATTTGTTTATATGTTAGCAAATAAACACCCATTTGATTTAATTATGCTGTATTTTGAATAAATGAGACAGTTGTCTGACATGAGAAATCACTTAATGTCCAAATTTACTGAGAATTTTTGAGAGACCTCCATATGTAAAGATTTTGTGTGGCAACAAAATTGACAAAAAAAATTTTAGTTCTGACATAACTGAAGTAATATACCTGAATGAACACATTTCTCCATTCTGTGGCTTTTGAGAACATAGCTAAGAAAAAGGCAATTTGAAAGAAAATGGGACTTTGCTGAAATTCCCAGCTTGTAGCACTGTCCACTGAAATAAGGATAACCTGAATTCAGTCCTGACTTGGAATGAGTTCCTGAGTTCATGGAAATAATGGAACTGATGTGGATCTGGTACAATATTTCAAGTCAGTGTCTTGATTTATTAGGACTAGGAGGAAAATATATTGCCCTGGCCAGGCAGTGGCAGAAAAATGATGACTGCTAACTTGTTTTTTACTTGCTAGACTTGTCACACAAATTCTACTTATCACTCTCTCAGTTTTCAGTATCAAAAGGTTTAAATCTTTCTGATTTAGGAAATCTGTTGCAAAAAGACCTACCAACTCTCCCCAGGAAAATAAAATCAGCATTCAGAGAGATACATGCCTTTGTCATGGTGAGCAGGCGCAAGAGTTTTCTGGATCAGCCAATTCATGAAACCCAGAATCTTCAGCCAAAGTAGACGTGCTACCCCCTTGAGCCTCTTCTGAGTCCTTAAATTCAAAATTTGCTTTGGCACAGTGCTTGAATGCCATCACAAAAGTGTGCGCAGTGGACATTACAGTGTCTTTCTTTAACTAGAACCCAGATATCAGCACAAGCAGAAATGTTCATATCCTCTTTCAGCCTAAAGCATTTTCCAGATAGGAATTAATTTATAATGAAAACTATGATAGTCTTAATTTTTAGAAGATAAATGATTGTTAATTAGTTACAATAATTTGAAATCTTATAGCTCTTTTCTCTGTGGATATCAAAACACTTCGCTAAGATGGGTAAGTATTATTATCTAATTTTTCACAGGAGATAACCGAGACAGCCAGAGGTGAAATGGCTGATACAAATTGTACACGTCATTAGTGGGTTTGGAATTAGAATTCAGGTCTCTGAACACTCCACTATCTATTTATGCAAATAGTCTATAACTATTTCTTCAACTTCAGTGATATCAGTTGTGTTACCCCATTAAAAACTCATGAACTTCATTTAAATATATCGAGATCTATTGCAATTGTTTTATTTTCATTTGTTTTCTCAATGTAAAACTTTCTGCTTGTCTATTTTCAAGTTTTTCTCAGCACTCCTAAGGGATAAAAGCTCATTTGGAATTCATACATAAAATTATGCAGGAAAATCAGATTCTGGCAGATTCTCAGAACTTTTGGATGAAGATTGGCTATATAACAACAAGAATGACATGTCTGAAATATTTTTTTGTCCTCCTCGTCCTTCTTGTGGATGGCATTACATTAGGACACTTTGCGTTTCCTGAAATATCAGAAAATTCTGAAATTCCTCAAAATATTTTTTCCAAATGGATTCTGATCCAAAGCTGGAAACAGGAAATGCATTTTTAGGGACTTCTTTGTGGTATCAAAGTCATGATCACAAATGGAGATTTTCTGGGATCCTGCCCATATTTCTTATTCTGAGTATTCATGTTTCTTTATATACAACTGAATTTTCTGATTTAAGATAGTTTTTTTTAATGCTGTAGTATTGGTACAGAGTTGCTCCAATGTGCAGTTTAAGGTGTTTCATTTGGAAATGGAGAACACATATGAAATCAAAGGCAAAACAAAATATAAAGAAAGAGCAATGCTTATGCTTTTTTCCTTCTTTTTGTGACTTTTGTAAAAATGGTCAATGTGTTTGGTTTTCATATTACAAATTTATATGACAAACTTTCCACTTCAGAGGACAATAGTAACAAATGAAAATTTTAGCACCCTGAAAAAATGGTCTGAAAGATGAAAATCATGTGAGGAAGGGGTGCTATTAAGCTATTTATTTTTTTTTAAATTGTGTTAACTTTTAAAATTTGTTTTCCATTATCATAGTGTTTTGAAGAAAGTCCTTTTCTCTTAAAGATTCATCTCTCTTGCTTTTCATTTTAAGATATTAGGTGAGCTTAGCATGTCTGTCTCTGGATATTTTTGTCAAGTCCAACACAAGGTGAAGGAATAGCCTTCTTGTCTCAAAAGCAGATCTTATATCCCAGAATATTAACGAGAAACTCAACACATTTAAATCATGTCAGCTCCCACCATTACACAGTATTTAGATTAAAGTCTTGCTGTACCAATTCATTCAGAGCCTGGAGTCCTAAAACCAATTAATTCACTCTACAAAGTAGGACATATCTTTGGATTATCCATATTTGTGTACAGGCAGAAGACAAATAGCATCTTTGGGGATCCCAAAGCATTTGAGAGGAAACGAAAATGGTCAAAATGGCAAATAAAGGCAACAATACTAAAGGTTTGTCTTTACCACTGCCAGGGAGTGCGGACATCCATCTTTTCCAATGGAAGAGGAACCAGAAGAAGATGCAGAGTCAGATTCCAGTGGTGAGTATTTCCCCATTACAGCGTGATTTCAGTATTGAACCTACAGTAACTTCTGGCTTCTTCCACCACTCACCCCTTTCTTACTTCATCTCCAGTTCCTGCTCTGGGTGTTGTCAGATTTTATTTTTACTCTGATCATAGTGAGGTTCTGGACTAAGAACTGTGCCTGCTGTTCCTGCTGTGCCTCAGCTCTCAAAGTCATTCCCCTGAAAATTTCTGTGGCTTAGACTTGTCTCTGTAGCTAATACTGAAATCAGCTTTTTAACTCCACAGACTCTTTCAGTCAGAGGACAGTATTTTTTTTTTTAACATATTTTTCATCTTGGAATGCCTGTCCAGTGACTATTTCAGGTGTCCTGCATGCCATCTAACACAATAGAACCAGGCAGCATGAATAACAAATCCACTTTGGAAGGATTTTTTGATGCATTGCTGCATCACTTTTGGCATTTGTTTGGTCTTCCTATTACACCTTTTGTTCTGTTATAGGATGTGTTTGTTTCTTTCCTTCCCCTAAGTTTTAAATTACTCTTTCTTGGAATCAAACTTCTCCTTACACTTAATGCTAAACAGCAGGAAGTCTGTTGTTGGACAGAGGAGTTTCTTTTATTACTACAGAACTATATATTTATTTAATATGTCATATATTAACAAATTAGTCAAAGGATTTAATATCTAAGACGGTGATCCTAATTATACTTTGCAAAAGAAAACAAAACAAAGTGTTTAGAAGGAATCATCAACTGCAGAGGAACAGAATGAAGAAGGGGAGCAAGTGGAATCAGATATTGAGAGCATTGCTGAGAACTGGTGTCCACTGAGATGTTGGCACAAACTTGAAACCCCCAGTACTTTCTAGTTTTCATTGTTTTACTGTTATTGTTAGGAACAGCCTAATAACCTCAGACTGTAATCAGTTACAGCGATGGAGTATTTCTGCTCGCTTTCAGTTGGCTTAACTTTGCTCTTTGTCTGGCTGGTCTCTGACCCCTTTGTTTGTTTCTCATGAAACAAAGAGTCAGATGAGAGAAAAGAGTCAGAATAGCATGAAATGCTTACAAAATGGATTTAACCTGAGATAACCAACTGGTAACTACTTTTAATGAGTGCTTAGGACTAGTTGGAAATTGCAATCCAGTGAGGAGCTACACTCAGCCACACATTAGCAGTTTGCTTTCTTGAGGGCAGCAGTGTCTTGTGCTGGTCCATTGTATGTGGTTTTAAGAATCCTATTGTGTAACGATGTGCATTCAATAGCTACTGAAAAGAGACACTTTAAAATTTGTTTGGTTTCTGAAGTGGAGATCTAAATATCAAACAAACCTCAACTGAACTGCTTTGGTAAGTCTTAAAATTTTGAAGCTAGTATTTTTCAAATGGTCTCAAAATTTTTCTTGTTTAAATTCTTCAGTTTTGAATATTTACAATGTAGTTTTTAAAAGCCTGAGGGAGTATTTCTTGCAGACTGTTCCAGGACAAGTAGTTGCTAAGACATAGCACCCTTGTTTTGAGCTATGAAGTATTGATTGCTCTGTCAAAGGGGACAAAGAATTGTGACTTCCTCCCTTTTATGATTTGGTGAAAATATCAGCAACTAACCCAAATTGTACGGTTAATATGAATTTCTTTTATGTTCCCACTTCTGAGGTGAAGATATCACTTCTGACGAAGAAGATGATAGTGAAGTATCCTCAAAATCACAGAAAAGGCCTGAGGAGGAAAAGAAGAAAATCCCAGAAACCTTCTTCTACACATATGAGGATGTGTATTCAGGACCATATGCCACTGATGACACTGAGATATCTACTGACCTTCTTACTTTTAAGTATCCTTTCTGTTGAGCTTGTGCAAATTCAAAGCAAATGATATTTAATGTATATTCTCAAAATTGTATTGGTGAAATTTGGAGTAGTTTCTGTGGCATTAGTGGGATACCTTTGGTTGAGACACAGATAAAAATCCTGGCCAGTTATGGTTCTGGGTGAACTTAAGTGTTGTCTTGACCTCATAAATATTTATTTATGGTAGTGCTTACTATCATAAGTACTTCTGTAGAACTAGATCATGGAGACGCTAATGTGACCAGGCAGAAGACTGGCATAAGAATACGCCCTGCAAAGCTCTCCATTTCTCTTTAGCCACACTGGTGTTCCTCAAGAAGCTGAGGAGAGGGCAGAAGAGCTCCTGTATACCTTGTAATGGAGAAGTGGGAAAGGACCCATGTAGATTTGTATTCTGGTACTTGGAAGATCTAAACTGGTAGAATGAAGGAAGCGGTGCCCATCAGTTAAGAGCTACAATAAACTTTTTGGTAGGTATGGTCAGGTAGGGTAGGATACGATATATGACTTTTATATACGCTGGTGGTTTTCTCTGCACAGTTCAATTGCTGTTGAAGACTGGATTTTCCCTTTTTTACATCTGATTGTAAACAATTAAGAAGTGAGCTTGGAAACTTGCTTGGTTTGATCTCATCTGTAGAACAGTTCCTGGTAATCTGATGCACATCTTTTACATTTTGTCTGAAAAGAGAACACAGACAAAATACTTATTTCTTGCAGCTCCAAATGATCCAGTAGAAGCAAGAGGTGTACCCGTAGTGGAGATGAAAAGATAGGATATGAACTTTAGAAGGCTTTTACTTGTGCCTTCCTTTCAGTTATAGAGTCAAGATATGTTTTACTTTCACTGTATACTGAAGAAAATTATCTCCTGCCATCAGGCTTAGTCACTAGTTTCAGTATTCCCATGTCAGTTTCAGTTTAAGCATTTTTATCCACTTAGTAAACTGTCTAGAAAGCCAGTGTCTAATCTTTTCCTTATTGGACTGTTCCCAGACATTCTTTTGGATATGACTGTACCAGACCTGTAAACCTGATGATAATGGATAGACATACTGTGGGGTATATAGCAGGAAACCAGGTGGTGCTCCAGAACCTCAGAACAAAGTATCAGAAATACGTCCGGAGCAGCCGTGGCGGTGGAATTGGGTTTATCACAGTATGGCTTTTCTTTCTTGTTTAAGAACTTTAGTTGCTTTCTGGGAAAAAAATGTTTGCTTGGTTGTGATTGCCAGATATGGGAGACTTATACAGTTGCACATGCATATACATAAGAAAGAATGGTATTGATTAAAGGAATGTGTGGACCATGCAGCACGGGCTTCTCAACCCATCAGTATAATTGGCAGAGAACTAGTATCGGCACACCTTAGTTCCAGGCTCAGTTAACTCTAAAAGGACTGTCAAGTCCAGCTGGAATTAATTTTTAGCACTTTTACATTCTTATTTAAATCTCTTGGCTCATATAAATTATTTTTTTTTTTAACACTTCATCTGTCCTAATCACAACTGATACTAATATAGAATCTTACTTATCAAGAGCTTGGAATCTCAAGTTCTTTCATTTGGAAATAGAGAGTTCTGTCTCTGAATTTGAAGCACCTTACCATCTGAAAGCTCTGCCATCTCTCAGTTTCACTGCACATGAGTGAGGCTTTCAGACTACCAGCCTCAGAATGTCCTGCTTCATTGTAAGCAGCCTTTTCTGGGGAATCAGTGTACATTTTTACACCTTCAGAGTAGTGTCATTCAGGATGGCTTTTCTGCAGCTGTCTGCTGAAAGTAGATGGCTGCTGACACAAATGCTGCTATGGAAAGATTAGCTAGTGGGTTAAGTGAGGTAGGAATAATAAAAGGATGCATCACAAAGCAGATGGTTTCACCGTTTGTCATGATTCTGCAATATATGTGTGATATACCATTTTGTGTGCATAGTGGTTTCATTCCAATATTGAGCAATGGATTGGCAGTTTTTCAGAATAAATGCAATCTAGTATTTATGGCAATATGTTTTGACTAATGAGCGAGTGAATACAATAACTCAATAACTAGCAGGATAAAGACAAAGGTGTTATTACAGCATGCAACAGGACTTCTGCTTTTTCAAGGCACATCCTGATAAGGAGTACTTTGCAGTAGGAGAAAAAGGAATAAAGCCAAACATTGTCATCTACACATATCCTTCGGTGAGGCCCTACAGAATACTGAGAGGTAGTGTAAAAAGTTCTATTTTCATTTTATGCAGATGGACTAGTGTTTAAAGATCCCAGCAGATGGAGTACTGTATCATTTTTAGTTTAGAAGGAAATAGACTCTTTTGGTCCTTCCCAGCAAAAATAGAAAACACTGGTTTCAAGCTTTTTCATTATTACATGGGAAGAAACTTTAATTTGATAGAGATAGCCAACCTAAAGCCATTACCTATTAAAAAAAATAATTTCAGTGAAAGTTGAGCTCCTTCTGAGTAGATTTTTTTGTGTTGTTTCTACCTCTTTCCTGTGCATGTGTGTTGGGGCTTGTACATTTCTTTAGGTGGAACAGAAGTAGCCTATGTTTTTGGTGATTTCAACCGTACTGGCACTTTGCTGGCCAGTGTTGGGAGCAGCCCTGACTACATGTTGACTATCTGGGACTGGAAGCAAGAAGAGACTCTGTTGAGGTCAAAAGCTTTTGCACAGGATGTTTACAAGGTCATGTTTTCTGCTGAGAATGAAGAGCATCTAACTACAGCTGGATCAGGACACATCAGGTATGTTTGCTGATTAGGATTAATACAATAACACCTCTGCAGTCATAATACATAGGAGATGACTAACAAGAATGTGTCATTAGCAAACATGTACCAATGAGAAATGCTATTTTACCTGACCCTTACAATTACAAAAATGAGGAATTTCAAATCCTTCAGCCAGTGAAACAAATCCTTCAATATCTCCGCTCTCCAAATAGGATGATACTTGATGTTAAATGTCAGCACCTCTGGCTCCATTCTTGTAATTTCAACAATCACTGGGAAGGAATAATGAAAAATACTTAAATATACATGTCTTCTAGCTGGTAGCATAGGATATGTGCCTTCTGTGCCTTCTGGGCTTTCTACCTTTAATTTCTTGAGCTCATCTGCTCTTTGGACAGCCATTAGATCTGGTTGCCAACAGAAACCCTCTGATCAAACCAAAAGCCTATAAAAGATGTTTCTATACTTTCCCTTCCCTTATAAGTTCATGGGTCCTTTTATAGAAAAGGGCCAAACACCCAATGGCTTTAAACTTTCTTTTTGTGTTCTGTGTTTATCCAGTACTCAAATGTTAACACAGCAGAGACTTATGCTGTGAGTGGTATTCTGTTGTAATAAAAATCATATCTTTAAAATTATAACACATCTAAATTTTCTTTGAATTTTAATGGGGAAATCTGAGATTTGCTTTAAAGTTTGGCTGCAAGGTGGGTCTGAAATAGCAAATGATTTATTTAGACACAGAACAAGTGAGGTTTAGAGGCATTATTTATGGAAATCTAACAAAGCAAAATCTCTTATAAACTTTCTTTTGAGCAAAATACTACAAATAAACTCTGAAATAGCTTTTATTACATGATAAATGTGACCTTTCACCCAAATGTGGACTCAAGTTACAATTTCCAACAGTTATCTTAAAAGTAATGTCTCCTGCACACGCAGGAGACACTAATATTTAAGATAAAATCTTTGGCTCAGTGAGATTGAAAGTACAGTTTAAGTCCACAATGGATGGATGGATGATATTAAGTGAAAACCTCAGTCCCTTGGATTTACAAAACTGAGCATCATAAACTCCACTGCAAGAATAAAGTAGGTATCCCTAACTGTGTGTATGGGTTGTAGCTGGAAGAATGTAGCTGTGGATTTTACACTTCTTAATTTTAAATAGTAGTTTAATCTTCATTCTTCCTATTCCAAATTATTTTCCTAGCATTTTCATAGGAGTAGTATAGGGGAGTGTTTGTGTAGTTGTAAAGCTTTATGTCATATTCCAAAGAAAATACCCCAAGTTCTCCTGCTTAAAAGAGTAATACATGAGCAGCCCTTGCTTCATGGCAAGGCATGCCTGGTGAGAGTATTGCAATGTCTATGAGGAACTGAACAGTGATTAGGAAATCTTGTATCAGAGAGTGGTGTGTTTTTGTGTATTCAGGTTCTGGAAGATGGCTCTCACACTTACTGGTCTCAAGTTACAAGGAGCTTTGGGCAGGTTTGGAAAAACAGCAGTGTCTGACATTTTAGGTTTTGTGGAGCTGCCTGATGGGAAGGTAAGTAAGAAAAAGTGACAAAAAGAAACAATATTATGTAGCCTTTAAGGCTTTGTAAAAGTCTGCTTTGTAAATTAGTGAGTAACTATTTGCTTTAAAATGGTTTTAATCAGGCCCATGATGCAGTGTTCTGAGAAGAAAATATTGCCATCAATTTGCCCAAATCCTGACTTGTTTTGTAATAACTGGAAAATAGTTAGTGTTGTAATTCACAGAGAAATATCTGTGTTGGCTTAGAGCTGAGTGTCTTCTAATGTGAAAACATTAGTATACAGAAATACAAAGAGATTGTTGGTCCTAATCTTCAACCATTTCAGTGCATGCAAATTATGTCACATTGCTAAAATGTTGAACCTACTCCCCTTTACATCTTTCTTGCAAATGTTTGTACTTTGCCATTGATTTCATACTTTCATGGAAGGAAGTCACAAATGTTAACTGGCTTCTTGCCTATATTTCTGCATGATTACATGCAGGTGCTTATGTACTTCATTTTTATTGAAGGTTGTCTCAGGAACTGAGTGGGGCAATTTGCTGCTTTGGGAAGGTGGTCTCATTAAAGTAGAGCTCTGTCAAGTTGGACACAAGCCCTGTCACGAGGGCCCTGTCAGCCAGTTAGTTTTTGATGAAGGAGACCTTTACTCTGTCGGAAAAGATGGTGTCATTCGGGTGAGTTTTTCTTTTGCTCTGCCTTTAGGTGTGCAAATGTATGGTCAGCAGGTAAATGTTGAGAATTTCCTTTACCAGGCTTTTGGAGGAAATTTTGGAGTGCAGTTTCTTTCTGAAAATTATTTTTTAGAAGAAAGCAAATAAGAGCTCATCTCCGCAATGTACATGTTTGAATTGGATAGCATGGCATGCAGTTTGCTTTTTCTAATAGTAATAAATAAATCAGCTTTTACTTTAGTAAATCAAAATAATCTTCAGTGGTTTTCTAACAGCTTTGTTCTTGATAGCATTCTAACATTTTATCATTTTCAGGCCTATTAACACATGGTGTTAACTAAAAGATAAATAATAAACTACAGGAATATTTGAAATTAATTTTCTGAGTGTTTAAAAGCTCAGATTATTAATGCTAAAATGACACAAATTAACTAGCATCTCAGAGATACATATCCTGAAATAGGGGAAAATTAAAAAAAAAAAAAAAAAAGTATCCTGAAGGATTAACAAATAGTTCTATAAATTAAGGTCAAAATGTTTTCTTTAGGCATTCCTACCACACTCTGTTCTCACCTGTCAATGATCAACCATTTTGCAATCTTATTTCCCCCCTCTTTAAGGGAGGACATGATGTGTCTTCTGATGTGTGAAATGACCCAGATAATCAATGGAGAACTGGAGGAGGGTTTCAAACACTGTTATTGTTACTTTCTGTTTTATGGCTGGTGTTATCCCCTTAGGAAAATTCACTTGATTATAAACATGCTAACTGATATGTTGTCCTTTTCTACAGAGCAGAACATAGAAGGGTTAGAATTCCCGTTATTTTGTGCTGCCTCAGTATGAGCCATGCTGAGAGCTCACAGATACAATAATTCTGCATAGTTCTGAAGCTGCCATGTATAGCTCTGCTAGTGTCAGGGTGAATTGAAGCTCCTGTCACTGTTCTAAGTTATGTTCAGAGCAGTGATTTTGCTTTCTTAAAATTTTGATTTTCCATATTTATTGTGTATGAAAACAACCTGGCCTTATGAATAAAAGCTTTTTTTTGTGCTTTTATTTTCTGTGCTTCCAATGCCATGAAGATGTGGAACTTTGAGGTAGTAGATACTGCTGATCCTGTGGATGCCACAGGGTTAATGGAGATGGAGCCTATGAATGAACTTTGGCTTGGCAAGAATGTTAGCCTGAATTTCATAACAAAAATTCATGACCGTGAACATCCCTTTTGGTATGCTCAGGTAAGACACACTCAGGTACATGCATTCCTGTGGAGAAACACAAAATGAGGGAGGTGATGGTAAGTAACAGCAGGAGTCCATTACAAACCAGTGTGTTTCTTTTTGGAAGAATTCAGTCTTCTTCTAGATGTATAGAAAATCATCTTCTTTTCTACCTACCTACCTACACTGAAACAGGCTTTCTAGAGAGGTGGTTTAAGTTCCAAGTTCAGTGTTTAAGAGGCATGTAATAGAAGCCCTTAATAGTATACTTTAACTTTTGGTCAGGCCTGAAGTGATCAGGCAATTGGACAGGATGATCCTTGCAGGTCCCTTCCAACTCAATTATGCTATGTTATACTGTGCTGTAGTGTACAGCAATGTGTGAGACTCTGACATAAGAATAGCAGAATGCCAAAACATATTGTCCAAGTTCTATTACCTTAAAGTGATGGATGGGATTCATAAGACCAACATCACTGAGTTCAGTAATTTCTGTTTCACAATGATAATCATTAAGGAGTTTTTAAGAAGTCACCATGTGCAGTTTTATTTCCAAATTGAGTCTGAAAATATTCAATTAATGTTTATTCTTCTTCAGGATACAAATGGAGCAATATGGAAGTTGGATTTGACTTTTTCAAATATGGTAATTTTGCTTTTTTTTTTTCCTTCTGATTTCTTCAGTTCATTTGCAATATTCAATTGCAATTGAATAATTACAGTCCTGTAACTACACTGGTGGCATCAGGAATGAAATTTGTGTTTTATGAAGTTGCGCGGTAGAAAATTGTAGCATTGAAACATGTATTTTATTTCATAAAAATTTTCAAATGTAATTGATTGTAATGATTGTGCAGAAATAAAGAGGAATTTGATTTTTGATCCCTGAAATTTCAGCTGCCAGATTCAAGTTACTTTCAAGGACTTTGATTCTGATAAACTGGTAATGAAAGTTGCATGGATGCAGGAAGTAAGTTCAAGGAGTGTTGGTACATCCTCTATAGATAGGTATTTGAACCAATCCTTTCTGTAGTCTTTAAATGACAGAGAGAACTAGGAAAAAAACAAGGAGAAGATTAAATACACTTGAAGAGTTTTATCCTGCTGTTAACTAGTGTTATTGCTGGAAATGTTTTTTATGGAGAAATAGATGAGAGAGGTGAAAAAGGGAGCATTTAATTTTTGCTCTGGAACATAATAAAGTAAATAGGAAAAATCCCTTGCAGGGAATAACATTCTAATGTGAAAAGTAAAATATGTTCCAAGAACTTTTATTACTTTATGGTAAATAAAAGATGCATACAATACAAACTAATTAAAAAAAAAAATATAGCAAAGTCTGTAATTCCTTGGATGATGAAATTTTTTTCCAGGCAGCATAAGCCCAAACTGGAGAGCACAAGTGTGCAATGCAGCAGAATTTCTGTTCTGTTTTGTGCTGCAGACCCACGACCCAGAGCGTGTGTGTACCTTCCACTCTGGGAGGATCGAGGCCATCGGTGTCTCTCCCTTTACATGCCTGATGGCCACCACAGCTCTTGACCGTAAGTACACTGGTCCTTTCCTCTCATGCCACTGCCATTATCGGTTTTGAAGGGCAATGATCCTTGGTTTGGAGCTACTCTGTTTGGTGTCTGTGCATTTGCTCTTGCAAAGTCTCTTCACACACAATTGTTCTTCCTGGGATCAGTTCTTTTAACAGTGAAGGCAAATCATTAATGTTTTGAAACAGTACATTACGACTGCTTCATCTTAAAAATCTGGTATTTTAGCAACAGACATTTTTAATTGGAATCTTTGTAAATTGTTTGTTCTGAGGGAATGGCTGGAAAGGTGAGACATCTGGTTTGAGTAACAGCACTTGTATTCAGTGCTGGGGTTTAAAAAGTATCGGGACTTTTATCTTGTAAAGAATACATACACCTCCAGCATTGTGTAAGCCATTGCAAATATCAGTGTTTGTGCCTTTCTTAGAAAATGCAATAGCTATTATGCACTCAACAACAGATAACAAGTAATTACAGACATACTCATTTAACTTGTCTAAATATTGCTGTTTAGGCCTCTCACTGTTAGCTTTATTGTGCCTTGAAAGAACTACTGGCCAGAATACTAACAATGTCATTTACACTGTTCAGAGAACACTACAAGGTCTTTTAATTCAATTCTTGTCAGTACTGTCTTGTAATTTGTCTGTGTTATACAATGCACATATTCTTCTAGCCTGAAGACAAACTCCTACCAGTTGAGCAAATGACATTTCACATGTATGCCAGTTGGAATGGAATTTTATGCAATCAGTATGTGTGCCTATGAATCTGTTTATTTTCCCACTGATGAAATTGGAGCTTTTGTGGACAATCTCCTGTATTTTCCTCCCTTCAAATGTTTTCCTCCCTAGGCAGTCCCAAGTAGTAGCCTGTCATCTTTTCCTATGTTGTCAGTACAGACTTTCCTTAGAATATGCCACAATTCTGTGCTCACTTGAAAATTACATGTGGATTGTCAGCCTGGGACTTCCTATTACAACCCTCAGCCTCAAGAATTCTTGGTTCTGTATAAGTTGAAGAGTGAAGAGATCATGTATTTTGTTCATGAGCGTCATGCTAGCTGTCGTACTCTGTAACCATCAGTCATCTTTCCAGTGTGTTTTAATTTTCCAAATTAAAACACACATTTAATCCAGATTTGAATTCAAATAAATAGACATTTCTCCATAAATCCTAACATGTAATTGACATTGCAATAAATAAATCCTTACTGTCTCCTTTCCACACAGGGACAGTGCGCATCTATGATTTTGGCAGCAACAGCCAACTGAGTGTAATCAAGTTTAAGCAGGGAGGAACGGCACTGACATGGGCACCGGCTGTTGTGAGTTTTTCCTAGCATGTTAGCAAAAATTCATCAAGGAGCCTATGAGCCTGCCCCCATCCAGGAAGCTGCTCACCACACAGGGCATTAGAGGTCACTTGTTAGGCCATGGTGGAATTTACTGTAGCAGGATGTATGTATAAGTTTGTGGGGTAGTATGTTTGTATATAGTACGGGAAAAGTTTAACTTCACTATTGGTTATCAGGTATCCTACTTGGTGGCTTCCTAGGATTTTAAAATCAAATCTCATTGTGCAGTATGGGAAGTAGTCTGAGTTTGTAGACTAACAGCTTGTATTTAACCCACACAGAGCAATTGTCGATTAGCATGAGTTAGTTAAAACATTTTGAAATGACAGCCCAGACAAATCACAAACATTTGGAGATAAATCATTAAAAAGTGTTGCCAGAACTGATCATTTGTGGAGTGTGGAGTCTATCACTTTTAGACATATTTGCTAATTTTAATTAAAATAGTGTCTAGTTATGTTCTTGAGAAAACACAGCAAGCCTGGTGGGTTAATTACAAGCAAATTTAGGAGGAAAATAATTACTTGAATGTTCAAGGTGAGGGTTCCACTGGGAGAGTGCCTTTATTTTATAAAAATATAATTCTGGCAATGCAGGCTTTCGGAGATGCTGTTAAGCGGTGACCTGTACCTTCATGAGGTAAGCTGTCTGCCGCAATAAACAGCATCACAAAACTGACTCTCTTCAGTTTTACAAAAATTGTTACTAAGCACAATCTGAAAAACAAAGGGTACTTAGTCTATCCATCTGCATTAAACATTGCGTTAGATATTTGGTCACAGTTTAAAATGTGAAATGTATTTTAAAATCTGTGCTATTAGTCTAAGTAAACTTAGTCCAACATACTTTAAAAAATCTGTATACCATAATCTCCTCATAGGCAAGCTAGCAGTATATTTGTTAGATAAGTGAACACCGACAAGTCAGCTTGTAATTGACTTCAAGACACTCAAATGACAAATGTCAGCTTAATCCACAAGTCCAGCTATATCCATCTAAAGCACAGGCCTGTTTCTGCTAACCTTTATCACAGTTCAAGATTGTCTTAATTGTTAGCAATTGGCTTACCTATGGGACTTATGGTAAAGACTCCTCCTTTCCATCTCAAGTAGCAGTCCCTGTTGACTCCTGTACTTTATATGGAGTCAGCCAGATCCAAGCCTGTGCCCTTCTTTAAAAGCCTGTGATTTCTTCAAAAATCATACTTAGGTTTGGTGCCCCATATTATATTCAGGGTAATATAATTCCTGTTTTTGAGTTCTAACTCTTCTGCTTAAGAAGGTACTGATATACCTTTATGTCAGTATGAATTACCTCTTCCTCAGGCATTACAACCACATCCTCATTAACATCTTCAGTTACAATGGCATGTTATCACTAAAAAGAAACCAACACAATCCAACCCAAAAAATAGGCTCAAATCCTCTGTCTTCTTTTATGGTACCATATTAGAGAGAATAAACAACATTTCACATGTATGAAAAACTCTTTGTGCTTTAGCGACAGCTCCATGTAAGGTGAGTTTAAAGGTAAACAATGGAGCATGTGCCATATGGATTATTCTTCTAAGCTCTCAGATGTACACTGTGATTTTTTTTCTTCACTTCACTTAAAGGTAAATCCTGAAGGAGGTCTGATTGCTGTGGGGTTTGAAGATGGTGTTGTCCGCTTAATTGAGGTTTATGATCCCAAAATGCTGCCTGGTCATGGAGAACAGGCCAGTGAAAGTGTAGAGATAAATCTGAAACAAGTTTTCAAACCTCATGCTGCTGCAGTGACAGCCCTGGCATATGAACAAAAGGGAGATGTGTTTGCCACAGGGGTATGTGTCATTTAGTTTGGTTGTTTTTATTAAACCACAAATGTAGAGCCTTTTAAATAGATAAGGTAAAGCTTGTTTACTGACAACACAGGTTTGCTTCTGTTGCTGTTGATTGCTTGTTGTAGTTCTCTGTGCTGGGAGAAGGATCTGTTTGCACTCACATCTGTTTTTCTGATGGAAAGCAACCATGCAATTCACACAGTTCATTTTGTGAATTACTGGACTGTTTAGTGTGAATTCTGTAATCCCCTTTGAAGGTGGATTTGGTTCATTTTGGAATTAGTTCAGTAGGATCTTGGAATTAGTAAAAGCAAGTCGTTGATACATCACATTGGCAGCAATCCAGCTGCTACCCGGCACTGCCTGGCCTTACCACAGGGTCAGTCAGTCCGTCAGTCAGTCATTATGTCTAGTAGTCTTTGAGATGGTTTCCAGTTAATGTGGTGTCTCTTTTTAAAAGCTAGTCCTTAGCCATGATCAGTGCATGTGCTGTTACGTGTTCATTGTGCTGAATTGGCATGTGTTTCATTTAATGTGGGATTTAAGCTACAATGAATCACGTTGTGTACCAGTTCTGGATTTTCTTGTTATCTGGGGAAATCAGCTTGTGCTGCCTTATTGGAAAAATCAGGACTGAGCCTGAGGTTTAAAGGAGCTCCTGGGGCAATGGGCAGAAAGCCCTGGGGATTTGTGGCTGGGGATGCCTTGGGAGGCCCATGAGAACATTTAATAGCTATGGGTGCAACATGTTTCTTGGAGCAACGTGGACAGGATTTTTATTTCCTCCCAGTAATCATCATGGAAATCCTAAATTTCCATGTTTAAACACAAAAAAAAAAATTGAAGTATTTGCTTATGTCAAAAAGTGCTTAGAGTCTTTTGTATTTTTGGTCAGCTTTGATTTGTTTGTTTTTCCTCAGAGTAAAGACAGAACAGTTTTCTTTTTTGTTATTGAGGACAAATACAAGCCAATTGGATTCATCTGTGTCCCTGGACCTGTACAGGCATTACAGTGGTCCCCACCTTCTCATGTGAGTAATGCATATTTGTTTTCTTTCCTTCCCAGCCGTGATAATATATCATTTTAAAGAGAATTTCCAGTGAAAACAGATGAAAATCCATGACTCTAGTCATGGCCTCCATAGACAATACAAATAATGTTTTGCTACTTTGTTCTTCATGCTTCAGTATGACAGATTCTAAAAGGTTCTCTGTAGCTGTAGCTCTGGTTCAGACACAGTGGACATATTCTGAGTTTTGGATAATGCAAACCACAAGATTTTGGTATGCTTTCTGAACCCTTGACTTGAGGAAACAATCTTATTCCTTAGCTTTTGAGAGGTCTGATTCTCTTTGACAGAGAAGTTATTTGGGTGTTACTGTCTGTGACTCTTGCCCATATTAAAACAGGCTTTTGAAAAGCTTTTTGAGGACATTAAGAAAGATTTTGGGTGCTTCTTGAAATTCATATTCTGTATTTGAAATGTGGCAGGACATACTAAAATAGGTTTTTGCTAATATTTAAAAGTGTTCTAGGGTGAGGGTAACATCTGAAATTTTGTTTGGTCCAGTATCCTTATTTAGAGGAGAGACTGTTCATTATATTTAGATGCTAGCAAGATATATTTTACAGGTGCATAGTGGCAAAGTGTTGGTATTTTCACTTGTTAATTTGAGCTGCTGAAGACTGGCAAAAGAAGTCCTGTTGGTATGAATTATATCTTACTGCAGAAACAGCAGATCTTGATCTGACAGTTGCAGTTTGAGTCCTTTCCTTGAAGGCAAGGTACTCCTCCTTAGTAAAAAATCACCCATTGTGTCTTGGATATGTTAGATTCTGCCTGAATAATTTTCTCTACAAGTATCTGGCCTCCATTGCTAGATAAGAACACTTCCTTAACACAGTGCCAGCAACTGAGTGTCACACTACTTTATTTTTGTTTGTTTTAAAGAGGCATTGGTGATTAAATACATTTAATGAATGCATTTTTAAACTGAGATCCTATAGACACAGAAAACATATTCCTAGTTAGGGTTTCCATAGCAACTGTAATATGCCCTCTACACATTTTAATGATGGGTCAGATAAAATAAGCCTCTCTCTTTTCTCCAGATAGCTTATGAAAATTGAAACTAAATACAGACTTTTCTTTTAAAATCTCAAAACACTGAATAATTATTACCCTCACTTCACCTATTCTTAACTTCACATTTTAAAGGACTTGTCAGGTACCAGCAAAAAACAAACAAACTGAAAAGTAAGTAGCATTTGGCAAGACTCTAAGCCAAGTATTGATGATATGAAGGATTTATTAGTGTGAAAATAAATGAAATTATCAGCCCAAAACCTACTAACTCTTGGGTTGAATCCGTCTTTTAATTTAACCAAATTTCCAAAATATCATCATGCTTCTATCAAGTTAAGCAGTGTCAGAATTATAGCTGGTTTGGACACAGCAAGGATTTCTTCAATTCCTTAGCTTTGCCTAGCATAAAAGAAGCTCACTGATTTCTGATGTCCATTTAAAAGTGTCCATAGAAATAAGGGCACAGGTAAGTGTGGCTGGAGTTGGGCTTTGTGTCTGTGCATCTGCCTAACTATTTTTTCCTCCCATTTGTCTCAATTCCACTTACACATCTGCCCTATATATGTATTCTTTGTGTTTTAACACAGGACAAGAGCACGCTGCTCATTCTTTGTGAGAATGGCTTTGCTGTCCAGGTTTCTGCCCCTCTCCCAGGAATGCAGGATGCAATGACCACCTATCACATAACAAACCTGCCAACACAGTACTTCCATTTTTATAGTATTAAATCCCGAATCAAGGTAAAAAACTCTCCTGTGGCAGAATTTCATCTTCTTCATTGTGCCAGGTGATCAAACTACCCAAGAGTTTCTAGTCCCTGTATTTCATCACAGGGTTTTTGCTAAGCTCCTTGAAAGGGAATGCCAGGAAGAAGCCATTTGTGGCTTGAAATTACAAGTTGTTTTTGGTTTATTCAAACCTCAATGACTCTGAAAGCAGGATGTATATTTTGATTATATTTAGAAGACAGCATTAGAGAAAGGGAAAGCTATTAGTGCATTAGTTCTTAAAATATTTTAATTTTGGTAATTTTCACTAAAAGAATATTTCTTGTGGTTGATGTTGGCCCTATAGGATATTCTTTCAATAGTTACAAAACCCCCAGGTAGTCACCTTGAAGCAAACATGAAACATACCTCTTTTTTTAGCAGTATTTATGACTTTTAAAAAATGTTTTAATTTTAAAAGTATTAATTTAATTTCTGAATGACACTATTTAAAAAAAAAAAAGTGGGGCCAAAGGAAAAGAGTTGTGCCAACTCACAGCTATGGTTAGTTTTGTGAAACTGAAAAGCAAGCTGATGCTAGGCTAAGAAAGAGAACTCCAGTGAGCAGGCTCTCAGTTCCATACTCTGTCCACTACAATCCAATAGCCTCTCTGGTTCTGTTGTTATTCTGTGATTTCTCTGCCTTTTCTGTTAACTGCTCCTGTATTACTGAATGCCAGGCAAAGCTTCATTTCATGTTATTATTTGGAGGAAGTCAGCATTCAGGAGAAAGATTTCTAGGTGTTTTTTCACAGCAGTATCTGTAAGAATGATCACAAAGCATGCATATGAAAGGAAAGATTAAAATAATATGTGTAGAGTTTTGTTGGTTTTCTTGTTTATTTGTTGGTTTGTTGGTTTTGTTTTGTTTTTTAGTCAAATGAGAAGAATAATGTTGAGAAACACTCTAAATCACTAAAGATAAAAAATGTTTCTACAGAGAGAAAGAATATTAATGGCTCTCTTTTTCCTCTGGAAATAGATCAATAATTAATAAGTTACAACAAGGATGTTTTAATGCAAGGAAAGATTTCTCACAGTGAGGGTGGTGAAGCTCTAAAGTAGCTTTTATAGTCTGTAGTTTCCTAGAACTGGAGATTTTTTTAAAAGTAAATCAGACAAAGATCAGTTGATAATATTTAAGGGTTTTCTGGTTTGGCTATCTAATATCTTCTTAGGAAGCTACTATTTTAGAGAATGTTTGATACTTGTTTATACTACAGTAGGCTTGAATGGAAGAGAGTTTTAAAGGTTTGATAAATTTTTCCTTCACTGTTCAGAAGAACTTAAGTCCATTACAGCTTCTCTCTTTTGCTCTATACCAGTGATGCACTAGAACTTGAGTTCAGCTTTCCAGTGTTTTTCTTTGTCCAGGGCAGGCAGGGGACAAGATTTAGAATTTCTGCAGGAGTAAGCATAGTGGTGAAGATTTGGAATAATCTCTCTGAGGAAATGTTGACATCTGCTTGTCATTCAGAGTTATTTCTTTTTCAAAGGAGCAAGAGTAAATACTTCAGAGGAGGGAAATGGGGGCATTTCACTGGAGAGTCCCATGAAGTCTGGTTGATCTCTACTAAGTTGACAGGAAAGAGATTTCTGTAGATATTCTGTATGTATAATGCCAGGACCCCCTTGGATTTCATTTATCAGACTCTCTCAGTCAGTGATGTGTGGAATGCCTTCGTTTCGTGTCTCATTGTTTCTCTGCTTGTTGTAATAGCTGGAAGAGGAGATTGCACGGAGAGAGAAAGTAAAGCAGGAGAAGGAGAAAGCAAGGCTTGAATGGATAAAGCAGCAAAAGGAGATGGGACTTGAGGTAGAAGAAACTGAAGAGGAAGAACCTGAGGAAGAGCCATTGCCAGCTATCTACATACCAGAGGAGCCCAGTCCCATCCTCTGTGGCTTTTATTCAGCACCAGGAAAATTTTGGCTTTCCTTGGTAAATCAGTTTTTACTTCATGTTGTTGAAGTAGAATTTCCCTTTGAAACTTGTCATCCCTAGGACATTGAATTCCTTTCATCCTTGACAGTTTCAGTGCTTTTTGTGAAGTAAACTAGTAGTATCACTCCGATGCAGATTGTTTAATAGATTTCTATTAGGTGCCCTGAATGGGCACAAAGACTGAGCTGTTCCCTCACAAGCAGAAGGTGTAATTTTAACATAGTGGTAGAATGGTTTGTAAAGCCAGTGTTCATGACAGACTTCTGTCTGTGGATAAATAAGATCTCTAGGTGTTTGGAAGTAGCATTTTCTAACCTATCACAGATCCTTAAGAAAGAAAGAATTATTCTGAAATTTGCATTTACCTGGTCAGCTGCCTCAGTTTTCTTGTCAACATTTCTTTATGGTCCTTCTATTCTTCAGGGTGGGTACGACTCAGGGTTTCTCTATCATTGCGAATTCTCATGTGATGGTGAAGAAGACCCTGAGAAGAGGAAAGATGAACCCTTTGAATTGATTCCTATGGAGAACACCAATGACAATCCCATTCACCAAATCTCCTTCTGGTAAAAAATTACACTGTAATGTAACAAATAGCTCTGGGATAAAGCTTGATGAAATTGAACTTGGAAGGAAGGAGTGTATGCTCCTTTGTCCCTTTTAAATTGTGGCTCAGCTCTGGTATGCACAAACTGTCTGTGGTTTTCCTGGCATTGAGTTTCACTTAAAATTCCTAGTGGACATAGCTGGGCCATGTGTCTGACAGAATAATTTTAAAATACCTTCAAAGATGAAAAAAGAGGGATTTCTGAGCAAGTACTGACTCGAACTCAACCACGCTAGACTGTAGAACTCCGGGAGAATCCTTAGAACTCCCTGCGTATAGTATTCACCAGAACAGCAGTTCTTTATTATAGTTAACAGAGAATTAGAACATGTAGTGGACAGTCTACCCCTCTTGTGCTAAGAATATAGGCTTCTCAGGACATTCTGTGAACTATATGAATGGAAAGGCTGGATTCTTTTCAGACTTCCAGTATTAGGTTCCCTGTAAGAGTAGGCATGTTCTGCATCAGAAGGAGACAGGTTTAATTCAGGCTTTAATCTACTGCTGGCTTAGCTTCATTCACCACCATCTGTACTAAATGGGGAGCAGGGAGAAAAGTCTGCTTTTCTAGTTTTTGACTTGGTGTCTGTTTCACTGCCCATCTCAGGGCAGTGAGACTAGTACTAAGATACCTAGGAAGTGCTGGAATGTTCGTGAGTAGCCAGTTAGCTGAAAAACATGTCATAGTAGAATCACAAATACTTTAAATGGTCCAAATACTTTGCTTTCAGCTTCCAAACTTGGGAAAGTGATTTCTGTTAAGCTAGATTAGCTCTTTTAATATTTTGAGCTTGCTTATTAGAAGTTGTTGCTATTGCTGTTTCTTGTTTATTTAACAGTACCAGCAACCCCCTGATGTTCTGTGGGATGCAGGATGGCTCGCTGCGTGCTTATCCTCTCAGTGATAAAGACCTTTCAGTGGATTCCCTGAAGGACTACTGGTACCTGAATGTACATGACAATGATAATGGGCAGATCCGAGGGATCTGTTGTAGTCATGATGATGGGTATCTGATTACCTGTGGTGGAGATGGAAACATTTTTACATTTGAGCTCTGGTCAGAGGAAGAGCTTCCCAAAGAGCTAAAGGTCATAATACCCCCTCCTAGGGTAAGTTGCTACCCTCTTTCACTGAATTAGGCCAGTTTGGTATGAAATTACCCAGATAGGCAAACATAGTTCAATTATTTTTTTAAAGATCTTTCATAGCAAAAGCCGAAGCTTCCCAAACTATTTAGAAGAACATCTCTTGCAAAACATTCTTTAATAAATGGGCTCTGGGATTGCACTGTTCCTTCTTGGTGTTTTGTGTTTTTGTCCAAATAAACATAGTATGTGTTATTCATATGTAATGTTCTACCAGTGCTTTCCCATGCGAAGGTGTAGTCATGCATATTCCTGGAATGAAAGAATTGCAAGGATTTCTCTAATTTCAGTAAAGTATGATTCTGCTCTGAATGGGGATTCTAGAAATTGTATTGGAGAATGCCAAATATGTAGTTTCTCCATACATCTAGCACCATTCATCTAAAATTCACAATGGATTTTTTACATTTGCAAAAACAACACGATGCTGATCCCGTTGCTCTTTCACTCTTGGACAGTGTTAGTAGTAATGAATTTACAGGTGTCCTGTACTCACTGCAGAGCTGATCGTCTTCTAGCATGTTTGAACAGATTGCACTGGAACTCAGAAGCAGTTCTACTGATAATGCACAAGAAGAGGGATGTCAGCTCCTCTTCTGAAAATGCTCAGACTTTATTGAATTTTTAAAGTCTTAAGAGTGTCTGAATTAAATAAATATAACTTGAAAGAAGCAGTGAGAGCTGTTGAGTAAAGAAGTGCCATTGTGCACAATAAATATTACAGCAGACATACATTCAGTAGAATTTTAAAATCTTGACAGTGTCAACATAAAACAAATTAAACTTTTAAATATGTTTTAATAGTGGTTGGTAACTACATTTTGAAGGATGCTTGGCAGCAGAGACAGAGGAAATTGTGATTTTTGGTCATTCAGCTAGATTGTTCATGACTAGTTGGAATTCTTTACCAGTATAACAAGAATATATAGCACTGAGAATAGAGGCAGAGTTATTTTCTATGAGTGGATGATTAGAACCTTTGATATCAGAGTCTTGATAACTCCAGTATTACAAGAAGCGATTAATATACAATTAAAAAGCATGTATACAGATTTATAGTTCTGAATATGTAAGTAGCTCTATATAAAGACCTTTATGGTCATTCTATTGTTCAGGCTAACAACATTGCTTAATGACCATCCTAATAGAGTTTTTCCACTGCCAAAGTATATCTTCATTAAATATCTATTCTAGTTTTAAGTCATGTGGAAGATTTTTAAAATTCTGTCTTCATTAAACTTAATGAGATTCTTAGAGAATTAAATACAAATCATCTGAAACTAATTGAGTTAAATTACAGATCAATTAAGTACAACTAAATTGTTGGGTGATAGTCCCCCCTCTTTTTTCAGAGCATGATTGCCTAGGGAAATGAGGCTTGTGCTATTGCAATGTCCATCCATCTGTCATTCTTCACAGCTAATAATTGTGAATCCATTACACAGTCAGCAAAAGCCAACCAGATTAATTACAGATGTAGCTTGGAATTAGCCCATGACACACTGATTCTTGTCAATGTGCCAGTGAGGGGAGACAAGAGTATTGGGCTGGCGGGTAGGGAACTAAAGATGTTATGGGGCAGAGTGAAGTTAGGACAAGTAATGATGTAATGATTTATGCCACTGGGGAGGTCATAGGATTTGTGTTCTCTGTCCCTAAGAACTATGTTTCATTAGCTCTTTTACATATAAACCAGCTTCAATGTTTTTTCTGCTTGAAACATTACAAAGTAATATTTAAGACCCAGATAATAATATTGAAAATAAAGATTTCTCTTTGGTGATAGGTGGTGGGAGCTCTGTCTTAATGTTTATAAAAGCTTTATTGTCTGTTGAAACTATAACTTCTTGTTTAAAGACAAGACAATGTTTTTACTCCAGAGTGGTCTTGAGAAGGAGAAGGCTACTGAAGACATCAAGGATCCTGATGCCTACACGTAAGAGATGCTTAGATAATGATGAAAGAAGATTTTCAAGTGTTGGTAGCTCTTTTCTCAGCCTATGTATTTCTTTTTGCCTACAAAGTGGAGGGACAAATTGATCACCCTGAATTTGGGTCATTTCTTTGTGAAACACATTCTCCATTCATCTCTCCATTTCATCTATTTTTCTCTGGCAGTAATTCAAATATTATACTATGAGGCAGTTAACTTCAGACTACAGAGACAACAGAAGGTCAAAGCCTCTTGATGTTAGGAGTGTACAAATATACAGGAAGATGATTCCTTTCTAACTCACCTTAAGAACCATTGAATTCACTGGGAATTTAAGACTATCAAGGAAATCTAAAAGGTCATATAAACTGTAATCTTTCCTCTCTTGCATTGAGCTAACACCATTTCATTTTAATGTATTTTCAGTATTGAGGAATACAAGCAGAAAAAGGAGTATGAACGGAAAATGAACGAAGCTGAAGATAAGAAAAATAAGAAAAGACAGGAGTTAAGTGCCCTGAGACAAGACTTTGTTTTTCTCCTTCAAAAGAATCAGGAGTTGCCTAAGCACATGCAGTTGCATGGAGAGGTACACTTGGCTTTTATGAGGGTCATTTACTTTTACAGGCATCTTCTTCTAAAATGTTGCTACATATCATGTTGGGGTTAAAGATGTCCAATGCTTTGGATTAAGGTAGTTTTAAGAATATATGAATTGCTGGGACTTCTGAATTACAGCTGAATCACAGCTGATGATTTGTGCCAATTAAGAAGCACGGGAAAAAATGTGGTTCTCTGTGGAGATAACTTCTGCAGTATAGGACAGTGTTGATGTGCATGCAACTGTGGCACCTAGGTAAAAATATTTATTATCAAGACCTAGTAGCCAAAATTATGTGATACTGGGTTTTCCATCTTCCTGTAGGAGTTTGAGATGGACCGTAGGATCTTTGAAGAGCTGGATAGGCAGACACTACAGAGAATCCAGTTGGTGCAAAAGGAGTTGGCTTGGGAGCACGAGAAACAATTGATTGGACTGCAGAAACTACAAGCACAGTAATTACCACTTCTCTTCTACTTCTCTCCCTGACCTTCCATGGGGCTTATTGTCTATGAAGTTGTATCTCCCACAAGGAAAAAGGACATTTGTTCTCTCTCTCATATAATCAGTATTTCATCTGTTCTGTTATGATTCTGTTCTTATTTTACTTGAAACATACATGAGAGTATTTGCTCATATTTATGTGTAATTACTTCTGTTGAATCTTTGGTAAAAATGCAGATAGTCAAATGAAGGAAATTACCTCATTCTGATTCACTTCTATATGAAGAAAGCTGGTTGAGACTCTTTGCCTGGGGTTTTGCCAGTAAGTTCAATAAGAACCAAGAACTCTTACTGAAATGTTGAAAAACAACCTGTGAAGTGAACACCTGTTTTTAAGACATGTTGTGTGTCTGTCAGATATTTTAACATCATTGCTTTTACAATGTTCTCTATACAATTTGAAGTTGTGAAAGAAACTTTCTCAGGAACACAGGTTTAAGCATGAGGTGCATTTTGAGTTGGTTTTCATAAAATAAATACACAATAAAAAAAACACCTTAGGCACACAGAGTTTGTGACTGGGAAAAAGGATAGAATGACCATGTTTTTAATCAGTCCTTAATGGAAGATGGAAGTTACTGTCATGAAAATCCTGATGTAAGTTTCAAAATTGGGAAAGGTCTTTATGTGTTTATTCTTGAGCATCTCCATTCCTGGATTGGATAGAAGTCAATAGATAGTGTCAGATGTCATCATGCTATGCAATTACTTACCGACTTGTGGATTTACATCTAATGATTGCATGTGCAATAAGTACACTACACTATTCATGCCCTTTTGGTCAAGGGAAACTGGTATATTGTGCCCACTGACACCAGATGGTTTTGTGTAATTTGGGATTCCAGGTTTCAGGACCCTCTGGAATTTACTTACACTGTTCATGCTATGCAAAGCAATCATCAGATTTCCACCTACAGCCTTCTAACAGTGTCTGAGAAATACGCCCAAGATAAGAAACACGGGGGCAGCAAGTGGGCAGTACTTAAAAAGAAGTGGACAGCATTTAAAGAGACAGAACAAGCAAAAGAAAAGATCCCCAAAAAGAAAAGACATCTGCATAGAGGTAATGATAACCATTTAAATCTTTCAGTAATATGCTTTCTGTCTTTTATCTCAGTTTGTTTTCCTGAGTCCAAGATAACGAAATACATGTGTAGGTGCAGGTAAAGAAATATAGCTGTGATGTCTTTTTTAGTACTAACATACAAACACTCGTACATCATTTTCCATTATTAGATCAATTTCAACAATTGTCTGTCAGCCCCATGGGTAGAATGTGACTAAAAGTCAAGTCAAAGAACCTGAATACTTTCAGAACATCCACTACAATGGAACTATCCTGATTTACATTAGTTCTACAGTTGTCTGAGAGAGTTTCCAGTAGCTGGAACTACTGTGCTGGGTGGTATTGCATCTTCACATGGTTATTTTTTGTTTCAGAAAGTGTAGTTTTTGAAAGTGAGACTGAAATGCTGGAGACACCAGAGGTCCGAAAGCAAACCACGCGTTATATAGAAAGCAGACGTGAGAAAATCAGAAGACTTGTTGAGAAATATGATGCACTGAAAGCCAAGATCATGAAGAGGAGGGCAGAATGGAATGAATTGTGAGTCTTGAACTGGACTCTGTTCTCTTTAGGTTCTGCTTCTTGTCTGAGGACAAGTAATGCTATTTGAGCTGTCATTTGGCACTATAATCTCTCTGCTTAGGTTTTTATATTCTTAAGGGTTATAATTAGAACAGGTGAATTTTCATGTATCTCTAAGTCTCAAGAGTGCATTAGAATATATTTAGTTTCTATGGTTCCTCTAAAATATTATCAAATTTGAATTCAGCTAGGTAGCTGCATTTTCAGAGAGGGATTAAAATGTGTCTAAATTGATCATGACTGAGAGACACCTATGCCATTACAGTCAACTCTTACTGAATCCTGCCAGCCCTACATGGAGCAGACACTGTAACAGCTGGGTTAGGTCAGCAGTCTTGCCATCTCAGCCATTATGTGAGTGTTTGTGATATGCCTTTGTGCTCCATGCTGGTCTTTATCCTGAGAGGCAAGAAAGGGGGACAGGACATCTTTTACAGAATCATAGAATATCCTGAGCTGAAGGGGACCCACAAGGATCATCAAAATCCAAGTCCTGTCCCTGCACATGGCAGCCTCAAGAGTCACACCCCATGCCTGAGAGCATTGCCCAAACACTCCTTGAGCTCTGCCAGGCTTGGTGCTGTGACCACTTCCCTGGGGAGCCTGTTCCAGGGCCCAGCCACCCTCTGGGTGAAGAACCTTTTCCAAATATCAAACCTAAGTCATAACTTTGAATGACCTCTTTTTCAAGCCTGGTTTGGATGGGGCTTTGGGTGACCTGGTCCAGTGGAAGGTGCCCCTGTCCATGGTAGGGGCACTGGAACAATATGATCTTTAAGGTCCCTTATAATGCAAACCATTCTATGCTCATGGAAGTACAGAAGTTCTTCCTTAGGAGATGAAAGGCAGGGAATGGGGCCAGTGTGGAGTCAGAATACAAAGCTTTTAAGGTTATTGAGTGTTTAACAACGTAGAGTAGGATCAGGTATTCTGTGCTAAGGGCTGGTAGATAGTTGATGTGTGGCTCCCTGAAACTGATAGCAGCATGTACTCGCTTACTCAGAACTCAGTCTGAGTGTGAAGGTTTAAACTTTCCCATGGCAGAGCTATGTTTTAAGAGCTCTTAGGGGGAAAAAAAAATCTGGGATTTTCATTAAAACGTGCAAAGATAGTCTTTCCAAAGTAGCCATTCTTTTCTGAAAGAGATACATTACTCTTTCACTTCCCAAACTTTGCTGCACAAGTCAGAAGGTGTGAAATGACTGAATGACTGTTCATTTGTATGCCTTCTGTCTTGAAGTTCAGCTTTATTTTTTTCCTACCAGATACAAAAGCAAACCTAGAGTTAACTTTGAGAATCCCAGAGATACTGAGGAGATCAAAGAAGCACAGAAGAATATAGGATGTTACAGGCTGAAGACTGCCACTAACTACACACTCACTGAAGATGATCGTATAAGCACTAAAAAGAAGATGATTCAGCTTGCAACCCTGGAAAACTTGGTATGTAAAACTATGTATATTGCCCCATTTTTGGGGAAAGTGAGGATAGTGTATTAATCACTGAAGAAGTTTTTTGAAAGGAATTCAAAGTGAGTGTGGGAATTGGCATTGAAGGACAGATGGTTGTTTTGAGTAAGATTTAGTTAAAAATCAGCCCTTCTCTTGTGAACTGTTTTGTGCTTCACCAAACCCAGACCTGAATCAATCCATGGTGGCTTTTTAAAAATGAGGAGAATTTACCTTCTCTAGTACTTCAGCAGGAGCACCTGTCTTTTTAATTATAAGTCTTACAATCTAGTAAAATACTGAGCTAAATAGCCCCTGCCATGAAATACCTTTACAAAAACAGGGATGAGAGCAAGTACAAGTGTTCTAGTGTGGCCTCTGTATTTGCACTTTGGCAATCACTCCTTCTGGAATTGGAATCTTCCTGAGAAACCAGGTCTTTTGGAGGCACCTTGCTATAGTAGGACTCCTACAGTTACTGCACATATTTTAACCACGAAGACACAATAAGTTCAAATGTTGTGCAGTATCTTTGTTGCTTTCCTTGTGACTTCTTTCTCCCCATCCTTCTCATAGGAATGGTTTTTCATTGTATTTGGCTGGAGTGCAAAAGAGTGACACTAGATAACTTTGACAGTGAGGTCTAAGCATTACTGAAGCAATGCTGCGAGTCTCGGGGGATTTGTTGGATCATTTTAGTCTCATGCTTGGGCTTCAGCACTTCACTGTAGTGCTGATGTTACCAGATTTCCAGTGATTAACCTAATTTATTAGGACAAACAAAGGGAATAGTTCTTGTCATAAATTCTGGGTTTATACAGATGAGGAATTGCAGTTTCTTCAGGTGGGTGGTGTATTATTTTATTTTATAAAGATAAGTTTCTGCCAAGAATATTAATCACATTCAGTAAAAAGAGTCAATTCATACAGTGTCCCTTTACCACAAAATAATTAGTAATCCTAATGTTAGCCTTCTTGAGTTGGGTAAGACTATTCCTGTAGTGGAGAATCCTACTAAAATTGTTTTTCCTTTGCAGATCCATAGGATGAAAGTGAACATGAACAAAGAGATTGTGTCTTTGCGGGATCTCAAGGTTTCCATTATTGATGAAATCAAGAATTTAGTGAAGGAAGTGAAATCCATACAGGCACGCTTAGATGTATCAGAACATCTCCCTATTCCCCTGATCCCTCAGTTACATCCAGATGAGGTTCCTGAAAAAATAGTTGAATACAACAGTGATGTCCTCCTAAAGTTCAAAGAGGAGCAGGAGGCCAAGGCAAAGCTCAAGGAGCCATTGGAAGGGTGTCCCTCATTTCGTGCATTTAGGCACGTGCTTCTTCAAACTCCTCCAGTGGAAGAGGGTGACCCCATGGCACAGGCTGGAGATGCATCAGCTGTGGTCACAGAGGAGCAGCAGGCTTTTGTGATGGAGAAGGCAGAGCCAACAGAAATGGAACTGGAAATTTTAAAGAGGGAGAAGATAAAAAATCTATACTTGCAGGAGACCTTGATTAAAAAGGTAGGAAACTGAAAGTTATTTTTGTCAGATTAAAAAAATCCCAAAACCCAAAACAAACAAACCACACCACCCACTGCATCATAAGTGAAACAAAATCACCTTCTGTTTCAGGATTGCAGTGGGTCTTGCCTTTCCGCAGTCCAGGAAAATGCTAACTGTTGCACATTTACAGTGTAAATCAGTATAAATCCATAACTATATCCTGTGTTCTGACTATTATCACTTGAAAAACAGATCTTAGATTTCGTATTGATTGTGCTATGATCCTAGTAGCAAAAAAGAAACCCAAAACCAAACCAAAACCCCAAAAAAACAAAAAAACAAATGTTAGACATAACTTGAAAAATTACAGAGTTAAAAAAGCAGCATCACTACAATTTTGTAGATTCATGTTTTCAACTCTTAAAAAATTGTAGTCTCAACCTTCTAGTCCAAAAAATACTTTGTAGGATTAGAAAAGGTATAAAAGAGAGTAACCAAAATGCTTAGTCATGGAAAAGATTCTTTAAAAGGTACATCTAAGTGGATAAAGTATCTTTGGCCTGCAAAAAGGGCAACTGAAATGGTTTTAGAGATGTGATAAAATTCTGAATAAAATAGAAAAGGGGAGTGGGAATCATCTCTTAAAAGGAGAGATACCAGATGAAATGGTCACATAGAAAGCTTGAAGCATGCAAATGAAAATAATTTTCCTATCCAACAATAAGCTAAAACTTTGGAACTCAGTGCTAGGATGTGTGAGAAGCTATGATTTGATAGTGTGGGAAAAAAATCCATTCAAAGCTGTTGAACACAAGCATACTGCTTCAAGCTCAGGATGCTCCTAGTTTAGAGAGTTTAGGAGGGTACAGAGAGCAGTATACCAGAGGTGTGCCACAGTTCACTTGTTTGCTCCATTTCTTAGCATCTCTCCTCTAATTTCTGCTACTGGGCATTGATTTTTTGCTCTGCCTCAACGCACACACCTTTGTGTTTATGTGTGTGAAGGTTTTGAGGGAATACCCAAATTCTGCTGTGAACATCACACACCTGTAAGTTAATGTTGGCAGCTGCTAGTACTTGTTTAGCTGTAAATGTCTAAGGGAAGAGCTGGCAGCTATTTCAAAATGAGTCTTTCAAAGCAGAAGAGTTATTTATTGATGCATCTTTGACTGTTACATAAACTGCTGTAAACATTCAAGGCATCGCTACAGATGTAGTGTAAGTCTCTAAAGAGTAAAATACTTCAGGGATGGAGGGGGTGCAGTGAAAGATTTCTGTGAAGCTCTGGTGATTCTTTTGCTATTGTGGTGAGAACAAAGACACATTTGGGATTAACTTTGTCTTTCTAAGTGCATCAGTACCCTCTAGGAAATGGCATGTCTGAGTTGTTGATTTGGCAGAGAGAATTTTTCCCTTCTGCTCCTTTCTCTAGCGTTGCATGTTTAACTGCACTGGTAATACTTTTCCTGTCCCTGATTTGACACTCCTTTGCTCCAGATCAACACACTGGTGATCAACTTTGATGCTGAACTTCGCCTTTTGCGGCACCAGAAGCTGAAAATGGATATGCAGCTGAAAAGTGCTGATCTGCGCTGCATCACATGCTGTGAAGAGCTGCTTATCCTGAAGAAACTTGAGATACATGAGGACCTTCTTGAGGAGCAAATTGGTGCCCTCATTAATGAACAGGAGGACATGCAAGTAAGTAGGCCACGTGTAGCATTAATTTAAATTTAACAGTACCATTAATGCATGGCTTGAAACAAAAGCAAACCATAAAGTAAATGGTGGCATCCCTTGGCTTTGTTTTAGCACCGATCCCGTGACTAGTGCTAAATTTTGAAAAACAAGAAACTCTTGATAATCAGCCTACTAGGATGGCCACTTCTAACTTTCAATACTTAATTTTTTAATAATCTTAACATTTGAATTTTAATAGATCCTTCATGATATGGCATAAGTGACTAATCACATACTTTAAGAACATACTCCTATGAAATGTTCTTAATGGAATGGATGCTTAATTGAACCATAGGTTTCATCAAGAGAGAAAGACAAGTTTTGCATTTCCAGATCTTCACAGATGCATCCTATATACAGATACATGGGTTGTACCTTTAACTGAAGTAGTTTTTTGTTTGTTTAGTCAAAATTGAAGAGCTACCTTGCACAAATAGAAGATAGAAAATTTGAGATTGTAATGCTTCAGGAACGTGAGAAAGCTCTTTATGCCAGCTTTGAAGCATCCCTTGGAGAAGACAATGAATTTGCTGATTTTCTGACCAATCTTTTGAAGCAGGAAGTTGAGTATGTGGAAAAAGAAGAAGTAGGAAGAGAAGCAGGTTGGAGATTTTGTTCTTTTTGCTTTATGGATTTGTTTTACTTATTTCCATGTGGTCAAGTACACGTGTCTCAGTCTAGCTGGAGCCCTGAGTACACACAACACTCCAGTCAGTTCAAAAACCCTATGAACAGATTTGTTTATAGACTGACAATGTGTTCTGTGGCCATCATCTTGAATGATAACAATGATGTAATCCAGTTTCTAACATGACTGCAGTTGGTCTGATAACAGCTCCTGCAATTTACATTCTGTAAGTCATTACTGAGGACTGATAATTGGTAAGAGGAAGAGGCACAGCTTTAAATAGGTGCTTCCTATGCTGTACCAATGGGAGCAATGGATAAGTGATTAGTCTGTCACATTCATGACATTCTGCTCTAATCTGTCTATTGACTAATGAGAGATCATAAACCTAATCTGCAATCATCTATTAGTCACAGGACTGACCATATTACAAAAGAATTTAATTTGTCTTAGTGACTCAGTTTTAAGCTGTTAAAGCTAGGCAGTCTTACTGAGCTAAAATACTTGTGCTCTCTCTGACTTGGCTTTTGATTTCAAGTGGGACATGATTACCAAAAAGCGAAGACAGTGGTGGTGCTTTTATGACAGATTTGTGCTTCCATATTCTACTTGGTTAATTAATCTCTGTATCAGAATGGTAAACTCACACTGCTTAAGTTCCTAACACATATAAAAAGAGAAAATATATTGAAGTTAAGTCCTAATAACATGGGCTGTACCTGTATCTGTTCTACTGCTAGGTGATATCTCTCTGTCTCTCTGTTTTCCCCTCCTCTTTTTTCTGTTTTCCTTTCTGTGAAAACATTGCATCAGATCAATGCAATAGGCACAAGGTGCCTGGATTCACATATCACCAGAATGATCTTTCATGGGTTACTGGGCTTGTGTTCACCAGCACATTGGCATAATGCATAGCTGGTGGGTCTGGGCTGTTTTGCAAGCCAGTCTCTGTTTCTTTCAGATAAAGAAAATGAGAATGAAGAGAAGGATGATGAAAAACCTGACCTAAAGACTGATGAAGAAAATTGTAGATCTGAAGATGTAGCCTTTGGTGACTCCATTTGCCCAGAAGGTACCTATGCTGTTATTTCCTTGTGTTAATTAGTTGTTTAGGTTTGGGACAACATCATGTGTTTGAAAAGAAAACACAGATTTTTTTAATTATTCACTGCATGCTAAAGTCATGAAGGGCTGGAATGTGTGTACCCCTCCTGTGTGCAGCATTTTTCCCCAGGAAACTTTGGTCAAGATAATAAAGCCGTTGGTAGTGTAGACTACCCTAATTAAAAAAGCTTGGAAAAATAAAACTTAGCTAAGCAGTAAGAATGGATTATTTTGTGTAAAGAAGCATTCACCATTTCATGGCTGTTATCTGGAGAGAAAAGGATCCTCTCTGGAGTGGAGCAGTGACAAGGCTGTAGCTGCTCTCTGGAAACCAGCTGCCTGGCCTGGCTGGATCCCTCCCTGTTCAGGGAAATTCTGAGGGGATCCTCATGCTGTTAATTGAAGCTCTTTGTTACCACCTCGTGGATTTATGCAGCAATTGCCTGTTGCTAGGCTGCTCTGAAAAGTTAGGAGCTTTACTTTGCAAAATCCTCTTCATTTGTGCATTCAAAAGAGGCAACCAACCTTTCTCCCTCTTTTTCCTTTGTACGAGCTTAGCTAATTCAGGATGTTGTTTTTTAAAAAAATCTTTGAGTGATGTGTCAATGACAGTGTAACAGCACTGCTTCATTTTCAAGTTCGAACTTACCAAAAATCCACCTTCCTTTTTTTTTAAATTGTATTTTCAAATCATTTCCACCAATTTATTTTTTTATTAACTCTTCGTTCATCTCATTTTTCAATGGAATGTTGGGAAGAAATAAAGATTTTTACTTCTGAGTTAAAAAGTCCAAATTGCTAATTTAACAAGGAAATTACATGTTGCATTAGGCTCTTCATATTTGTCTCTTTATGTAGAATTTTTTTTCCTTTATTGGGCTCTCTTTTTTATTATTATGCCTGCTGATTTGGGCATAATTATGCGCTTGTTTAGCATTACTGAAATCACAGTATTAGATAGAAATTCACAGATCTTCCTTACCACAACACAGTTTCTATGAAATACAGCTTTGTTTACCAATAGAGCTATAAATTATCCCTGCAGCAAGTTCATCATTTATAGTGAAGGGTGCTATGGAGAAACAACTATGTGCTCACATAATTGAAGATTTTACTGCAACATGTATTAATTACTGGGACTGCATTGCTTACAAAAGCTAATTTTTGAGCACTTGGCTTTAGTGCTGGCTTTGATGCATTTAATGTGACTTCTGGAAACAGACTGAATGTAAATAAGAAAAAAATCCATCCAAGACATTCACCTGGTCATGGAGGCCCATGGGTTTATGCTTAAGGAAGCTCTAGGGAACCAAACCCATGGTGTTATTATGTGGAATGCTGGGAATGTGCACTGCAGGAGAAGGTACCAGCTCTACCCAGTAACTCCAGTACAGTCACAGCAAAAGTAAGCTCTTCTTTGACCCTTTCCCTCTCAGGCTGCAGTGAGGATCTCTTCTTGAACACCATCCAGCTCCGGCAGCAGCGGATAGGCATTGAGAAAGCTTTAGAAGAGGAGAAGAAAGTTGCTGCTGACCTCAAAAAGGAATATAATGCCTTGGCCTTAAAGGTATTGTACTGTTTTCTCAGAAAGCATCATCATGTTAAATGTAGTGCTAGTGATTAGTGCTAGTCTGAGATCTAAAAACAAAATCCTAACCCTCTGAGAGGTGTCCATTTGGGAAGCGATACCTGTGGTAGCACAGAGGCAGGAGGCAGCTCGACATGGGTCACCTGTTCTCCTGAAAAGGGTAAATCAAATGGATCCAACCTTAGCTTTCATGGGGCTGGATCCAGGCTCTAGGTGCAGTTCCTTCCTAGTTGTCTAGCCTTGTGCAGCAGCAGGAACTGGATTCTCTGGTTCAGATGAAACATGCAGTATGGTCTGGCCTATCCTCTGTGGGTGTGCATGGCAACAGCAATTGAATAATACTTACCCTAATGCAAATCCAGGTTAAAATAAATGCATAAAAATTCTATTCTACCATCTATTTATTTTGCTTTATTTTCCATCACTCTTTGTCACAGGTAATCACTGAATAAACTCTTTTGGTACAAATTTTCCATTTTGCTTTTTTGAACTCCTGCATTCATTAAGAAATTTGATTTGTATTAATTAAAAAATATTTTATTTTGAAGGGTTATCTGGAAGAGAGAGTGTGGTACCAAAATAACATTATGCAAGTCTTGCACTTTTTTTGTCTCAAAAATGTTCCATCAAGCATGCTTAACATACAACATTTTTTAGATTTTAAAGGCTTTCCTAAGTGCCAGCTGCCACATATTCACCCTGGGGTATGACATTTGAGTCTGAATTGTTTCTTTCTCATGCAGAATCAATAAGCATTTCCAGGCATAACACAATAAAAATTATCATGCAGGCTCTGTAGATCTACAAGTGTTTTTAGACGCTAAACAAAGCAGCTGTCTCTTGATACATACAGGGCTTCTCTAAGGAGGCATTCACGAGTGTATGTGTGTGCAGAGGTTTTCAGGTTAAAATCTTGCTTGAATATTTGTAGATGATCCTTGGGTTTGCCTGTGAAACTCACCTATCATATGTAGTTTAAAAAAAAGCATATTTTTATATACTTCTTTCTCTTTGGATCAGGAACTCTAACAGAACCTTGTTGCCTTATGTATTCTCAGTATCACAGGATTTTGTTTGTCCACAATTTGTCTTTCTGCAGGCAAAAGAAGTAGATACCAGTCTGGACACAGCAAACAGGGAACTGGAGGGCTTTCAGTGGGAAAAGCTGCACAGGCTGAATGAGCTGTATGTAGTTGTACCTTTGAGACTCCATCAGGTAATTCAAGATGTTGTGCATCTGCATGTGCAGAGTGGCCTGTGTACATCTAAACAATGGTGTTACTGCTCTTTGGGGCGCTTAGTTCATTATTCACTATGGTCTCCTGGGAGGAAAGTGCTGTTAACTGAACTTCATGCTGCTAATTCCTCTAGAATTCCCTTTTTTTCCCCTTCTCCTGTACTGACAGAAACGAAGTAAGGACAGGCAGGCTGGTCCATTGCTGAAATGTGTATAGTCTTTAACTGCTGTATAAGTTTGGCCATCAGGTCTATACCTACTGATATTCTCCTGGGGAAAAAAAAACTAAACCCCCCCCCCCCCCAAGAAAAGCAAATCAAAAAAGCCCTGAAAACTATTGAAACTAATGGGAATTCTTCCCAACTGAATAGTTCCAGCTTGGATGCAATACATTAATTTACACAATTCCCTGGCCCAAAAAAAGAGTTGTGCCCATGCGTAGTATTAACTCACTCACTAGTTCTCTATTGCTCACACATTTGTTATAAAGAGACATCTCCATCACCCTTAATAAGTAAAGCCAGCCATGCTTATTTTTCTGTCTGGTTTTGCAGGTGCTGTGCTTGGTTGATGGGGAGATGCCCCGTGACTTCTCCCATACTTTAGTATTTACCAACGAGTCCTTGCAGTACCTGAAGAAGAGAATTGTGGACCTACGTAATGAAAAGATAATGCAAAGAGAGACCCATAAGAAGGCCAAGGAGCAACATAAGCAGCTTCTCCAGGACAAAAAGGAGATGGAGATGGAGATTCAACGTGAGTGACAGAGACTCTGAGCAACACAGCACTGCTAATGTTCCTTCTGTCCCTCTCACTGGGTGTGGGTAACTCACCATGCCTGTCTCCATACTCACACAGACGTTACAGAGGGTTACTTCAGAAAATAGAACAGATCAAGTGGACTGTTTTGATGGAATAGCAGTTCTCCAGCACTGCAGAGTCATCAGGCTGTGCAACATAATTTGGGAACTTAGTATAAGGAGAGCTGATTGAGAGGAGTCACTGGAAGTCTGGACACATTTGCTATTTCTGCTTGTAAACCAGAACTCCTAGGGGAAAAGTAGCTTTTTCTGGCCATTTCCTCCCCTTTGTAACATCTGAAGAAGGAAACAAGCCCTATTCAAAACACTTCCCAAAGAGCCAAACATAAAGCTGTGTCTAGCACCACTAGACATGCAGAGGCCCTATAGAGCCTGTGGTGTGAGACAGGCTTACTAGGACTGGTTTAGAGTGTGGCTTAGTGACCAGACAAGCATGATCATGAGCAAGGACAAATGGTATGACTCAGCTGTGAGCTCTGTGTGGTTTTGTGTGAATTTTTTATTACACAGCAGATACCAAAAAGCTCAGACAAAAAGCTGGGGTAAGGCAGAAATTCTTCTAAACCCGTGAATGACAGTGCTGCCATTTGTGCCAATGTCCCTCTGTTAGAATTGGAGGAGAGGTGCAATCTTCTGCTGATGGAGAAGTTTGGTCGGCTGGTTGATTTTGAAGCAGTTCAAGCCCACTCTGTTAATATACCCATGGAGCAGATGAAAGTGAGAATAATGGAGAAGGAGTATGAGCATTTCATGGAGCTCAAAGAATGGGAGGTAAGCAGCAGGAAGGGAGGGAGACACACGTGATGATCTCTTAACCCTAAGTTTCCTTGTGGGGCTAAAAAGTTACACTGAAATCTTTTGTGAACATGTTCATGTTTGATTTTTTTTCACTTGTCCTTAATAGACCATAGTGTTCCACTTGAATTTCCCATCATCATTCCTACCTCTGCTCCAGTTGCTGTTGCACATCCTATTTTTCACAGAGGTAGTTGATCTCTGTTTTGCTTTCTTCAAACACATTGTCCTACTTCATTCCCTACGTGAAGCTCTTGTGGAGTGCTTTTCTCTGGTTCTCAGGTGGCGTTCAGCACCTCCTGCCCTCTCTCAGTGCTTTTAGTGACAAACTGAGTACAGGGCAGGCTGTGGCTCATGCCTGGGGTGCCAATCTGTGCAGTCTGAAAAGTTCATGTCTCCATTTGGTGGGGCCTAAGGCTCAGCTGCTGTGGTGCAAGCAGGCAACATGCTTATGCTGCCCTTACAGAAGAGCTTTCTTTTTCCCACACTTTTGCCTTTTTACTTGGGCATTTGTACTTTAAATATATTAAAAACAAAAAGATGAGATTGCATTAAAGGTACTGTGGGATCAGGTGGTGTGACAGGATCAGTCTGTTGTTTACCTGTGACATTTACATTGTGCCTACTGCTTCTTCCCCACTCCACACTTTTTGTGCTCTCTCATCCCAGATCAACTTTTTACACCTTTCTAGGAAAGAATTGTAGTCCTGCAGCATCAGCTAACGAAGCTGACAAGGGAAAACACCAGCAAGCTGCACCAGATGAACAGGTTTTGCCATGAAAAGCATCAGCTCGAAACTGAGCTGGAATCACTGACAACTGGTCAGGTGAGCCTTTTAGCCTCTTAGGTTTGGGACTGTTCAGAAATGGGTAAGGGATCATCTGGCCTTCACCAGTTCCTTGGTCTCACATCCTGCTCTGCAGTCAGCAGTTTAGGCTAGGAGTGGGACAGGATGGATTGCTTCATACCTTAGCACCTCTGTTATTTCTTACTTAGCTGCTTTCTAGGACTGAAACAAACTCAATTCTAATTAAAATATGCCTTGAAGGAATGAAAAGAATATTCCTTTGTTACATGTAAACAGTCATATTACTGTCATGTAACAGCATTACAACGAGAAGTGGATTTACTGCTCTGTACCATGAAGTAAGTCTAAGTTAGTGAACCTTCAGTCTTCCACATACTTCTGACTAAGGTGTGGAGAAGTCATGGATATGTCCTGGCTCTTAGAAAGCTTCACTTTACCTACTTGAAATAAATTTCCACTGTTCATTCTCCATGTTTTATAGGAGCCATTTTTTTCCTCCACAGGGTGGAGAATTTGAGAGCACCCAAAATGCTGACATCAAAGAGACAGCCAGGCTGGAATCACAGCTCACACAGATAACTTGTGAGGTGGCCTTTCTGAGACAGGCAATCAGCCAGAATAGACTGGATGTAAAAGAACTCACTTCCCTTAGGAGAAAAGGTGGGCGCCTCTTACCACAGGACTCTGACACTCCAACTTCCTCTTCAGAAATAGTCACTAACAATCCAAGTCACCCTTAAAATTAACTGTGGCAGCAGTCATGCTTGGAGGTGCAAAATTAATTGGTTTTGGCTATCCAGGGGTTTAGTTGTAAGGGGTTACATTTGTTTTTTCTATCAAAACATGACTGTAACATATATGGAATAAAAAATAGCAAATGAAACTACTAAATACTGTTATCAGTCCATTGCAGAGGGTTGTACTGGACAAGGTGCCCTTTGTGCGTCCACGTGTGTGCATTATGTCTGTCTACTCTTCAAACAAGTGGCTGTTGAAAGCGGGTTTGAAGTTTCACAGCAGCAAATAGTTTGGTACCTTGTTCTCAAAAATGGTGAAATTAGTCTGCCTCAAGCAAGCATTGGCAGTGGCCCTGCTGGCCAGGAGAAAGCACAGGGGCCTTTCTCCTCAGGGCAGGATGTAGCATTTACCTAGCCAGGAGGAGGATGTAACAATGCAAAGTCAGCCTGTAATTCCACTGGCCTGATCAGTGAGAGGGCCAAGCTCTGTGTGTTTTCAGGTGTTGCACTTTTTTGCCTCTCATTTGGTGTGGTGGCAGCATGTGATCATTTACAGCACTTACCCTGTCTTGACTTTAAAATCTTCCTTCAGCCTCAGGGTGGAGTGGGTTGTGTTCTCCCCATGCAAGGCTCTTGAGGTGCTAATTTTTAATTGAATAAATTAAACAATCTCCAGCTGCTCTTGCTGCTCCTCCCCACTCCCCACCTCTTGCCACAGGTCTTTGTGTCTCTGTCTGGTGTATGCTCAGCAGGGCTCCAGCCATATCCCAGCCAGGGACAAGAACTTCCTGCTGGTCCCAGCACAAGCCTGTGAATGGTGTTTGTGCAGGCTGCCTTTACAGGGGATCCTTGCTGAGGAACATACTGGGTGCTGGGAGCTCTTGTACAGCTACAGGTTGTGCCCTGGGAGGTGGGAAATGCCTGGAGCCCCAGGAGAAGGGCTGTGAACTGGCACCAAAGCCCTTGCCTAACAAAGAGCAAGGACATCCAGTGGCAGCTGGGTAACCAGACAGCCAGAGGCTCAGCTGGAGACAGGGAACAAGAAGACCCCAGACTAAGTGTCACCAGTGACTATTTGGAAAATTCTAACTGCAGGAAAAGTGTCACCTTTCCCCAGGTGTCCTGCTTGCTGTACATCTGCAAGTGTAAAAGAAAGAGAAGGCTCATTATGTGTGAGGAGTTAGCATAAAGTCAGGCACAGCAAAGACTAAAGCCTTTATTTTAGATGTTAAAGCGTGGATTTGTCTTTACAGATAGGCAGCTGCAGATGGCATGTATGTGAAAGGTTGTTTAAGTTGATCAGGCAGAGTGCATAACTCCAGTCCATTCACAGGAGTGTGTTCATGGAACAAACCTTCCTGGGTGGGGAGAGGAAAAGACCTTTTTGACAGCATTATTTGTTGTGAAGCCCTCTAGGCTGGAAGAGGGTGGTGGCAGCTCTGTTTGGACCCATGTCCCGCCGTGTCCCTTGTCCAGCTGTCTCCATTGTGTGCTCTGATGCTGCCACTGAGAGCTGTTGCCTTGTTTCCTGTGACCTTGCTGAGGATGCCTTCTGTCTCCATAGCATTATAAAAGGCACATATACATCTATATACAAGTGCATAAATATATAAATAGGGGTGTTATACAAAAATAAATACCCTTTATCTTTCTCTCTTTAGAATAAGTCTTTTGCAAAAGGCAGCTTGGTCCCTAGCTGGTGGGAGGATGAGTCTCTGAGGGTCTCAGTGGTGGAGGGCTGCTGTTCAGATGTCTTGGTAGGTCCTGACCCAAAGCTGTGATCGCTGGATTCTGGGCATGGAGATCTCCTCTGGACTGGCAGCAATCTAGTCTTTCTACCTCTTCAACTGGCACTAGGCCTAAGCAGCATGGGCTTCCTGAGGGAGAAAGGAGCAAGAAATTAATCCAGTGCACACTGGAATGAGAGATGCTGTGGGAGGTTTCAAGTCAATAGCTCACTTTATGGCAGGGGGTGGGCTCTGATCAAAGAGGAAGATCTGCATTCTGAAAGTCTGTGTGGGAATTTGATGCCATGATCACACAAAACAAGTCTGACCTGCACTACAGGGGTGGATCAATGAATTAGGTCCTAGGGAGATGGATTCACATCACTTGAACATGAGCTATCAGAAAGGCTCTGCAGTGAGATCTCCCTTCAAGAGCAGCCTAAAACGATGAGATGGAGGCATGGAGTTTTTCAAACCACTGACCTTGGTGGAAGAGGGTATCCCGTCGAGCATCCAGGCTAGGGCCTCCCACTTTGCTTCCCATCACTGGATGATGGAGGCCAACAAAGTGCTCTTGAAGGTGAGGACAGTCATCTTGTGGGTGAAGAAGCTGGTGAGTGGAGTCATCTGGGAGACTGTAGAGGAAAGAGCTGTCTTCTGTTCTGGAGCTGGGCAATCTGGGGAAGCAGGCAGAGAGGTTTAGGGCTGTTTACCAGATCTTTCCTCCTTGAAAGATATAACTCGTGTCATGTCTCAGCCAGCTCATCAATGCTGTGACACAGAACATTCCTAAATGAGGGGAAGCGCAGAAACGGGGATGTACTTGTGGGATGGGAATGAGGTGATGTGGGACCTGGTATCCATGATCCAACAGCTCATGAGTGCCACAGGAACCAGAAGGAATAGTACCTCACAGGGAGCATGGTAATGAAGATGTCTGAACAGTGAGACACTAAGCACTAACAACTAGACAGTGGGCAGATTCTGGGGCAGCTCTTTATCAGCATCAATCAAAGATGTTTGCTTCTCTCATCCTGCTTTTCAGTCTCCAACTTAGAAACAGGAGGAGGAAAAGGGGATGGAGGGGAATAGGTCTTGGCCACCTCTACAATTAAATTATTCCTTCCTGAAATCCTAAGAGGAATGAGTTGTGTGAAGAGAATTTAGACCAAGGTGTCTAGTGCTGGGGCATGGATTTGTTTCCCAAGAGTTGGGAGACAGGAGTGTATTGAGGGCAGGCTTTTGAGAGCACGTGGGTCCCAGTGGATTGTTCCACCCTCCCTCTCCACATGCCAGGACTAACCTGGAGGGCTGGTAGTCTTGCTGGGCACTCCCATTCTGCAGCACTCTTGCCTGCAGCAAGGCGTTGGTCTCCTCCTGTGACTGGAAGGAGAGAGAAGGATTCTTAGCAGACCAATGGCACACAGCAGCATTAAGAGGCAGGTGCTGATCTGAGTCAGAGCCCTGGGGCAGACTTCTGAAGTTCTTACAGCAGAAGGCAGAAAAAGCTGAAACTCTTTTGCTACTGAGGGCAGTGGAACTGAGCACTGAAAAACTCACTTTACACTTAGTGCTGAATGAGTGGGGGATAAGCAATTTACAGTCTCAGCTCTGGCACTGCTTGTTACCCTTTTACAGAGTCCTCAGCACTGTCAGTCCCTGTGACCTTTGCTCAGGGGACACAGGAACCATTCCCATGAGTGTTGCCTTTTCTCACTGCCTCCTCCATACTTAAGAGGCTCAAGAAAACACCCTATCACCAGTGTTTTGGAGACCTTCCTGTTCCCCACTTGTCTGACTTTTCTACAAAGGGGAAATCTCTTTTGGGAAGCCAGCCTTGCCACTTCTACATGCTGCAAAATGTGCCAGCCACATCTGGAGAAGCCCTCTCACTGCAAGTGTGGCCTCCAGCTCATGACAAACCAGCTCTTGATCCCAGGTGTGGGCTCACCTGTGGCACTTCATCTGGGCTGTAATCTCGGGGCTTGGTGCTTGTGTACCCCACTCCTGCAGAGGCACAGATGCCATTCAGATGTGCCCTGCTGGCATAGGGCTGCCCATTAACAAAGGGATGTCCATTGGCACGAGGAGCAGAGATGCCTCTCAGTGGCACCATGGTGTACTGGCAGGATGACACCAGCAGCCCAGCTCCTGGGAAGCTCATGTCAATGGTTTGTTCTGCAGAGGGAAGGAAAAGAAAGTCTGAGGCAAAAATGAGAGGTAAAGTCAAGCTTGTTGAAGCTCAGCATGTATAGGGTTAGGCTGTCCTATCAGGCAGACATTTTGGCACCCAAAGCACTCTTGGACATAAATGGTGAAAAGGGGCCCTTTTCCCCTAGTCCCAGAGGTTCCTTTGCAACAAGGCAAGCAGAACAAGGGACAAACAGTGGCCTTTGTCTTCATGGCATTCCACAGGACATCTGAGACTTGCCCTCTGTACACCCCTTCCCTGCTTCCCAGAATTCCCTCACATTTTGGATGTTTGATGCAACTACACCCAAGGTCAGATTTAATCCCCAGGCAAACCATATCCTGTAAATTAGCCCGCAAGAAACAGCCCTTACTCTGCTTGGACCAAGCTCTCCAAAGGCAAAAGGGGATGAAAGCCACGATGAGGAGTACGATGGATCCCAGTACAACGCCTACAATCAAGTATGGCAAGTCGCTGGAACGAGCCACCATGGCTCCTGTCCCCAGGCCACTGTGCCCACCACTGAGTGGGGGACGCTGCTGAGGGGGCACTGTGGAGGGTGGAAGACGACCTGGCAGACCAAGAGACTTCCGAGCTGTGGAAGGAAGAGAGAGAGGGAATGTTAGACAGGGACATGGCAGATGGCACAGCAGTCCAGGGATGTTTATGGTGCTGTGGAGTGGCCAGACTTGTATGATGGCTTTGAAGGAGCACTCCTGGATGACAGGATTCCTAGGCTGATGCATATGGCAGTACAGAAAAGGCCTCTGTGCTTGGCTCACAGCTTTGCCAGATCTGCTTTTGGGCTGATCAAGCAAAACCAAAACCAAAGAGGTTCTCCAAAGCACACACTTGGACTTAATGCTGTTGCTGTCATGACAGTGCAGCTGCTTGAAAGACAACAAGGAGCCTGCTTCTAAAGCAACACAGAGTTCAGTACAGCAAGGGAAAGTCAGCCCTTCTGCTTCCAGTCACCACCTCTGTGATAGGAAAACAAAAGGTAACTGCTGCTCTGAGAGGCAGCAATGGACTCTGCACAAGGGGTGAGTACACAGACCAGTCACACTGATCACCAGCACAGATGAGCCTGTGTCTCTCTTCTCTCCAGTGCTGCCTCCACCACTTTTCTGGAGCTTGGGTGATGCACTGTCAAGCAGGGATGGTTCCTGCCCCGCTGTGCTCTGACAGCTGCAGGCAGGGAAGGCAGCAGGCTGTCTTCCCAGAGCTGTCCCAGGAAGCTGCTTACCTTTGGTTTCACAGATCATCACGTTGCTGAACTCGCTTTCGCCTCCCTCATTGAAGCACTGCATCTTAATGTCATACGAGGTCTCTGGCTGCAGGTGGCTGATGGAGTGCCAGTACCGATCTCCTGAGGAGGGAACAAACACATGGAGCTCTTAACTTCCTCAGGGAACAGGCAGCTGGCCCAGCTCTGCAGCAGTGCCCAGTAAAGTAGCCTTGACAGCCACTGCCTTTTGTGCACAGGGCTCCTTTTGGCTGTGCTGTCTTCCTGTAGGGACCAGGGTCTGGGACCAGTCTCTCCATTTCTCCTACCTTCCACCACGTCCTTCTTGTAGTCGCTGTCATTGTCACTGTCAGTGGGGCGGTAGTAGATATAAAATCCATGGATGGGAGTGTTGTTGTTGCTGGCTGGGATGTACTGCAGAGAATGGGAGGGAGAGCAGAAATTAGCAGAGATGTCCATGCTCGTATTGTAGTAGGTGAAGAGCAGCTGGGGTAAATGGGATGGGACAGGACGATAACCTAGCACAGGAATCTTCCTCATGTTGACATTGGCTGCACAATAAAAGCTTTTCTACAGAAGCTCAGTGCTACTTTCTACTCCTCAAGCTTCTCTCAGGTAACAGACAAGCTGTGAATTTGGGCCTGTCACTCCAGCCATCCAGTGCTCTGCTCCCTCTCAGCAACCACAGCCAATGATTCAGAGGAAAAAAAAGTCTTTAACAACAGTGACTCAGCTGGGCAAGCACACCATCATCTTGACTCCGGTAGGCTCACGGCTTCCAGACAAACTGGGTCTTGCCACAAACTGGTTGCTGCAGGAGCTTTGTGTTTCTGAAGACAGTTCTTTTCCTCCCCCACACCCAGGGCAGTACCGTCCCAGCTCTGTGTGTTCTTGCTGTCTTTCACCCAGTGTTTTATCAGCTACTGTTTGAGTTCAAATGAACAGCTGCGCCCATCCTGCGCTGTGGCATTTTCTGGCTAGAAGCAGCTAGGAGAGGAGAGCAATGCATCCCTCTGAATAAGCTCTAAGCTGTTGAAAACACTTCAGCCCAAATCTGGGCTTGTGATCCAAAAGATCCTACTCCTAAAAATCCTCTGGAGTGGACTGTTGTAAATGATTATCAGCATTACGTCATCATTTGTTTCCCACCAAATGAGAGTGAAGGATGTATCTGCTGGAAAATACTAGGAGAGAGAGAGGTGCTAATGGATTCCAGAAGACTGGCCAGGAGAGCAAGCAGCTACCCAATGCATTGTTCAGCTGTGCTTATTGAACAAAATGGTCGAGAGCCCATGGTTATGCACTGAAATCTTCCTGTATACAGGATTGGATTCAGATGGAAAGGGTTTCCTAGGCTTTCTGACTTCCCACCCAGTTATGTGTCCCAAGCCCAGTCCTCCTTTGATGGAGGCAGCTGTTGGGTCCCAGATCCATTTGTGCTGGTGACAGGCTCCAGTGTGGTAACCTGGAGGAGATGTAAGCTGGGAAAGGAGCACCGTGGCACCTGGCTCCTCCCCTGCAGCGCTCTCCACCCCCACAAACCTTACCATCCACTTGAGCATGATGGTGGTCTCGTTGATGGCGTCCGTGAAGGTGATGTAGGGCCCGGCCACGGGGCGCTCGTAGACGCGGTTGCTGTAGCCAGACACCACGTACGGCCGAGACGCTGCGCTGGGCTCGCTCTCTCCCAGGATGTTCAGCGCCCGGACACGGAATTTATAGGATGTGCCTGTGGGGAAAATGGGAAATAAAGCAGTTGCAGGGATTGGAGTTTTCCAACATTTCTGCTGTCAGCATAGCCCTGACTGTGAAGAGGGGCTACACCTCCAGATGGCAGAGAGCCTACAGCAAGTCTGTTGTGGAAGTACAAACACTGAATGAATTTCAGCCATATCCTAGATGGAGCCTGTTTTTAGTTACCTTCCCCAGTTCCTGTCTGGATGGTCCAAAGGTCAGATAGCAGTTTTGCAAGTTGTACAGGGGGTTAAGAAATGCCTGAAGGGATATTCTGACCTGAAAGCAGGTAAGGAAACCCCTTAGGAAAGGCATTCTTCCTCTACTCCATGAGAATCATGTACATAAACATCAGTTCAAAGCTCAAAGCCTACATAGTTTTTACCCAAACTTCATTTTACTGATAGTAAAATAAGTGGGATAGTTATGCTCCCTATTTAAGCCGTCCAGCTCAGTGATGAAATCTTTTCTCATGTGAATTGCAATGGGATTTGTGTGCCCATCTGTCTTGCCTGTGGCTAAGGAAAGTTCTGTCCTGTCTTGTAAAAGGCAAAACCAAATGCCTTTAGTAACTGTATCCTGTAATACAGAAAAGCATGCCTAAGCCTCCCTGAGGGAGGTCAAACCTATGCTGGTCTCTGCAGCTGGAGAAATTGGAGAAGCATCTGCAGCTTTTTCCCCACGCACCTAAGGCAGGACTCAGGGAAGCTTTGTTTTGCACACGCATGCCAGGGCTGAACAGGATGTGACAGACGGTTAACCATCCTACAGGGACCCTGCAGCTTTCCTACAGACCTCCAGGAAGCAGGGAGGAGAGCACCTGCCTACCTTTCTCCAGGCCTGGGATTTCCACAGAGAGGCGAGAGGGAGGAATGTCCCTGGTGGCCAGGACCCAGTCTCCCAACTTCTTCAATTTCTTATACTCCACGCGGAAAGACTGGATGGGGAACCCACCATTCCCACGGGGGATCCAGGTCACATACACAGATGTCTCTGATGCCATGGAGATGGTTGGACGGTCTGGTGCCTCTGGAGCTGCAAGGGACCCAGAAGGATTTCAGGATGTGAAATGTATTCTTCTCACCCTGTCTGTAGCTCAGAGATATGTGGGTGAAAGACTACCTGCATTGCACCCAGCCACATGCTCTGCAACTCCTGAATGCTCTCTTCCTTCTGCCTCTTCATTAGAGCTGGCACCCCCAAATCCTCATGCCTTTCAGTTTGTGCCCACAAGCACCTTTTACTCCTGCTTGCATCTTGCTCCTTTTCCACTCCCAGCTCAAGTAGGATGAGACAAGGTTTGAGCTGTGATCACCCATCATGGGGAGGGAAGCAGTGAGAGCGGTGGATGCAGGGCTGGAGATGGAGCAAAAACCCTGGGTGAGTGAGCAGGGGGAGGAGACTGGTGCTGGGGACAACCAAGTGTAGGAGATGGACATAGGAGAGATTGAAAAGAAACAGCTGAGAAGGAAATAAGGAGAAGTTCTGAACTGTGGAAATGCAATTTGACAGGAAAACAATCAAAAGATGTGAGGGAAAGAGATGAATGGAGCTATGGATATGAAAATAAAGACGACGAATAAGTATGGGGGAGACTGAAGGATGGGACTTCACAGGAGCAGGACTGAAGAAGAAAATTTCACAGAAATTATAAAGGCAATAGTAGTGATAGAGACAAGCTGTGAAACAACAAATTAGATTGACCAGTAAGGATCTGATGCTTCTCCAGTGCTGCAAGATACCCAAATGAAGCACTCTGCACCACTAGAAGGGGAACTAATTGCCCCTAGCCAGAGCCTGGCTGAGAAAGGAGGATGCCAGGACATGCAGGCACTTGGTCCCCGTTCCTCCCTTACACTCCATCAGCACTCAGTGGTGCAGTGCAGTTTTTTGTTCCTGTGCCTCACACATTCACAGATTCACAGAAAGAAAGGGCTTTCTGAACCCTCCATGTGCAACTCAGCAAGTGTCAGAGAGGTGCTGTAACATCCTTGCAATAAAGGTGGGGCCAGGCAGTGGGATTTGCCTGCTCTCCAGGACTGTCTGCCCAGAGCAGTAGCAGGGGTGTCTAAGAAGGACCTCTCCTTGTCAGAAGCTACAAACCACCCATCCAGCACTGCATTCTTGATTTATTTATCCAGCAGAGACTTCAACTTGGCATGGCCTGGCCACTCACAAAAGACCCAGCATCCCTCACCCTCCCCACTGCCAGTTCAGGGAGGGCCTTACGGGACAGACGGCTGTTGTCGGCCTGGTTACTGCTCTGAGTGCTCGTGCCTGGGTCATCCCTCTGGATCTGCTGCTCTTTGCTGGCAACAATCTCTGGCTTTGGGCGCCGGCCTGTGCAGAAGGGAGAGGTGGCATCAGTAACACTGAGAGATGCACTCAGAATTAACTTTTGCTGGGATGACGAAAGCAAATATTCCCAGACAGGATACTGAGGTAAGTACTTCCTGGACTCTTAACAGCCCTAGGGGCTCAAAGCATTCAACCTGCTGGCAGGAACTAAAACTAAAGCAGCAGATTTCTTAAGAGATCCCCCTCATATTCTATTTTCTACAACTTTTAACTGGTTTTCTTGAAACGTGGCTAAATTTCTGTCTCCAGGCAGAGGATATATTGACCTCTTGACAACCTCTTGATCTTTATGCTAGATCCATTTTCTACAGTATTGCAGGTGTTCAACTGAGACATCAAGGGAAGAAGGGACTTCTTCAAACCCACACAGAGGATGGGCTGGAATTTTCCCCATACTACCCTCCACTTTCCCTCGTGACAGTTGTTCTAAGCTGAGGGCAGATGGGTTTCCAGAGCAGAAACACTCCCATTGTCCTAAGGCTGGTGCCTTGTGCCTCAAGGGTGGGACAGGATGTTTCAGAGGGGCCCTCCCCTGACTCAGAGCAAAGGGGAGCCCAGGGAAAGGTCTGCCCTTTACCGGTGCGGAAGGTCACCATGGCCGTCTGTCCCTCGCCAGCACAGTTGTGAGCAGCCATCTCCACCTCGTAGAGGCTCCCAGGGTCCAGCCTGGTGAGGGTCAGGCGGTGCTGCGAGGCTGGGACATCCCTCACGGCCCAGCTGTCCGAGGCGTTGGTGACCTGCTGAGAGACCAATGCAGGCGTTGCAGAGCTTGGGGCAGGCTGGGCTGCTTGTGGGCACTGAGCTCAGAAACTTTATTAGTAAGTTCTAATTAATCTACCATCTACCTTCCCTTTCCTCTCTGCAAAGGAGGGAGATGTTTCCAGCCTGATTTTGCAAAGCAATTCAGATATAAGCAGGACAACTCACCCAAGCCCCAGAGTGTTTTCTTGACCCTAGGGTTCAGTCAGCCCTGTTCTGTCCTCTGGCTCCCTTTGACACCACCACCCCTCAATGTGTGTAAGTCTCCAGAGTGGGCTTGCCCCACAAAATGCAGCAATAGCCACAGGACTGAGCTGCTTTAGGAGCCAAATCTCTCCAGCAGCCCAGCTACTGAGCTGCTCATTTAAATACTGGCCATTTCCATGGAATGAGGTACCCAGACACAACTTTGTTTTACTGAGTTTTATACTGCCTCACCCCTGGCACTTTGGGGCTGAAATGAAGAACCATGATGCTGGAGCAAAGGTTTCTGCAGGGAAGAGATTGTGTATTTGCCATAGCCCTCAGAAAAGCTTGGAAATACAGTTTGTTTTTTGGTGATACCCTGATGCCCCAGGCAGAGGGGGAAGGGGAGGTGGAACTTTTCTCCTTCTCCCCAGCTGCAAAGATAATATTTTTGCAGGCAAATAGGCAGGACACTGAAGTGACCCGGTGCCGAAAGGAACATTAGTAATGCAGGCAATGCAACAGAACGGAAATGCCAAGACTCTGCTGTATCATTCATCTTCTCCAAGCGTTTGACACTGACTGATTAATGCCTGCCTCATTTTATTTTTATTCCTGAGCCTGCAAAGTTGTGAGGCCAGGGAGGGGAGCCCTAAAGGCTTCTAATATCTAGGAAGGGAAAAGAGTAATTCTTAAGAAACAAAAATAAGGGCTGCATGGCATCTGACTGCTTGCAGGCTGCTGAGAGTGTAGGGGCAGTGTGGAACAGGGTGAAAAGAGACATTCACAGATATTTTCTAGAGAAGCAGCAGAACTTTGCCCCGTACAAATGTAGGTCTCCTGTCAGTAGGTCTAACTTTCCTTACAGCCATCTTCTACACAAAGAGCCTTTTCTTTTGTTGCTGAATTGATTCCTTCCCTCTCCACACACATGCTTTTCCAGTCAGAAATGTCAAAACCAGATCATTATATAACTTGATCCTAAGGATCTTGGATAGAAAGAGACTCTTTCTAAACAATTTTAAGGGTTATTGGGACTAATTCCTTTCCACACAATCCTTAAGCATCCCAAGAAAGAGTCTCCAGCTGAGAATTTGGACTACACTGAAAACATATTACTGCAAACTGCAGTGACCCATGGTGACCTTCACTGCCCCACGGCCCCTTCCAGGTGACGCGCTGAAAAACAAATCAAATATGGACAAACTCCAAGGCTGCAAGTTAAAATCACAAGCAGAATTGGTAGTTACATGATACACCACTGGGGAATAAATCTCTTCTTGGCAGACAACCAGAGCCAATAGTCTGGGGATGCTTTTGGCATCTTTGTTTTTTATTTAAGCTTGCCCCATTGTGTTCCTGTGCTGGCATCTTCTGCCTTTGCTTTAAAGGGCTCTTTAAAGAGAAGGTTAGCTGAAATCCCCATCTTACATTTTTTTAGAAAGAAATCAAGGATTGTAACAGTCTTCTATTACACTATATTTTCACAAAAACACAATTCTAGAAACATAGATACATATGTTCATATGTACTTGAAAACAGTGCCTTGCAGTGGCTGGGAATCCCAAACATGCAGTCTGACATGTTTTTGGAATATATTCAAACCCTCTGGGATCTGAGACAAAACCTGCCTCTCTACTGCAATTCCCTGCCTACCCAAAGGAAAGAAAAGCAGCAGACAAATAAATTCAAGCCCTTTCTTCCACTTATCCCCAGCAAAACGGGAAGAGATACTTTAGACCTCAAAAGCAGAATTTTTCCCTCAACAATGTTTCACCATTTAAAGAAACTGCTGGGCTACAGCTGTGCCTGCCCTGTGTCTGTGGTGCCATGAAGCACCTCGGAGGAGCTCTTGTGCTCCAGCAGGATTTGGCTGTGCACCACCCCATATGCTCACACTGTGCCACCTGCAAGTGATGTACTCACAGTGCACTGCCCCCCAGCTTTAAACTGGGGGAAAAGGATCTTCCCAGAGGATTTAGCATGGCTATGACAACTCTTTGCTGGCTCCTCACACACACTGAGCATGGGCACTTCAGTGCTGCTGAGCAGGGTAGGCACACACAGCAGAGAGGCTGCTGCCCTGTGTCCTGTAGCCCAAGCTGTTCAAGGCAGAGGTGCCCCCTTGGCATGTGCCAAGACAAAAGCATTCCAGAGCAAGTCATTGTGCAACCTGCCCTCGGGGCTTCCTACCTGTGCAAGCACACAACTGAGAACTGGACCTGGAAGCTACTGGAGAAGTGTGTATACTCTGCAGACAGGCACTGCCACTGGGCTCTTCCTGGACAGCTCAGCAAACCACCTGTATCCATCACACCTCAACAGGCTGAGGCTGCAGCTCAGGAGATCCCACTAACCAGTGCCACCAGTGAGTGATGGGTGCCCCTGCCCCAACGCACCGTGAAACGTGTGGGTGAGGCCACCAGCCCGCCCATGGAATGGCGCAGAGGGAAGATGGGAGCAGGGCAAAACAGTGATACCTTGCGATGCTTCACCACGTAATAGAGGATGGGGGCTCTGCTGTCAGGCCGGGGTCTCCACACCAGGTCATAGCTGTCCGTCTTGGATGTCCGTGGAGAACTGAGGATGATGGGGGCTTCGGCTGGAGTCACCAGCTCCTTGTTGGCTGTACACTGTGGAGATGCTGCTAGAGGGGTTGTCTCAGGCTTTGGCAGTCCAGCTTTATCCAAGGGCAGCTTTAAGGTGCTGTCCCTGGAAGGTGGAGTTGGAGGCTGAGCCGAGTCCGGCTGGGCATCTCGCCCGGGGTTGAGTGGAGCTCCTGGAAAACAAGGTGTCACAGCAGGGTAAGTGCCCATTCCAGTCTGTGGTTAAGGCAGAGCTGCGAGCCCCTTGTGCAGTGCTGCCTGCTGTGCCACTCAAAGAAGTGTTGGCAACAATCCCTCCTTCCCCTGCTATAAACCACAGGGGTCCCTGTCTCTCGGAAGCCCCTCTTAACCCTGTGTAAGTTCAACAGGGTCCAAGGAATCAGGCAGTAGCTCTTTTACCCCAGGTGAATTCAGTTTTTAAGCTCTTGCTCAGTTCAAGTTCAGAGGCAGAGCTAAGCCATGGGGTGAGGCACTGCCCCCAGATGTCTTATGTCTCTTGTGTAGAGATTGCCCAAATGTGCACACATGGCCCCACCCTTAGAAGCAAAACTGGTGTCATGTGCTCTCACAGGGAGACACAGAGACCTCAGGCACAACAGCACATGCAGCGTAGGTTAAATAGGAAGCAGGAGCAACACACGGACTTTCTTCCCCTGCTTCCCCTTGTCCTGTGTGTTAGGCTGTGACTGAACGGCCATGACTTTGGAGAGAGGGGCTTACCCGGCCGGGCTGTCCTCAGCTGCACCATGGCTTGGGCACTGCCCACCTCGTTCTCGGCCATGCACTGGTAGATGCCCTCATCCTCGGGCCCCACGCTGAGCAGCCGCAGCGCCCGGCGCGACAGCCGCAGCCGGTGGCTGCCCGACAGCGGCACCGCGTTGCGCAGCCACATCACCGAGGGCTGTGGGTTCCCTCGCACCTTGCACGTGAACTTGGCGCTCTGGCCCCAGGGAATGATCTGCTGGGACAGCTCCATGGTGACCTCCGGGGGTTCTGTGTGAGGGACAAACACAGACTGCTGAGCGCCGCTTGGCTGGGAGCACGGCACGGTCATGGCTTTGCACTTTCCTCTCTGGCAGGGATGAGAGCAGAGTGATGGATTCTTTCCTACACTAAAGTCCCACTCCCTTTGTGGGGGCCCACATGGGTCTGCTTCAATGCCCCTCCCCTTCAGCATCCACATAAACTGCAAAGAGAGGTAGCCCAAGGCCATCTGCCCTCTCACATGACATCAGATATCTACAAGTCTCATTTTTCTGAGCTGAAATGCAACTCTGCAAAGATTGTGCTTGTGCCATAACAACACATCGGCATCTGATGAAATGCAGTCCATGAAACGTGGGCTTAGCCTCCCCTAAAAATTGTGAGAATGGGACGTGTGGTAGAAATATCTAAGGTGTAGTATCCCTTATGTTTTCTGCTCCACAGAGAGCTCCCCTGCAAAACAGAACAAAACCAAGACACTCCAATGTCTTCGTTGTGCCAATGTCAAAAATATGTCTAAAAAGCAACCAGGCTTCCACTAGAAAGTATTAGAACAAAAGCAGTGCCACAAATGACAGGAGAAGAGCTTCTGCAGAGGAAAGGAGGATCCATCATCTCCAGCCCACGGTGGGAGCTAAGAAGGAGGAACTACTACCCAGTTCCTGGAAATTGAAACCACAAGCAGGAGTTTGCATCACATTGTGGTTTGTCCAGGGAGGGGGAGAGTGCTTCAGTGCTAGTATCTTCCCCTAGAAGAAGAGGAGATGTCCAAGCCCTTCCTGAAACAATGGCTCCAGCAGCACTCACCAAACACCTGCACGTTGTAGAAGATGAACGCAGCCCCGGCCTCCCCAACGCCATTGTCAGCCGTGCAGCTGTAGGTGCCCGAGTCCTCCTCGCTCGTGGGGTCGATCAGGAGGTTGCTGAGCAGGAAGCGCGTCTTGTTGTAGGCGGAGACTCCAGAGCCATCCTTGGCCCAGGTGACCCGTGGTGGGGGGATCCCGCTGGCCACACACTCCAGAATGAGGCTCTGGCCCTTGGTGACAATGATGGTCTGAGCCTCAGGAGGGTAGATTATCCGGGCTGCCTCTGCTGTGGAGCCTGGAGAGATGGAGGAAGGAGGTGTGTGGGAAGGAAGGTGGCGGGTGGGAGAGCACCCTGTGCAGTGGGTAGGTAGGGATAATGGTAAGGCACACTGTTTTCCTGTGCTGGGGCAGGTAAATGGCAATGCAGGACAAGAGGGACATTCTGTAAGGGTTCTGTGCACACAGCAAAGCCACCTTGCCAAAGGGCTAAGGACCTTTTCCCATCTACCACCAAGAAAAAATCGTAAGGAAATATAGCAATGCCAGGGCTGCATACACATAATCCAAGAGCAGACCTTGGGGCCTTCTGCTGCTGGAAAGGAGTTTTCTCAGCTCCTCGTTCTCGTTCTCACACAGAAAACCAGCTGTGACAGCACTGCTCAGTGCCCCCAGTGCTGGAGATGTGCAGTGAAGGGAGAATGGCTTACGTCTCACACGGAGCCTCTCACTGGAGACTGAAGTTTTCACCTCCTGTGTCACGGGGTTGTAGGCAGCACATTTGTAAGTCCCCTCATCCTCCTGGCTGGCATTAACAATCTGAAGGTTCCCAGATGGCATGATAAGATAATTGTCTGTAGTGAAAGAAGAGAAAGTGCCACACAGTCACAAGATATGCCCCTGTCCAGCCTCCTGGAAGACAGGCAGTGTCCTGAAGAAAAGGTGGACGAGAGGGAAAGAAAAAGCCATGATGTCCCAGGCAGCACAGACATCAGGGAGACCATGCCAGGGACCCTAAACTGACTTGTGCTCAGAGAGCTGGCAAAAGGACAAGGAGGCAGCAGTTAGAGACAGCTACTGCTGGTAAGGAAGGGCGAAACCAAGGGTCCTGTGACAGAACCTGTTGGGACAGACCCCTGTGCACTCACCTCGGGAGGCCTCCAGCCACTCCTGCTTCACACTGTAGCGGACCTGAGCCTTGGGGTGACTTTCAGGCAGGTCACAGGCAATCACGGCTGTGTTCCCTTCATCCACCTCAATCACATGCTGGCCATCAAACTTGAAATCTTTGAGATCTGCGAAGGGAGCAAAAGACAAGGCATCTCAGTGGTTGGTGAAACATCTCAGTGTCAGCTCATCCTCTCCCCATGAACTCAGGGCTGTTTCAGTGTGGTACCGGCAGAGGACTGCTCTGACCCCAGCAGCTAGGGAAACTGGCTTGATTTCACAGTTTGGTTTTTGTTTTTCCTCCTTTTTCCTACGAAATGAGTAACTTAAAACACAGCTTCTGGAGAAACTGCCTCCTCCAGGACTGGGAAACTGGGTGTGAAAAATCCTGGCCTGAGAGCAAAAAATAAGCCAACTTACTGCAGCAGTGAAGGGCAGCCAAAAGCGGTCCTTCTGCCGCCTACTATTTCACACATGGCTGCTACTGAGAAGCTGACTTTGTAGTCATAACTCAGGGAGCCCAGCCTGCTTCAAGAGTGTACAGATGCCAGGTGTGAGGAAGTGCGTGATGCCCCCTGAGCTCCTCTCACACCTGAGAAATCACTGTCTCTGCTCCCAGCACTCTTGCTCCCATCAAATATCTCACAGCTGAAAGCTGGTTAACCATGATGCTTCACATGTGCCCAAGCTACAGTTAGAAGAACAGGGACTTGCAAGGAAAACCAGCTCCTCCTCTACATGGCACAGCTGGTCCTTCCCCAAAGCAGCTGTGAAAACCCTGTCCCACCACACCCCTCTGCCCAAGCTGTGATGGAAGTTCCCACTCTGGCTGGGCTGATGTGGGTAGCAGGTCTGGAAGCACAGGAACTAAGAGGAAGGGATACCTGGCTTTTTGTTTTCTTTTCCCTGTGTTTTTTAAAGCAGGAGGAGAGGACTGCAGTGAAACCCCGCAGATCTGGCAGGGCAGGGAGCATGCCAACCTGGCCCCACCCCAGCAAACTTTCCAGAGAGGAAACTGGTTTCCATTCTCTCTGCGCATGATGGCAAATATTGCCAAGGCACTGCAAGATGGAAGTTAGTCTCAGACAGCCTGTGTTGTGAGGGAGGAGGTTTTGTGCCAGGAAAAAGTCCCTCACATGCATTTTTACAATGCTGCACACCAGCCCAGATGACCCCTAGTGCAAATGGCACATCCCGCAGTTGGTTGTTGTCCCAGGTGACAAGTCAGGGTGTCACATCGAGGCTCAGGTTGGTGCCTCTTCCCAGGACTAACAGATCTCCTGAATGGCACGCCATTAAATCTGGATGAAACCACATTTCCTTTGCAAAACCCCACTCTAAGGCAGTGTGTTGCATCTGCAGCCACTGCATGGCCACGTGCTGTCGACAGCTCCCTCGCCTCTAGAAACCCATCCCAGGACGTGGCACCCGTGACCTCGGGCAGTTTGGGGAGCCGGGGGGCAGCAGGAGGGCTGGCAGGCAGCAGGCAGCCTCCCTTGGCAGCCCCAGCCAGCAGAAAAATGTGGGGTTTGTTCTCTGGGAAATGCAGCAGCGCTCCAAGAGCTAAAGACAACTCTGGCTCCAAGCTTCTCCCACCCACAGTCATGGAAAAGTGACATGAAATTTCTCAAGCAGACTTTCTGATTAAAGCAAGATCCTTTATGGAGTTTAAATAAAAACCAGCTCTCTTGGCAAGGCATCGAGAAAGCCTCCCCGAGCGCGGTGCGGAGGGGCTGCTGGGCGGCTGCTGGGGGAGCCAGCGGTCCCGGGCCCAGATCTGAGGGAAGGGGAGGAGGTTGAGAAGAAAAGGGGAGGTTTTGCAATGTCATAAAAATGATTTGCAATGAACATGCTTAATACTTCTGGAATTTCTTGGCATTGTTCAATTAAAAAAAATAATAAAAAGAAGGAATAGGGGTGAACTTCAGAAATGTGATTAATCCTTTAAGACAAGCTGAGGAAGGGAGCCATGTTTCCACTGGATATTAAAGCCAGATGAAAGTTAACTCTTAACTTGTGAAAAGCTGGCAGTGCCTCACGCTCCTCCTCCAATGAAAGTTATTGCTGGGGAGGGGAAGGATGATGGATATTTTCTCCTCTTTGCTTTTTATATTTGATCAAGGAATAAAATAGTGAGAGCCACAGAAATGGAAAGAGGTGGAGAAGTGGCGAAAGCCCAGTGTCTGCCTGCCCGCATTGCCCATGTTTCTCCGATCAACAAAATATAAACGAGCATCGGGAAAATTAATGTGCGCCTTGGTGGTCTGGATTCATCACAGCCAAATTAAGATTTTGGAGCCAAGGCATAGGCTCCAGCAGTGCTGGCAGGGATCTGAACACACACACTTACATGAGCACGTGTACATGCACACACATCCTGAAGAGAAGGGGCCCAAGAGCCTGGAAAAAGAGCAGACCCAAGGTTCTGGCATAGCAGAGCCATCTTGAAGATGGAAAATGATGACCCTGTGCCAGGGCTGCCCCTGGGATGACTGTGGGCTGGGCAGACATGGGGAACTCTCATATGCAGCCCCCCAGATGGTGGCTCAGCCCACATCTCACATCTGTGGGTGCTGTAGCCCCACAGTAGGGAGGAGAACCTGCAGCTCTTCCTGCAGCTCTTCCCTCAGCCCAGAAGTGAGGGACAAGGGGTAAAACTGGGGATAGAGGGGGAAAGAACAGAGGGAAGACATCCTGGGATGGCTGGGGGCGCAAGGACCAGGTACCTCTGGAGAAGCAGAGTGAAACTGGCAGAGAGAGGAAAAATAGCAGAACTGGGACAAACTACTTTCTTATATGCCAAGTGTACGAGCTTCCTGCCAAACTACTCTCCTAAATTCCTGCTTCCCCACAGAGAACAAGACTGGTTTATTTGCCAGTGGATTTTGGCCACTGGCGATCTCAGCTGCCCCACTCACCACTGGTATGGGCATGTAGAGCCATCCTTTAGCACTGATGGGTCAGCCAGAGCTGGTGAGGGGTGGTCAGGGTCACCCCTGTCCCCCTCTGTGCAGGGGACAAGCTCCCCTGCACACATCCTGTTGCATTTGGCCCCAGCACAGCAAAACAGAGGACTCAGTGCCAAGCTGGGACAACCAGCTTTGTCCTAAGGGGCTCAAACAAGGTGTCCCTGAGTTGCAGGGGGACCCTGCATGTCCCCTCCAGCAGGGAGGGGTGGAGGAGAGGACCCATGCCAGGGGGATATGCAGCACTCGCCTCTTCAGCTGCCCAGCCAGCAGCAGCCAGACTCCACATCTAACACGCAATTTGCACCAGAGTCTAACAACCACTGCAGCTAGGAGAAACCACATCCCCTCTCACTGGCTGGGTTTTCCTTCTCATATGGCTGCACCCAGTGTGCCAGCCCATGTTCTTGTCCTTAGAAGACATGCCTGACCACAGTGAAGCAAGTCCTCATCTAGCAGCCATTGTCCAGGAGGTGCTGCGGACAGACAGACTGAGCACTGCCAATCCCAGCCATGCTGGGATAAGAGGGTACTTCCCCCCACCCCCTCCTGCTTTTTTTCCCTTTTTTTGTTTAGGAGGGAGTGCAACCAAAGGCCATTGCTCGTGTCCATCTGCAGCCAGCTCTGAGGCACGATGGGGTGAACTGGGCTGTGGGGAGGGTCAGCCCTGCAGCCCTGCTGCTGTCACCGGGGAGGGAAACCAGCTGAATCCCAGGGCTGGGGGCCAAGCAACGAGGCAGGCGAGACAGACCCGATTAAATGAATGGGAGACCATAAATAACTTCGGAGAAGAAGCAATATTAAAAAAAATTATGGCCCCCAAGGTAAAAGTTCTCCCTGCCATAGGGAGGAGTGAAAGAGGGAAGAGAGGGAGCCTTGAGAAAGGGAATAGGCAGAAATGGGGTCCTCCAGCCTGGGGGCAGGCACCTTCCACTATTCCCCCCTCAGCTGTGAGAGCAGCCTAGGGCTATGGCTCTCACTCCCCATCCAGCCAGCACTGCAGGAGTCTGGGCACTGGTGCTGTCATTACCAGATTCCTCCCACCCTGCTGAGACAGGCACAGCCCCAGACTCCTGCCTACTGACACCCCCCCAGCACATGTCCCCCACCACACCTCAGCCCCACTCCCCATTTCACGGTCCTCATGCCACAGCTCTGCTGGCTCACAAAACACCACCTGTGTTTTCCTTCTCTCCCCTCCTCACATTGCCTCTTCCCCTGGGGCCAGAGTCCCTGTGCCTGCTCTACAAATACTTTTCCAACAGGCAGCCTTCCCCTTCCATCCCTCTTGCCATTGCCTCTGGGGAGTATCAGTGGAGAGGCCCGGGTGAAGGAAAATGAATGGGGCTGTCTTCAGAAAGCAGCTGCAAATTCCTGGGGATGTCCAGCCCGACCCCGTGCAGGGTCACTGCCCGCAAGCACCACATGCTGAGGCCCAGCTTCCTACACGTGCTGCCACAAGGCCGAGGACTGACCTCACCCATGGCACTGATGGAGGGAACAGGGCAATCAGCCTCCCTTGCCCACAGCATTCTCATGACACAGGTACCTGCAATCTTACACCCCTGGGCCACAGGGACACTGGAATGGATGGAGTTTCTTTGCTGCACTCCTCATCTATTTTTCTGTTTTGTTTTCAAACATCACGTCTATCCAGGTCAGGCTTGCCCCTGTGTTTGCTACACTGATTTTTTCTATGCATACAGATGAGTGCTGGGAGTTACACAGCTCCCATTACCTCTCCTCATCAGCTTTGCTCCAGCCCTGCACTTCAGCTGCCCCTGCAAGCTCCACAAAGAGCTCCTGACCTCCCAAGCCGCTGGCTGTTACAGGACCAGCCCTCAGCACCATGTACAAATCCCTGGTGGAATTACTTGGCATCACCAGAGCCCCCTGCAGCCATGTCTTCTACATACAGCTCCTCTACTCAGGAGAGGGGCTGGGGCAGGGCTTTCTGGCAGTATGGCAACTTTGCTACCTAGAATCAGGCACAGAAAATGTCTCTCTCTTCTTTGCAGCTGTCATTCATATGAAGGTTTAAAGCCTGGCTCGGAAAACCAGGAATATTCCTGTTTTATCCATACAGTCCCAGACTGCAGTGCTTAGGGCCTGCAGGGCTGATCTTGTGCACCACATTCAGGCCAGCAGTGATCAGCAGGTGACCGACATTGATATGCCAAGGTTGTGTGGAGCACCAGCTCAGCTCTAACAGGACTCAAAAGTGCCCAAGTAATGCCTGAAGTGCTGCTCCCTTTGACACTTTATGAAATCTTTCCCTTCTGCAAATCCCCCCCTCCCCCCCCACCTCTTGGATATACAACAGCTACTTTATCTCTGCTGGAGAAATTAAATGCAAATTTCAACCAGCTCTCTGAGTCAGGGGGAAGAGAGATGGCCTGTGCATCACTGTGCTGCAGATGAGAGAAGGAGGTATCAGTCCCACGGCTACACTGTGGCTGCCAGCACTGCAGCTATGGTTGTCTGCTTGCTGACTGTCAGCAAAGCACAGCTGGCCCCAAGGGACTGGGCACACAGAGCCTGGGGCACTCCAGAGTGTCTCCTTCAAAGAAGACAAAAAGAAAGGAGGGGAAATAGCCTAAAAGTTGGCCAGATGATGTTACCTACAACTCCTCAAAACCTAGCAAGTCACTTCTTCCAATGACTCCAGGTCCTCTTCCAAAATCAACCTAAGCCTTGAAAATATTTCCATTGCCCTCCTTCCCCCCACTGCTTTAATTCACACATTCCAGTTTCACTTTCCCCCTGCCACCCCAAAATAATTTTTGGATGGAACTAAGACTTTCAGAGGGTTTTCTTTCAGCCCTGAAGGTTATCTGGAGGAGATATATAAACTGCAATGCTGACCTGCCAAGGCTTTCCTCTCACCATGGTCACCACTGAATCAGCTCTGAGCAAGGTTCTGTAGAGGAGGTCTGGAGCAGGAGAGAAAGCCCAGGGCACAGCTGCTACCATAGCTTTCAAACTCAGTCCCATCACCAGTGGTGCTCCCTGTTCTTTCAGAGCACTGCAACACCACTGCTGCAAGCAGCCTCCAGCCCATAAACATGAGACTGGTTATTTGAACCCCTCCAAAAGGTTCTCCTCCCACATCTTTACTGGGACATACCATCTCTTCACTCACTGACTTCTAAATCTTCCCCGCCTGGGTGCTATCACCTGAGGCTATCCAGGTGTGTGGGATACAGCCTCTGCCATCTCCAGCTACCCCTGAGGATGAGGGACCCATGCAGCACAGCACAGGGGTTTTCCACAGTGGATTTGTAGCTTGATCATCCAACCTCTGGCTCCAGTTTTGTGAGCTCCACTGAATGGTGCTCCTGACTTCCTCTCAGAAGTGTGTTTGCCACGACAGGGACCACAGCAATGGCCAGGTCCTTCTTTTGCATGCACATCCCCACTTGCAATCCAGTAGGCAAAGGTGATTTGGCTCCTGGAGAGGGCTGATGCACTACTCAGTGGTTTTGATTTGTTCTGAAGGACGTGGTGGGGCCTTCTGGTGCTTCAGGACCTGTCTCCCATCCACCACTGATGCTAGACTGAAGTCTAGCAGATATGTCAGACATCTTTTTCCCAGGAGATAGAGCTGGTGGTGGTGGGCTGGGGTGTGAGTAAAAAAAGAAAAGGAGGTCAGCTAAGCAGGAGCTGATCAGGCTGAGGAGCTGTGCACACCCTACTCTCCTAAATGCAAACCATGCCCTTGGTAATCCCATCCACCTCTCCCCTCCTCTCCTTCTCTCTATCAGGCCACCAGCACACACAGCCCCCTTTCTGCTCTGGAATGTGTTCTCCGAAACTTAATCTCAGCATGAGGCTCAAGCCAAATCCCCTGACAGATTCGGCCCCGTGACAACCCCCTCCCACCCTGCCTGGGAGTTCAGCAACTCTCCTTGCTTTCCCTGGCCTCCTCCTCCTCCCACCCGGCCTTGGCCTAAACATTTCACTCCTGATTAATGTATCAGTGACAAGCCAATAGTTCTTGGCTTTAAAGCAAAGCCAGGCCCCACTTTGCACAAACATCTTCACTTCTTCATTTTCTTAAGACTTACCCCCAAACTCCCTTTTTCTGGGAAAGATGAAGCCTTTTCTACACTCAGGGGCTGTCACTGCAAGGCAGTGGCAGCCTCCTCTGCACACAGTTGCTCCACCAAACACCATGTGGATTTCTGAGAAGGTGGGGCTCTCCACTGCTTTCTCAGATGTATCCAAATACAGCACCTTCTGGCCAAATACACACAACATCTGGCCAAAACCAGGCGCTTGTAAGAAAAATTGCCCACCTAAAACACCTCTGGCCACACACACGTCTCCCAATGCCAGAGGGCAGCAGCGAGGAGCTCATAAGCAAAGGAATAGGAGCGAAGTCCCTTGCTCAGAGCTGTGTCTCAGGAAGGCACACACTGACCCTGTGCTGGCAGCAGTCCTGCAGCAGCCCCAGCAGCAGTTGGGCCATCAGCACCAGCAGGTACTATTTATGAATAATGACTCCATCATTAAGTCAGGAACCAGAAGAGGCAGCCTGACTGTCAGGAAACCACACACACAAACCCCATGGCTCAGGGATCACCTGGTCTTGCAAAAACTTCTCCCTGCAGGACAGGTCTGCAGCCTACCACACAGCAGGAGGACAGCTTGGGTCAGACTGGGTCACACCATGTCAGCCAGTCCACAATCAAAAATGCTACAGAAGGGCCTACACCAAAGGAGTCATCCCAGCACGAACAAGCAAGAATGGATGAGCCTCTCAAGATGTGTGAGTGATGGCCCAAGCAAGCAAGGGCTGTCAGAGAACTGAAGCTACTCACTAGCTAAGGTGACCACTGCAGGGACACTGGCAATGACTCCTTCAGGCACACGAGCGATGCACTGGTATCTCCCCACAGTGCGGTTGTTGAGAGCCGTGATGATGAGCTTCCCTCGCTCCACGTGGATACCCAGCATCTCGTCTGATCCAGCCAGCTCCTTCCCGTTCAGTCTCCACGTGAGGTTCACTCGGGGGGGATCCACCACACAGCCCAGGCTGACTGGGCCCCCAAGTTTTTGGACAATAGAAGCAGGATGCACTGTGACCTGCAGAGATTCACCTGCACAGAGGGGAAAAAATGGGAATATGAAAGCTCTGTCAGACTCAGCAATAGAAAGGGCAGAGGAAAAAGCTGCAGTGCTGTACATTTTGCATCATCCACAGCCTCTCCTTGTGTTGCACCATCCCCTTGACTCCTCACACACCCACCCTAATTTTTAAAGATGTACACCAGCTTAATTTCTTTGGCACCGCCTGAGAGAAATGTTCCACTCCAAATGTGTCTCCTCCTCTGGAGGAGGGTTTGAACCTAGACCTTTGGGCAAGGCTGCTCAGGGAACAGCAGAGAGAGGATGCCTGTGTCCTTGAGGTGTGGCTATGCTAAACAGCATTGAGACAAACAGGAATTGGTAAGAAAAGACACTCACTCAGTTTGGCAAAACAGCTGGCAGCCGCAAGCATGAGGCAAGGGATGGGGGACATGGGCCTCTTCCTTCCACGTGTCATTGCCATCCCATGCGGTGTGAGCTGGGGCGCCCAGGGAAGGGTCCCATAAGCTGCCTCAGGGGATGCAGTGGATCTGTGGCAGTGGATTCCTGCAGATGACAAGAGACACGATGGATGAAACCCTCAGGCTTCCTTCTGCTTTCCAGCCCTGCCTGGCTTCTCTACCAACATCCCTAAACTGCCACAGATTCACCGAGCCAGTGGCTTGAGGAGACTACAGATGCTGATGCAAGCATTTCTCTTCTCCAGCCTCTCCCCCAGGCATGGCTGGGAGTCTCCCAAGACATCCCGTCTTCAGTACACATGCACACAGACACACACTCCCCATTTCATACTTGGCACAGTGAATGACAGTGATGCACACCAGGACATTTTCAGGAGCAAAACACAAACATTTCCAACAAAGTGTCACTGAAGATATCCACTGAGTGCTGCTGCCACTTCTTGGCTATGTCTGGAATACATTCTATTTTAAACACTAAAGTAAAAGAGCAATACAAGTCCATTCTAACTAAGACACACAACCTACGAAAATACTTTAGATTAACTGTTCTGCCTGAAACACACCACCTATTTTAAGTCTACACAAACCACCAGGTCCATATTTGAAAACATCAACTAGCCCCAGAAAACTAAAAATGTAAGGCCACCTTACACCTCACAACCCAGGTTGCTGTGAAGAGCTGCACACTGCCGCAGCTTTGAAGACTCATGAACAAACACTAAAACAGACAAGCCAGGTCAGGGGATTAAAGACCTCAGTAGGTGCCTCAAGAGACACCTCAAATGTCAGACTGAATTCATCTTTAATCAAGGGCAAAAGGCTGAAGTCAAGAGGAGATTTCCCTCTACTGGCACTGTAATGCAGCTATAGGATTTGGAGCTCCCTTCAGCTGTAGCACTAAGATGACCTGCAAGTCTTAGGGCACTGCAGAATTGCTCTTGTGGCTTGTCTACAGGGAAGAAGCAAGAGACAGACCCAAAGCAGCCATGACAGCCAGCCCAAACAGCCCAAACTGCCTGCTCCCCCTGCAGCAATCAGCTCATTAGCCACAATCACCATCCTCAGGAGCACCTGACTCTGCCTACTTCCACCATGGTCACTGTTTGAGCCATCAACTGCTTGAGCATGTGCTCTCCATACCCATCTCAGCCAAAAAGAGGGCACAAGTCCCATCAAGCATAACCCCCCAAAATTAAACCTCCTAACTCCTGAATTAAGGACTGACACATACTCCTCCTGAGATGCTTGATGAGTTGTGCAAGGCAAGGCTGATTACTACTAGCAAGGAAATCACAGCATTTGGGTAAATATCATTAAGCTACTCTCAAATGACTTTGCTTGGCTTTTGGTGACAGCAAAGGTGCAGAAGTGCAGCACAGCAGGGCAATGTCCATGGCCAGCCATGCTGAGGTCCACATCGTGACAGCAAGAATCCAGCAGGTTGTTTTGCCTCTCTGCAAATTGGGCTGTCCTTCTGACAGCCTCACAAGCTCTCTTCCCCCCACATCCCAGAGCTCTACTTGAAGGAGAAGTCATGGAAGAGACATTCATATAAAGTTGAGAAGAGAGAAGAAACGCCTCTTCTGAGCTGGGGATTTCAAAAGGAAGAAACACCAAGTAAAGCGACATGCTGCTGGAGTTTTGGAAAGGCCACAAAGAGCATCTTTACATGGCCCTTTGCAGGACAGCATCAGTTCGGTGCACTAGCTGGACCAGAAGGCTCTACACAAGGCAGCTATTTCCAGGAGTTACACAGTCATGGGGAGAGTGGCTGTGAGGCCAAGATGACAAGCCCTGCTGAGAGGCAGAATAAGTCAAGCTTGGCATGGCCCAATGCGGCTTTCAGGCACCAAGAAGCATGGACAGAGCTCAGACATTGGGCATATACTGGAGGCACCCAGAGAGAACAGCTAGGCCATACTCCAGCTACTGCAGGCCACAGCCCTGTTGCATGTGAAAAAGCCTTTGGGGTATCCTCCAGTGCGAAAGAGACAAGACAGCAATTTCCCTCCCACACACCTCATCCTTCTTGGTATTCACTCCCCTCACCTGAGAAGAATCTCAAAATTTCCCCCACCAACCAGCACATAGCATCTTACAAGATACTTGAGCGACTGACTTGGAGACCCATCTGAGTTGCTCAAGTTTATTTCTCCACGTAAGGCAGCCACCAAAGCACCCTTCATTATGCCACAGCCACCATGGGAAGTCACCACCGACGATGGCTGTAAAAGTGTCCTGGGTCTGTCCATACCAGAACATGCAGTGTTGGCACCACTGCTGATGTACAAGTTAAGGTCTCACTTATTACACTCACCGGGAAAAGACTTTGAGGTAGTTCAGGCTTAAAAACACCTCACACCCTAAGGTTTACTGCACATGGAAAGCCTTTCCCTGATGTAGAAGAAACATTTTGGGGTAGGACTTACTGTCTGGTTCCTCAGTGTTGGAAGACTTTGGAGAAAAGCTGACTCATTCCCCCTATCTGGATGGGTTTGGCAGCAGGATGGAAAAATGTTGGACAGAAAGGAACTGCTCCCTGAAGCCCGAGCTGAGGGAAGGGCTAGGCAAAGACGTTCCCAACCAGACCTCCCTGCAGCTCTGCATAGCACAGAGCCCCTGGCCAGAAGAGCGAAGCTGAAGACGCAGAACTGTGCATGAGACCCTTCGTGAGCTAGGACCACCCAGGCACATCGATGCAATGACTGAACTGGCTGCCCCCAGGTCTGTGAAAAGACGAAGAGCAATAGGTGGGGAGAAAAAGAGGGGAGCTCAAAAAATTTGGCCACAGCACTGGGCAGATTGAACAGTACTGAGCAGAGAATGAAGAGAGAAGGTGTGTTGCAACAAGTGTGTGTATGGTACCTCCCCAAACCTCCAGGCAAGAGTACGAGCTCTAAATAGGGACATGTGGCCATTTCTTTCACAGCTGAGTGAAGTACAAAAAGTAAATGGCCAGCATAAAAATAATGAGGAAAATGAATGAAAACATCAATTCCAAAAGAACTATTAGGATCCAGGGCCAGATTTTGAAACTCTCAGCTTCCACAATTGAAGCCAGATTTTCAAAAGCATTCAGTTCTTGACATGCTGAGCTCTCCTGAATAGGCAACCAACTTATTTCGATGCCTAAATTGGAGCTGACCTCTTTTGAAAATGCTGCCCTTAAGCAGCCTGCAATCGTGCAAAGCAAGGAACTTTATTACTCAGGCAGCTTTCGATCTGCCTCATGTCCCTGCCAGCAGCACCAGAGTGGACTGCAGTGGGAGAGAAGGCAGAGGTGGGGAGTAGAGCAGACCCCAGGCACTCCAGCTGGCTTCCTAGAGGTGGTGGTCCCAGGCAGGGGCTGCACTGGGGGCTGCAGCATGACAGGGTCCTGCTCTGCTGCCTCCCCTCCCCAAGGCAGGTACCTTGTCAGGTGCCCCTGGTTGCCAAGACTTCTGCAGCCACCACCAACACCAGCCTTGACAGCTCCTGCTTAATTGCTATCTAGGAAAAGAAAGAGTTAAAGTAATTTAAAGAGCTTCAAGAAGGAGCAAAAACAAATAAACAAAAAATATATATTTGTTTATTTTAAATTCTTTCCTGCCAGGTTAAAATAACAATTTCCTGTCGGTGGAGCTCTAAGTCCCTTTCAGACAGCCCAGTAAATCAAAAGAGGGGCCATTAAGAGAAGAAAATTAACGAGAGCTTAATCAGTTAAGGAGGGGTGGTGGGGGTGTAAAATCTGTCGGCTCAGCTTCCCAGCACACACCTAAGGCCAGCGAGGCCCCTGCCTGCAGCCCCAGCTGTGCTGTGGTGATGGAGGGCACTGCAAAGGCAGCGGAGCAAGAAAGGAAAACCAGAGGTGAAAATATAAAAGGCAAGAAAGGCCCGCGCCTGCGTGGGGGGGTGACAAAGCTCGAAAGGAAAAAGGGATTTGAATTAAGCACAGGCCGCAGGAGAGGTGTTTGCTGATTAGAAACTGAAGGTTTTACTGAGGAAATGCAGCTCACAGCCCCAAGCCCCCTCCTGCTTAACAAGGGCCAGCCAAGCAGCCCTTGTTAGTGCCACACTGCCTGTAATTTACAAGGCTCCCAAATAGGAACCAGCCTGTGCCCCAGCTCTGGGACAGCATCCCGGCACCACACATCCCGGCTCCACCAGCAGGCACGGGAATGTGCAGGCAAAAAGGGAGCTGGGCAAAGTCACCGATGCACATGGCAGCAGTCCGGGGTTGTGTCAGGCAGATGGACCTTGGGAACTTCTTCCTGCAAGGGATGAACAGTGGGAAGGGGTAGGGACTGCTCTGCATACAGCGGGAAAGACTGCAGCAACTTCAGTCCAGCGACCAGCTGGGGACACCCTGGGTGACTCTGGAGAATTCACTGCAGCTGCTCTCTGTTTCCAGCGGGTCAAGTAGGGACAGTGATACCCCTAGCTCTCTGTTTCATACATTGAGACCTCAGCTCTTCAGAAAAAGAAATGTCTTACACGGTAGTATGGGCCAATTTTACTTGTAATCATTAGTTTTTAATACAAGACAGTACTTTTTCCCCCACAAAGCAAAAACCACTGAAAAAGAAAATGTGAAAGAGAAAAGAGCAACAGTACCCCTTTATTTTACAAATTGAGGAATCTGAGGGCTAGAAGAGGAAGCCAACCTGGCTCTTGGTAATCCAGTAAAGCAGTGGCAGGCAGGGCTGGAAGTCAAAAGCTCTCTGACTGGAACCTCCATCCCATCAAGCAAGCTGTTCTTAGATCCCAAATATTTTCCATCCCCTCTGAAAAATCCCACTGTACAACTATATAATCCTCTAGCCAAAAAAATACTGTCCAGGGTGACATACCTGAGCAGATCAGCTTCAAAGTCCCTGCATGATTCCTGGGTATAGATAGCAATCTGGGCATCCCTGACTGCTTCTCCCCAGCCCATCAAACAGTAACATCCCACAGGGCAAAATTAACCTCTACCTAACGTCCCCAATTCGAAGTATTCATTTCACACTGTTAAAGTTATGCTCATTTTCTCTGAAACGGTTTGGGAAAAGGACAGGTTGATGCAGGACAGAAGCTCCCTCTCCCACAGCACAGCATGGGGATGGG